TTGCGAAATTGTTCAATCAAACATTCCACGAACTTAACAAACACAGAGATCATCAAGAGAAGACGATAGAGAAAAAAAAAGATGAGTCACGAAGAGAATAGGTGATGCTTCTTTCTTCGTCCTTTAATTTAGTTTCGATTGATCGACCTAGCTAGGGTTTATACAGAAGAATTACAGTTTTCCAAGTCTCGTTTCTTTGATTCTCGAACTCTAATCTCCGTATCTGTAGATTTCGTCTCTGTCGTTGCGGCTACATTGCTGTAAATTAGGGTTTTTGATCATCATTACTTCATTCGACTCATATAAAAACCAAGACTTTTTTTTAGTTTGATCAACACGATACATCATCAAATTTGGTCTTCACAGTTTTTTCTAGGGTTTTAACGTTTTTCCGTCTTCTTTCGCGACTTGTGTGCAGGATGCAAGCGTTAAACTCTCCAAGCAACGGATCGGAGAACGATCTTGAGGAAGTTCTCGAGGAACGCCCAAGGAGAAGATTAAACGAAAAGTCTGTTCCTGAATTAGTATATGAAGACGAAGAAAATCTTGATGATGATGATTTCGTGGTACCTACGGCTAATTATAACGACAAAGTAGGGGAGAAGAGACAGAGGGAGAAAAAAGATGAGTCTGCTCAGACGAACAAGAAGAAGAAGAAGAAGAAGCAAGATTCCGAAAATTCCACAGAGATTGAAGAGATGTGGGATTCAATCACGAACGACAAGGTTTGTATTCTTGTTTTCTGTTTCTTTGTTCTGTTTTCTTGAGATCATATTCATATGTTTGATTTCGTCTCTTGTCTTTACTGTTAACAGGATGGTGGTGATGATGCTGTAGAAAATCCTTCCAAGAAAGATAAAGCCAGCGTCGATGATGAGATTGACAGATTGTTCAAGTTAGGAAGAAAGAAGAAGAAGGAAGAGAAAAGCAAGGCTGAGATTGCCATGCAAGTAGAGCAAGTTATGGCTGAGCTTGAAATCGCTGTAGAAGACGATGTAGAGCTTAACAAACAAGGCAAGCCCGCCATTAACAAGCTCATGAAGCTACCACTTCTCACCGGATCTCTCTCAAAGTAAGTAATCAAAAACTCTCAAGCTCTTTTAGTGAATGATAATCTCTCTGTCTCTTTGTGTGATCTCTAAACCATTTTTGACTAAACAGGAAACAACTTCAAGCTGAGTTCTTAGATCATGGACTACTTAACCTTCTCAAGAGTTGGCTCGAGCCGCTTCCAGATGGTAGCTTGCCGAACATAAACATCCGCACAGCTGTCTTGACCCTTCTCAACGATGTATGAACTTTTTTTTACTTTCTCAATCCATAAATAAGCTCTTCAAGATGATCATCAAAGAAAATTCTCACTTTTTGTTTTGTTTTTGTTCTTCTGTTTTGCAGTTATGTCTGAGATTAGATGAAGACTCTGGAAGAAAACAGTTTGTCAAGAGCCGTATCGGGATGGTCATAACGTTCTTATCAAAATCAGCTGAAGAAACTACACCTAATAGGCGACTCGCTAATGACTTAATCAACAAATGGGTATGTATCTATATATATATAAACTTTAAATCCTTTTCTTTTGTAAAAAGCAACTTTTGCTGATGTTCTTGCTCTTCTTATGTCTATTGTTTTGACAGGGCCATGCCATTTATAATAAGACCACAAGATATGAGAACATGTGTAGTCAAGAGGAACGTGCAGAGCAACATGAAGTGCTTTTAAGAAGAGAGAACAATGCTCCTCCTCCTAAAGCGTTTGAAGCCATTGCTACAGACTTTGATACAGATGTTGCCTTGTCTAAGTAAGTTTCTCTCTGTGTTTTATATACTTTTAAAGTCTCTCATCTAAAATGTTTTTACTAATCCGAACAAATCTCTGGCAAAACAAATGCAGGAAAGAAAAGTCCAAGCTACCAGTTAGTAGAAAAACAGAGAGAGCGAGAGTACCGACAGCAACATCAATGGACTTTGTGATCCGTCCTAAACCAAAAGTTGACAAGAAACTCGAAGCTCGTGTCAAGATGCAAATGGACAATAGCTCCATCCATGAAAATGTAAGTGTCCTCCAGTATTAACAGAGAGATGGTTCTTTTAGTTAATTAGTATCCATGACTAATTTTTTACAACTGAAATCTAATACCATTTGTGATACCTTTTGGTGACAGATACTCGACAAGCTGAAGAGGCAAAAGGCCCGGAGGAAGACGAATATGCATGCAACAAAGATTAGTGTAGACGGTCGCAGCATGCTCAAGTACCTGTAGACTTGATTAACATATATGTTTTTTGGACAAGTCCAATTGCAAATTTCCACAAACATTGTGTCTAGTGGATCAAGTTGATATATAAAAAGATTATTCTCATTCCAAAGAACTCAAAAGTGTGATTAGAGAACGGATATATTTTTTGAATAGAAGAGTTGTTTTATCCATTTTTTTCTCCCAAAACGTTTTACAGAAGTAAGTATTAGACAGAGAACTTGACGCCTTCATCATCTGCTGATGTTCCTTTAAACAATGCAAGCTTTCCCTTGTTCTCTAGCAGCTTCAAAGCCCTCATTAGAATCGTCCTGTCGATCCCTTGAAGTTCTGAAACATCAACGAGAACATTTGCAGCGGATTACACATTGTGCAAAACAAACAAAACCAATAGAGTTGGAAGTTTTGTTCTACCTGTTCCATGTGACTCTGTCCCTGAACGTATTTCTTCAACAGTCATTACACTGTCCTCTAATCCATTCTCTCTCACCTGATAGATAGGTTGATGCATGACATCAATCAGAAACCAAAATCTGTTTTTAAAATTTTCTTTGATTAATAATTCACATGTGACTCACAAACTGAAGAATAATGTCTGCCCAGTCTTGAATCCGGTGCCACAGAATCAGACATTTCCTATGCCCTTTATCTAACCACTCCGCACGCCCTATCAGTAGAAAGAAGATGACACATTCATAAGGAACCATGAGACTAAAGAAACCTCATTCTATCACAGAACCAAGAAAAATTAGAAAAAGAAAAGTAGCAGTTTGAATCTAACCTTCTCCAACAATGGCTGAGAGGAAAGTTTCCCTTGCTTCATGGCTTAGAGATCCTGCGGAACCAAATGAGAATATAAAGCCTTTAAAGCACTTGAAAACATAGAAAAAGCCACAAGATTACCAGTGAAGCCATAAAGACAAATGAACAAATCTAAAGTTACTAACAGCTTTCCTTGCTAAGATTTTTAACCAGTAATGGAACTGTAATAAGGTGAAAAAGGCACTAAAAGATCATTACTATCAATGGCAGAGTTTGAGAAGAGAGGAAAATCTTCTTCAACGTTAATCAAGAAGATCTTTTGCGTCTTGCAGTAATCCAAAATAAGCTCTTTCCACAGTTGTATTTGCTTCTCACGAGTGTCCCTCACAGGCTGCAAGCTAAAATACAAAAAAAGAAACAGACTTTTCTTCAATCCATAATCTTCAAGACATAGAGAAGGAGACAAAAAATGAAAATTTTGAAGAAGAGATAGATACGTGAAGTATGGAGGATAGCTGAAGAACTGAGGAAGCTTGAAATCACCCAGTTTCTGCATCTTTGGCCTTCAAAATTATTCACAAAAATCAATATAATGATGTTGCTAATAGTCTATTCGAATTAACCTCAAAATAAGTTGATGCTCCCGCGAATCTGAAGCAATATATCTAGAAATTTGAACATAAACCTAGTGAAAGATTTAATGGAATCACCAAAACCCCAATCGTACAAATCTAAAAACCCAGAAACAACAATTCAAATCTACTAAAATATATTTCCAAAGAAGAGAGCAACTATTGTAGAAGAAATATGATCAACAACATAACACAAACGGATGATAGCGAGCTTACGCAGACAGATGGATAATAACCTGTGTTGTGTTCAAAAACTCGGCCTTCCAGGCGAGTAATCGGGTCGAAAATCGCTGCAAGGAGGGTCACCGTCCCGAGTTGGACAGAAACCGTTCTTTGACTGAGTTCTCAGATTAACTGTGGAAAACCAATTTCTGTAAGAATCGAAGTTGCAATTGAGTTTTGGGTTGTAGATCTATCATTTTGGTGTAGAAATCGCATGGAAAACAAGTAAAATAGACAACAATCGCGAAAAAAAAATACAGACGGCGGAACTTAGGTTTGGTGTTGCAGAGGAAAGGATGAAGACAGGGTTAATTCCGTAATTTCCTTTTTGTTAAATGAAAAAGAAGAAAAAGAAGGTACTTACAATGAGAAGGCTCGAACCAGCGACCAGAAATTCTACAGTTGCCGTAGGAAACCACTAGACTAAAGTAACTTTTAAGGTATATCTTAAACGTTTTAATATATAACCATATTATGATGAGAAATTAATCTCGGAGTAACTCCCGTTTCATCTTACGCTTAATTGAATTAGGCGCTAGAAGGTCGTTCACCGCCCGAGTACCGCCTAGCGTATTTTTGAACACAGATAATAACTGAGTTTGAGACTTCGTCGTTGTCTGTTTTAAAATCTCAAGATCAGATTCCGAAATTTGATTGAAACATGATGATACAAGAGAATTGGGAGTTAATTGTATTTTGACTGTTTTACCCTTAGGACCTTTTTCAAAGCTCGACAATTTGCAATTTTGCATTTGGACTTGCATTCCACAACTAAATGAGAGATTTCGACACTAATTTAAATTGAATATTTTGACACTAATTTAAATGAATATCTTGACAAGTTATACAACCATAATCTATAGTCACCACTCACCACCCCATAAAACAATAAAACAAGTATCAAGATTTAAGATCAGTTTGTGGCCTTTTCTTCAGTATGCCAAATGGGTGTTGAAAGGAAAAGATAAAAGATACACACACATTCATGTGTTTGTTGAGAACAAAGTTCAAAAAGTAACTGAAACTCCTAAAACACTCAGAGAAAAAAAAGTGAAACAAGTTGCATTTAATCTCCGGAGAATGTTATAAAACTGTAGCTTCAGAGAGAAAACAGAGAAGAAAGAAGAGTTTTAAGCTGCAACAAGATCTGGTGTCTCGGCCTCAACAGATAACAACGTAGTGTGAACCTTATCGACCCAAGAATCTAGCTGATCCCTCAATGACTTGATCTGCGGAATCCCAAGCACCCTCGGTTGCGCCCATGAGACATGTACCGTTCCATCCACCTGATCCAATATTCCCTCTATCAGGTGCACCTGCATCAACCGTGACAAAAACCACCATATTAATACTCACATCAACAAAAAGTCTTGTCTCTTGCCAATCTTCTTCATGAATGGGACAGAGATAGAGGAAACAAAAAGGTACTCACGGATAAGCTCTTCATGAGAAGGTGCTCAACATCTTCGATTGAAAGCTTAGTACGCTCAGCGATGATACTCAAAGGTATGGTCCTATCTTCAGCTGGTCGGCTGTGATCAAATGTTTATAAACAGTTTAAGCACTCTTTCTTTCTGTATATGCGTGTAAGATGTTGCTTAGAGAGATGATAATTGATAAATACCTGAAAATGATCTCAATAAGGCAGAGAATGTTGATCTTCTCTAATAGTTTCTTCTCATTCTCAACCAGCGCTGGTTGAGCGCTCAAGGCTGCGTTGTGCACACGGCAGAGCTCTTGGTACTGAACCAAATCACCGTGGTTGAATGCCTGTAGAATGTGGTAAAGCCATTCCACATTTGTTCCAAGCAGACTCTTCAACTGCCATAAGAGAAACATCATAACAATATATCAGTATTGCAAGCCCTAAACGCCCAAAAGGAAACTTCTACTATCTACAACGGACAACTTTGTGGCACGCCAATTTGGAAGGTGAAGGCAAACTTACAACTGGATGGGCTAAGAGTTCCCCAAAGTTATAGATGTTCTCTCCGAGTAGAGCTGCCAGAGACAGATCAAAAGCCAAGTCCTGGAAGAACACAAAAGTATCTGATATTAGCCCTTTGATTGCTGAATACAAAGCAAGTTCCAGAAAGAAAGCTTTGCTAAAGGGTAATTTGGTAACAGAAAGACGAGATATATGAAATACAAAAACATGATTTGAGCAAGGGACATACCAGTTTAAACGACTCTGAGAGTGACTCCACAGAAGTATAAGCGAGGTAAAGAAGAGCGTTTTTGTAGAAATCAGAAAACTCTTGACGGAACTTGTGGTACTGAGAAGACACCCAAAAGAAGTTGGCATGGACTGATGGATCGATGTCAGTCATACTATCAAGAGAGCTTTTCACATCTTCCAGTATCTTCTTGCACTCCTTCTGGTCACCTTGCTCAAGCTTGAACAGAGCTACCTGAGTCTCGATATAGCTAATCGGCTCATTGATCCTCGACTCTTTAGTAGCTCTAAGCTTTTCAATCACTCCTGCAAGATAACTAACCGCAGCTTGTTTCTCAGGGTACTGTCGTGATACCACGACCGCGAAATGCGCAAGCTTCAGAAGATTGATCTTCGTCTCAAAGTCGGTGATGAAGTTGTTGTAAAACTGGATTAAAGCATCTCCAGCCTGCAAACGATGAAACACGTTAACATATCCATAAACCGTTACCAAATCATGAGTTTTTAGTAGACAATCTAAGACTAAGAGCCAAACCAGAACATAGCAGCACAAAAGTCTCTTAAACCTTTGTAAGTCCGTTTTTTTAAGTTCTCTAAGCTCAAATATTGAAGCTTTGTTCATGGAAGTGAGATAAATTCACCAATTACAAAGCTTTTCATTGAATCTGAAAAACACCCAACTCGTTGGAACGAACCCTATAGATCTCTATAAACCCAGAGTATAACATGAAGACTCCTATCAACTTTCTCGAGATCTATGAGCCTTAATTTTCCCAGAACAACTACCAAAACGATGAGAATTCAAATAGATTATGGAAAGTCAGGTGACCTGGAAGATAGAGAGAGCGATGAACTGCTCCAGCTTAAGGGTGAGCTGGTGCCAGAGTTTCTTCTGGTACAGATCTGCGAGCGAATTGTACCACTCGCCAAGCTCTGGATGCGCATTTCTCTGCGATTCAAGGTACTGTAGAGCAGCCATGGCGGATTTTACTTCTCGGAACGAAGAAACAGAAGAAAAAGCTTCGATCTTTGTGTATCGGTTTGGGAGGATAAATTTTCCGGAAAAACCCAAGCTTTTAGTAAACTATTTTTCTTGCGCTCAAAGACAAGTATCCGATGATAATTGCAAAACCAGAGATTAAAAGGACTTTTCATGTAAATAAAAATACTAATGCTAATTTACAATTTAGGGCTTAAAAGGATTTTTTTTATTACAATTACTCAAGTGCTGCTTTTACTATTATTTATCAAGAATCAGAGAACACACACAAAACATACATCTTTATGCTTAGTCTCTTTGAAAGTTACAAAAGGAATGAAAATCGAACTGAATGCTATATTAGTGGATCTCTCTGTGTGTTGTGTGTTCTCATAACTAAAAATTTGAAGAAGTAATTTGGAAGAAAATCATAGTCTTGAAGAAACAGAGTTTGTCAAAAATCTCTTTAGTTCCCTTCTCAGTATCTTCCCAGTTGGAGATTTTGGTATAGAGCTAACCATCACCACTTTCCTTACCTTCCTGTACGGCGCAACCTAGCAACCGAAAAAACTATATATCAGTCCAATAATCATCTGTAAATGTTAAACACATGTTCTGTTTCGAAATGGGAAAAGGCTTTTTGAATTAGTGGAGCCTAACCTGAGCAGCTACATAGCTTATTACATCTTGTTCTGAAAGTGTTGATTCTTGTCTCCGGACCACGAATGCTACCGGAATCTCTCCACATTCTTCGTTTGGTGCACTGAAATTGAAAATCTTTGTTAGAACACAATTCACAGAACTTTGAATAATTTTCAGTAAAATAACAGACAGTCACATTTTTCCAAACAAGATTTGCTTTCTCAAACTTACGCTGTTACTGCAGCGTCGAGAATCAAAGGATGTGAAACAAGAACAGCCTCCAAATCTGCTGGTGCAATCTGCAAAAACCATAATTGCAAAGACTTTAATACTTTTCCTATTCAATAAGACTGTAGAAGGTTTTGGGTTTTTTTGTGAAAACTGTTCCATTCACCTGAAACCCTTTGTACTTGATAGTCTCCTTTATACGGTCAACAATAAACAAGTAACCATCTTCATCAAAATAAGCAATATCCCCAGTACGTAGCCAACTATCTTCAACAAGTGTCATCTTCGTTGCCTCTGGGTTATTCAAATATCCTGATACACATTTGAACAGTGTTTTAGATTCCCTCCCAGAATTTTTTTAAAAAACGTTCTTGAAAAACATATAACACACAAGCAAGAACATGAAAATACGCCTAATTTATCAAACAAATCACCAATTTTAGCTGCAAGAAAGTTGGAAGACTCTTATATCTATTTGAGAATCCAAGTTTTCTCAATGATTTGAACCAATAAACATGAGATTTTGGCAAGAAAAAGTTGTATTATAGGAAGAATCTCTCTTTGGTACCTTTCATGACTCCAGGACCTTGAATCCAGAGCTCTCCTCGGTTTCCAGGTGGAAGGAAAGAGCCAGAGCTCCAATCTACTACCTTTGCTTCCATATTTGGAGCAAGTAGTCCCACCGAAGAATACTTCCTAAGCTTTTCCGAGTTGAAGCCACGTGTTCCAACTGCAGTTGATTCAGTCATTCCATATCCCTGCAACAAGAAAAAACAAGTGACTCCATACATAAACACTTTCAGCTAAACAAAAAAACCCTCACAAAAAGACTGAATCAATTTAGCTGCAAGAAAAGGAACATAGAGGGCAAAGTGTTTACAAGCAGAGACCTGAATCAAATCAACATGAGGAAGAGTCTCAAGGAAATCTTCAATGAACTTCCTGCTTAAAGGAGCTGCTCCAGAAGAAACCTGCTTCAAGCTTTTAAACACTTCCCCACAAACTCCTTTCGCCTTCTTTGTCAACGCCATCAACATCGGAGGAACAACCGGGAAATGAGTGATCTTAAACCTCTCGATTACATTTACAACATCAGAAGCATCGAACCTCCTCATAACAACGATGGTTGATCCCAGTGACAACAGTCCCATCACAAAGAGTGATAGCCCGTAGATATGGCACAACGGCAAAGCTGCTAGATAAACGTTACTCGAGCCTGGATACTCGTATTGCGAAGCTTCAAACCTCACAAAAAGCTCCATTGTCGCTATCAAGTTCCTGTGAGTCAACAAAACTCCTTTGCTAACTCCTGTTGTCCCTGAGGAGTACATAATCGCCGCTACATCGTCTTGCTTAATCAAAGGTTTTGGTGGTACGAATCCGAAATCTCCTTTGATGATTGCGTAGAACTTAGGGTTTTCGATTCGAATCGAATCAAAATCGTAACTTTCTGGTATTCTGATTACAACGATCCCCAACGAGCTCAATTTCTCAGCGTTTTCGGGAGAAGTGAACGCTAAACCGAGATTACACTCCTTCACTTGCTTCTTAATTTCTCCCACACTGCTCGAAGGATTCATGGTGGTGACAATGGCGCCAAGGGAGATCAACGAGAGGAAAACCAACGGGAAGTAGACGGAATTAGGCAGCATGAGCGAAACGACGTCGCCTTGGCGGACACCCAAATCGTGATAAAACCCGGCAGCGATTGATTTGACGATAACCTGAAGGTCGGTGTAAGACATCGAAAACCCGGTTGAGGAATCGACGAAGGCGGCGGAAGCAGCGTAATCGCCGTCGTGGATGTGAGAGAAAAGGGCGGAGACGGCGTCGAGATTTGGGTTGACGGGGAGGTGTAGGGAGGGGAATTTGCTGGTGTAGATTCCGGTCTCAGGAGAGAACCAAAGAGGAGGTTTTTGGTGAGACGTTGGGGTTTTAGCATTATGGGATATGTGAGCATGAGTCGCCGCCATTAGAGAGAGAGAGAGAGAGCACTAGCAGCAGCAGCAGCGGAGAGATTCAAACTACGCGGTGATCACGATTAATGATGAAAAACACATAATAATTAGTTAGTTAATTACTATATTTTGATCCAAATCTGAGATTAGAGTGAACTGACTATTTATGCATGTGTTGTTGTGTACATTAAATAGATATAACTTTTATACGAAATAAAACAAGATTATATGGAATTGTATATGGACGGTTGTATGTCTGATGTGAACTGTAAACACAAATCCATGATAACATACAAAAAAAGAAAGTCGACAGTCAATGTTAGAAGAGATCTCAAGTAACTTAACAATAGGTAATTAATAAGAGATATCTCAAAAAAAAGAAAGTCGACATTCAATGTTAGAAGAGATTTCAAATAACTTAACAATAAGGTAACTATAGGTGATTAATCAAATTCTTCAGTGGCATTGTGAGATACTAGTGGAATTTGGTATTCGAAGTGTTGGAAAATTGGCAAGGATTCTCAGAGATGGTCTCATGAGAGTTTATCCAAACCAAACAGTGTCGGGTTTATTTGGTGTTCAACTAGTATGTAGAAAAAAGGCATGGAAGTAACTAGGATTGAAGTTGGCGTGTGAGTTGTTAGCTGGTGAAGGGCTTATAAATTAATCGACACTACAAGAATCGGATTTGACAACTCTTGAGACAGTATTGGTATAGCAAGACAGGAATCGGATTTGGTATAAGACACTAATAGGCAAGTCACAAGACAATATTTTTAGATTTTGAACAGGGCGGGTCACAAGACATCCAGAAAATGGAAATACTTGCCCGTGCCCTGATGTATTTTCAGTATTTTAATTTTAGTTTTGTTTTTTTTTCTAAAAAAATCGGATTTACAAATATTTTTTTGGATTTTCGAGTATTTTTTGGATTTTTTTGGTATATTTTTGGATTTTCTGATAAAAGTAATCGAAATACCCGAACCCGAACTATAACCGAAATATTTTGGGTATATCTTGGTATTCTAAAGCTATACCCGAACCTACCCAAACCCGAAAGAACCCGAACCTTTACCAAACCGAAATCTACAAGATACTTATATAGGTACACAGATCACCTACCCGAAAGACCTAAAACCGAAGGGAACCTACCATGCCCGACCCGATAACTTAAGTCGCAGCAATTACAACAACATTAAATATTTAAGTCCAGAATTTAATATAGTTGGGGTCAAAATATCAGTTTAAAGAAAATAATATTTGTAAAAGGGGTCAAGTTGAGAATCAAATTCAGATTATAAGGGTTCATTAATCTAACTTCACAACCTAAGCTAGAGATTTTATAGTGTTTCCAAGTACAATTTAACATTTTATTAAATTTGAAGAGTGTCATTTGACACTGAACTTGCATCACCATTACAAGTTGAAGCTAATCGATTATTGTATGATGTTGTGCAACAGATCTGGATTAAAGGATTGTGAAATATTTGGGTCGAAATTGATAATTTGGAGCTGGTGAATGTAATCAACAGAAATGCACGTATTTCATTGCTTTGACACAAGTATAAACTGTACATATTCTAGTAAACTGCATGTAGTTTTTTTTTCTTTTCTTTATTTTCTACATAATGAGAAACGACACATGTATCATCATCTAAATACGAAACGACATACATCCTCCATGATAAAATTCACGCATTTTGATCATACATTACATATCTTCAATCCCAAAGATAAATGGTGTACTGTACTATCTACTTTTTAGTTTTTAGTCAAAAGTGAGATCACGTGACAGTCTGTTATACGGAATAGCAAAAAAAGAATAAAGAAATTAATAAAAGTCTCCATTCAAAGTTTCACACTCACTTGATTTGTTACCTTTTACAGTTTCTCTTTTGCCATTTGGCCATTCTTGTATCCATTTCCTCTCTTTTTACCTTCTCCGATGTTATCGCCGGCTAAATGTGAGTTTGAAGACTCAGCCACAGCTCAACTGAATCTCCATTCTTCTTCTCCATCCGTACCGGAACGCCTCTCGCTACCCAATCCCGAAGTTTCCGACGAAGAAGCTGCTCAGTCCTCCTTTAGTGGAGAAGCAACGAAGCTCTCCGACGGAGAGATGAGTGAGAGGAGATCCACGAAGCTCAATTCTAATTCGGAGCTTCGGAAGTCGCCGAGATCCACCAACAGTTGTCAGGTTCGGAGGTCGCCGAGATTTCCGCCGGCTGATGGAAAAATCGACAATGTATGCTCAGTTCCGGTCACCGGAAAGTCTGGATCGAGGAAGATAGAGATTACTAGTGCTCTCCTTAAGGTTAGTCTCCAATTACTAGCCACGCAATACAATGCAGCTTGCTTAGAGGCTAGAGCGTATAATCCTCGTCTCCACTTCTGTTTAATTTTCTGGGTTTGATGCAGAAGGAAAGCTTAGATTCTGAGGGATTGTCATTCAAGTAAGTCTAAAAGCTTTAACCCATTTGATGGCTATAATCCTTATTATTTATGAAAAGTCTTGAGTTTGATTTCTTCAGCTAAACATCAGTAAGCTTTGGGAAATTATGGGTTGGTATAAATGAACAATCTTCCGTGAAATTGTTGCAGAGACATAGCTGCGATTGCCAAGAACTTGGAGATGGATATTGAATCCGACTGTCAAGTTACGAACAACGATGCTGAAGGTAGATCACAAGCTCAGGCTAAGAGGAAAGCTGACAGTGATAGATTATCTTCAAGCATCAAGAATTGTAACCGGAGTCTCCGCAGCAGTAAGCGAACTAGGAGATCTCCAAGATTCACTGAGGAGGACGAAAATATAGGCAAGTCTAAAGAAGGAGAGAAGCCTGTGGCATCTCGGAATCCATCAAAAAGATCTCCAAAGCTATCTGGAATTGTTGAAAATGGCAACGGAGAAACTTTCAACACTAGTGATTGCAGTGCTGCGGATAACAGAGTAACTGAGGAGATGAATGGAAATTCTACTGTGATCCATATATCTGACAGTGATGAAGAGACGCCGGCCAAGAACGTGCAAGATTCGGATGGATATCTGTATACGAGAAGTTCAAATGGAGCTATTTTGATAGAAGATGCAAGTGAATGTGATGGGAGAGTCGCACCATTGGATCTAAGTAGTTCAGCTAAATCAACCAAGGGAAAGGGTGGTGCGCGAGTGACACGTACTGCTGCTGTCCGGGAAAAGCATGAACCTTGCAACTTCTTTTTCGTAGGAGAGCCAATTCCTTGCGAGGAGGCTCAAGAAAGATGGCGCTGGAGATATGATCTCAAGGTAAGGTCGTTGGTTTATCGCTTTGCACTTGGCCACTTTAGTTTTCATTGTGTTTGCAAGTTACAAAGTTTATTTGAGAAATAGAGATTGCATAGTCTAATGTGTTACATGAAAAATCATTCTCATTGTCTTCACTCTCGAAAGATCAACCTCATCTCTGGTTCTGAATTTCATTTATTTTCAGGAACGCAAATCTAAGAGTAAAGGCCAACAGCCAGAGTAAGTACTAGATGTTTTATCATCTCACCGTTTTTCTAAACTATTCTTACTTTATATTTCGTACATTCATCATCCTGAGCGATTCTTTTGAAGAGATGACGAAGACAAGATTGTTGCAAATGTGGAATGCCATTATTCGCAAGCAAAAGTCGACAATCAGACCTTTAGCCTTGGAGACTTTGCCTGCATAAAGGTAAACGTGCTTTATCATGAATATGGTTTTTTTCTTTGCTTCAGTGTCCTTGGGCTACTTTCCGCTTTTTCAACTGGATAAGTAACTATTCCTTGGGTTTACTAGAATGTTAAGTTGAAAGTAGATAAATAGCTAATCAAACGTCCATTTCCAAAATAGTACCTGAATGATTATAATAACTTTACAGGGTGATGAAAAAGAGACCCATATTGGCAAGGTAGTAGAGTTTTTTAAGACAACAGATGGAGAAAGCTACTTCCGAGTTCAGTGGTTCTACAGAGCAACGGATACAGTGTGTATATAGTTTCTTCTCTTTATACTTGTTTTCATTCTGTGCGCTGCAACAACAATTCACTCATTTTTGTAATGTTTGTAGGTAATGAAACAGGAAGCTACTCATCATGACAAAAGGCGTCTCTTCTATTCTACTGTAATGAATGACAATCCGATAGACTGTCTTATTTCTAAAGTTACTGTGTTACAAGTATCACCTAGGGTATGCTGAGTCAAGCTCTTTCTCTATTTTTCACTTTCAGTCTTAACAGATCTGGTCAATTTGTTACGATCGCCATTTGATTTTCTTATCTTTGTGACTTTGCAGGCAGGATTAGAGCCTAAATCTATAAAATCTGACTTCTATTTTGATATGGAGTATTGCGTGGAGTATTCAACATTTCGAACCTTGAGAAATCGTAAGTGCTCATACTGGTTAAGCAATATATACACGGTATCTTTATCTAAGATCCTAGGCACACATGAGCTTGAGCATTCCTGTTTCTTCTTTTTATTGTCTCAGTTAAATCTTCCGAAAACAAGCTTCAGTGTTGCGCCGATGTGGTACCTAAGGAATCCACTGAATCCCTTTTGAAAAATAATTGTTTTAGCAAAGAGCTTCCTGTGCTTGATCTTTACAGTGGTTGTGGTGGAATGTCGACTGGGTTGAGTCTTGGAGCCAAGATTTCTGGTTTTGATGTCGTGACGGTACTTGCCTTAAGTAATTAATCTATATCTCTATAACTTAGGATATACATCTCTTTTTGCACTCAGTTTAATTTGATATCTGGATTCTATTTTCTTCTTTTCCAGAAATGGGCTGTTGACCAGAATCTGGCGGCCTGTGAGAGCTTGAAATTGAACCATCCACAGACACAGGTCAGAATACTTTTGGTGCTAATTGCTAGATCAGTTTTTTTGTTAGAGAACTATACCAAATCTAGTGATGCTGTTTTGTTTACAGGTTAGGAATGATGCTGCTGGAGATTTCCTCTTACTGTTGAAGGAGTGGGATAAATTATGCAAGCGCTATGTGTTTGATAATGATCAGACAACTGATAAATTGAGTTCCGAAAGTTCAAAAAGAGAAGAAACCACTGAAAGTAGCTCTTCTGATGACGATTCCGAACCTGAGGAATACGAAGTTGAAAAGTTGGTTGATATATGTTATGGTGATGCTGACAATACAGGAGAAAATGGCCTTAAGTTTAAGGTATGGAAAGCAGCCCTATGTTCCAATTTTGTTGTTGATCAAACCTTGCTTCTTAGGGGTTTAAGAATGTTCATTTCACCTTCCAGATCTTCCAAGATGGATTTTCTGCATATCTTGGCTCTCTTATGACGTTGTAGTTTAGTGAAGTTGAATTTATGCTCATGGCTATTCATTAGGTGCATTGGAAAGGATACAGCAGCAAAGAAGATACCTGGGAGCCTGCAGAGGAATTGAGGTATATGCTTTAAAAATATTGATAGAAAAGGGTGTCCGTTGTTAATTTCTAATTAATACTTTTCAAATTTTAGCAATTGTGAAGACGCCATGAGAGAGTTTGTAACAAGAGGATTCAAGTCTAAGATCTTGCCACTTCCAGTAAGATTCCTCTTCTTGCCTCTAAATTGAAAATCTTTGAAAGTTGTATGTCTGTACCATCAACATCTTTATCTCCCTGAAAATCAGAATATGTTGTAAATGATTGTAATCCAGGGCGGTGTTGGTGTGATATGTGGTGGACCTCCATGCCAAGGAATTAGTGGCTATAACCGCCACAGGAATGTTGATTCTCCCTTGACTGATGAGAAGAATCAGCAAATTATAGTATTCATGGACATAGTGGAGTATCTGAAACCCGCATTTGTGCTGATGGAAAATGTTGTTGATATTCTGCGTCTGGACAAAGGCTCTCTTGGGAGATACGCTTTGAGCCGTCTTGTGCACATGAGATACCAAGCAAGGCTAGGTATCATGACAGCTGGTTGCTACGGTCTTTCCCAGTTTCGTTCCCGAGTTTTCATGTGGGGAGCTGATCCAAACAAGGTGAGTTTATTGGCCTATTCTAACTTCCTCTCCTCCAGCTGAGTGTGTCATACTTATTGTACTTGGTATTTCGTTACAGAACCTTCCTCCTTTTCCGCTTCCAACCCATGATGTTATTGTCAGATATGGGTTTCCACAAGAGTTCGAGGTAATAATATTGGTTTCTACTTCATACTCTTTTCCCTGTAGTCTCCCAACTTAACGGCTTATCTTGCCTTTCATGTTTCAGCGGAATGTGGTTGCTTATGATGAAGGCCAATCCAGAAAAGTCGAACAAGCTCTTGTTCTACAAGATGCGATATCAGATCTCCCTCCTGTAAGTTTCTTTTCCACTATATGCATCTGCAGTTCAGGGTTAAATCGATATACTGTATGTAAAATATCGTTTTTGTTTCATAACTCTAGGTGTCAAATGACGAAGAACGGGAGAAAATGCCTTATCAAAATCTCCCAGAAACAGATTTCCAGAGATATGTTAGATCAACAAAACAAGGTCTGGACTTCTGTAGTTACAGTCTCTTTCGCAGCTTGTTTCCTGGAGTCTCTTACTTGCATATGCACACCTTATTTTACTCATGCGTGGTACCGTTTTGATTCTCATCAGATTTGACAGGCTCTGAAATTGGTAAATGTACAAAAGGGACGATGCTACTGCATGATCACAGGCCTTTGCATATGTTTGAAACTGATTATATCCGAGTTTGTCAAATCCCAAAGAAGAAGGTACACATTTCTCTTTACCAATAAAAAATTCCGATCCTCCCCTCCAGCCCAGCCACACAAGATTCTCACTGTAGTGACTTTTTCAGGGAGCTAATTTCAGGGATCTTCCAGGGTTAATTGTCAGAGACGACAATACAGTCTGCCGTGATCCATCAATGGAACTGGTTCTTCTGCCATCAGGAAGGCCTTTGGTAAAGACTCCTCTTATATAATCTGAATCATACACCAATATCAGTATTAGTCCTTAAAGTTAAGTCTGCTGATTCTCAAGTTTTAAATGTACTGAATCAGCTCACTTGTGGCCCCTCTTTAGGTACCAGAATACGTCTTTACCTTTCAGCAAGGGAAGTCTAAAAGGTATTTTTCTTCAACCTCTACACAAGAAAAATTATTTGTTGAAACATTCATGTTTTCTTAAGACTCTGTATTTATATACTCGCAGGCCATTTGGTCGTCTTTGGTGGGATGAAACAGTTCCAACCGTTCTAACAGTCCCGACCTGCCATAGTCAGGTAATCATCCTTAAAGCCCATTGCTCTTCAGTTTCTCACTTGAATCAATCCATCTCTTATATTTTTCATCTAACGTTCTCTAAGAGGTTTGTTGTTTACAGACGTTTTTACACCCGGAGCAAGATCGAGTGCTAACCATAAGAGAATCTGCACGGCTTCAAGGATTTCCTGATTACTTCCAGTTCTGTGGAACCGTTAAAGAAAGGTACTTGCTTTGTGTTGTTTAATGAGAAAAACAAAAAAGCAGAGACGGAATACAAGTTTCAGATTACGAAGCGAATCTTACTTTTTTTGCTTTTCAATTTTCTTCTTCAGGTATTGTCAGATTGGAAATGCAGTGGCAGTCTCAGTTTCTCGTGCCTTGGGTTATTCTCTTGCTGTGGCTTTTCGTGGTATAGCCTGCGACGACCATCTGATAAAACTTCCTGAGAACTTTTCTCACTCAACTTACCTTCAGCTTAAAGAAGCCACTCCACATTAAAGAATTATTAAGACTTGGAAACTCAGTAGACGAGTTTACAATAACTTCACGTGTAACATTTGTACCTGCACCATTATTTCCTCTCCACGACCTCAAAATGATTCAATTATGCGGTCGTGGCGTAGTTATGACTGATATTGAAACAAACCAGATCCAAAGGACTTTATTACAGATGTGTTTGGTTTAAGTTTCAAGTAACTCACGATTCTCTGCCGAATGGGTCCTTTCCTTCCGTATTAAAAGTTGATGGCAAAGAATTAATAATTAAAATACTGAGAATGAGATGAAAGAAAATTTAGGTTTGTTTTACTTTTGCATTACAATACTGCTCTGCACATTTGTGACTCAGTTATCAAGCTCGAAATAACACATTGTAAAGAGATATATAACAAACTATTTTTTTCACTATTGAAACAATGAAAAATGGAAAATGAAAAAGAAGAAGACGAGATAAAGAATTGAGGCGGTGTATATTCCAAAGAACCCCCAAAAACACTTTATGTGACGAAACAAATATGAAGTTTGATGGTAATTTCTGAAGGGTCTTAAGTAGTCAATACAACTATTACTCCGCCTCCAGATTCGGAACTATAGCCGAGGAGAGCTCTATATGCGAAACCCGAACCGCACCGATAAGCCTCTCCGGCAATTCTTCCGGTGTGTTTGCCTGCAAAACCAAACAAGATTTTGTATGCATAATGATAAGAGTAAATCCACATGTTACAGTTAAGTTTATCGATAAATTTACCTGTACAAGGAAAGCCATTTCCACTACCAGAGACGTGATCACGCCAATAACGAGGCCTAGAACTCCATTTGCAACGGTTGATGAACCAATATCTATATCAATCTACATCAACAAGATAAACGTAATTCTGAGTCATTTTTGGTCCGAGAAGCTTCATAATAAACTATAGATTGATGTGTCCGCTCACTTCTAAGTATGTTGGGCCACGGATGTAGTTGCAGTCCACTGCTTTCCCAAGGAGACACGGGGTGCTTCCCACGCTTTGCCGTACTATCCATGAGCCCTTCATTGAATTTAATTCTAATGTGAATAGACTTCCAATAGAAAATCTTTATATACTTGCAGTAGTAATCACAAAGAGATCAGAATACCTTAGGAACTATAGGTATAAGCTTTAGCCGACTATTTCGGAATTCATCATCACCATCAACAAATCGTTGCAACAGGGACCCTGGGACGAGTTCTTTCGTCACAAAATAGAACACCATACTGTAGTGTGTTGATCCGGGAACCTATTAAACGTACGTATATATGACTTTGTGGTTTCTACATTATGTTCAGAACCATAATAATAGTTTGATGGGCAACATACTTACTTGAACATTTACCACCATTGAGAATAGACCTTTCTCTGCAGCAACCTGAAAATGTTTATTGTAAAGCTCAATAATCTTTCGTAGAGCTTTATAAGCGATAACTATGAACTAAAGTAAAACCTAGAGAAGGAAATTAAGGAACAAAAGTCGAGGTGTAAGATATCTTACTTGTGCTGCACAGCCTTTACGTCTAGCCACATGATCTATTCTTTTACTGTCTTTGAACCAATCGACAGCAACGAGATCCATAAGATGCTTCCCAGCAGGAATCTTCAGTATAGCATTAAATGGACAGGAATAGAAGTTAACCAGATGTAAACACCCAACCATTATAAATTAATAAGACGAAAGATTTACCGACCTTTCTTTTATCATTATGGAAAGTCTTGTCTCGAACTTTGAAGTTGTTCCCGTCAGAAGTCCTCCAGCAGTTACGGCCATTTTCATTTTCATTGCGCTTTAGGTTACCCGAGAAGCATGACAGATCAATGTCGTGAGCAGGTTCTTCTTCTGAAGTTTCAAATCGCATAAGAGATCACCGCTATTAGATATCCTAATTGGCTCGAGTAGGATTTTTTTACATAATGATAGGGTGCTCACCTGGTCTCTTGACATCTCTCTCTGTTTTACTTGTTTCAGGCTGAAATTGTACACACGAATGACGATTCAATTCCAGATGCTGCTTAAGATTTTAAAATAAAAATTGTTAAATATTCAAACCTCTTGTTCTGAGTCAGGAATCTGAAATTCATCGTCATCATCTGAGTCTTCGTCCAGGAGCACGGAGTTTCTGTTGGAAGAATTTGTTTGATCAAGAGAAAAGGCAGACTGATTGAGAGACTTTCCACTCTTACTCAAGCTCAAGGAACTGGATGCCATATTAACCATGACAGGGATCCTGGTAGGAACACCTCTTTCATCTGTCTGTGAAAACCATTCACGCAGTCCTGTGATGAGCACGGCAACATGAATTAAGACGGATGATACTAAATAGCGAGTAGCATCACATATTCGCAAGGACATGAAGATTCCAATGGAAAAGAAGCATGAAAAAACGTACCAGCAACACTATTCAGCATTTGAAGAAGACAATGTTGTTGAAATGCTGGAAGATAGCCTGCACCCCACCCTTTTAGATCAATCTGTATTAGATGTTGCACTTGTGTTCTAGGCCTCCCATTTCGAGGCTTTAGTGGGGCAATAGTATATCCTCCACCTATGAGAAACAAAAATTAGCCGAGCTTAGATAGTAGTACAGTAAAGATAAGATTGTTTTTGTTAAGCACTTAACACCAGATTAAAATGCTAAACTTACTCTCAAGATGAGCCCGGACACATCCAGGTTGTGGACCACAATTCTCATGCTCCTTAGAACGGTTCAATACAACTTCACAGAAAGAGCGAGATAAATAATCAACAAGCTGTATATAAAACAAGTTTCCAGACTCTAAGCATGAGTAAAGAGGAAAGTAATATACCATAACTCCCATCATCATTACGGCGCCAATAGCGGACATAACATAGGTCACGAGGCCACACAAACCTGTAGCCATTTGATATAGTAATTAGGATAAAAGAAAGCTTATGGAAACAACAAATTAATATTCTGACCGGAAACCGGACAATCACACATGACAACAATAATGGTAATCCAGAATTGTTTCCCCTATAACCAGTCTTTTTCAACATGGTATCATGGTAAACAAAATCAAAGACATTCTCTGCATACAACCTAAGCTCTTCAGGAAAACCGAGTCTATTTATCTAAGGACATAGCAATAAGATATAATTCAGTTGGAATCAAATTATAACTTGTCAGCCATTCATTAAAAGATTACATGTAGAAGGTGTGATTGTAACTAGAAGATAAAAAAATTCAGGTGTAACATTACATTGGAAACCAGTCGAGCAAAAGTCTGTGATAGAGCACTGCTGTATGACCATCCACCTCTTCCACTAAGCTACCAAACTGAAAGCTGCAGTCCCACCTGCATCGAAACCGGAGAAAAGAACATAAATGATCTCATATACAAACCAGAACACTAGAACAAATCACTTCTGGATGCATACTTCAGAAAGAAATATTGGGCAAGAGACATTATTATACAAGAAAAGAAACAGAAAAATATAGACCCAACACTAGTAACGCAAAGCAATGCCTACCTACAAAGAAATGAGGAAAAATAAACACCGTGCAGACCATTTCCTACAAATGGAAATTGAACGGAAAAACAGAAGGCAGAGAAACACCTACTCATAACGAGTGCCATCCATGCTCATCACAAGTTCGAATACTTCCTCACATGTTGCCTCCACTACACCAACAGCTTTCATTGCCTTACTGCAGCTCCTTGGCTGCACATATAGCACTGTAAATGACGGTTCTTGTCTAAATAGAAATCCAACGTAATCAAAAGGCAATCACGCCATAAAAATGACAAGCTATTAGAAACTCCCATACAAGGTAATCAACTTCAAGAAGCTCCTCAAAAATACGAAGACCTGTCAAATGTATAGAAAAACAAAAAGAAATAAGATTTAAGGCCAAATTATCTCCCTTTCCTTCAAAGAAATCTTCAGTTACTATAGCAGATAACTAAGGAGAGCACTGGGTTCCACAAGCTCCACGTAAGGTATATTTTGTGATTTAGCAGGGGGAAAATAGTAAACTATGTTGCATTGCAGAAGTGGCAGCATGTTCTACTCTGCAAAACCACTAACCATTTTGGCACTGAAGTAGACGCCAGTGTTTTCTTGAGAAAGCTTGGTCATCAGAATTTTGGTCATCAAACTCCTTTGTCCAGTCAAGTACAGATTCCGGAGGACCTGTACAGTTGTTTGAAGTTATTAGATAACAACCAGGGTTGAGCTGGCCAGATTAGTTCATGAATAAATGAATTCGAAAAGAACCATTTCCAATAGTTGTCCTCCTGATTAGACTACGTCGATGGTTATCTTCATCCTCTGGTGCACTGAACCTGAAGACAATTGAGATATGTTTGCGTAACTATATGCATATCAAAGTTAAATAGATAAATAAAATAGTGCAAACATCGCAAGGACTGATATCTGAGATGACATTGGTCACTCCGAACATTCAGCATTTTGTTAGAATCTTCCTGGATACATATAATGACTCAAAACCGAAGCAGCTGATTTGGAGAAAAGTTAATACTCAGATTAGGAATGATAGTTGACTTCCTAATAGGATCACAACCATTTTTCAAGTTTATTATACAACCATGATCGTCACATACTACTTAGTTGGAAAATATGGATGGTCATCCATCAAGCAGGCCAAGTTGAAGAATGAAGAGAGTAATCAGAGCATTATTCCATAAAGAAAACTTATGATAAAGTCAAGGTAATCCTATCATTTTCTCCTGAACCAGTGAGTTGTTTGCAAATTGAATCAACATGCCAGCAGAGATAGAGAAATCATATAAGATAGGCACTCACTGGCTTTCAGGATCTGAAGATGAAGCAGTCCTTCCAGTATCCATTCCAGACTTATATTCAAATGAAACATATTGCTGACCATTTGGAACTTGGGACTCTTGATGCTGTACCATTGCAAAACAGAGTGAGCTAATAAAAAAAAAAGCATTAACCTACACAAGTTCAGAAAATGAATACTAAATAAATAATGAAAGGCAGGAAATTTTGTGAATTGGGAGCTGATAGGCATATAAAAAACCTGGTCTATAACAGACTCAATTTTCTCCTTCCACATTAGTGCTTCCTGGATGTTAAACGCTGCCATCTAGCAAGAATATACTACTCCATATTAACTAACAAGACACAGAAATTGCCAAGTAATACGGTGGAGCTAATGTTAGAAGTAAAGACAGGATACCGTTATTCTATGGTGCTTTTCTTTCTTGTTATAGACAGACAACACGTAAACCATCTGCAGAATAGAGTTGGCAAGAACAAAAGATATTGTAAAGGCATAAGTGATAGTACAAGTCAAGACAATGATAAAAGCAAATTAACTTGGCATGCGAAAACCATCAATTTAAATCACAACAAATATTATCAAACATCTTTCTCCTGTGGGAATGAGATTGGAACTGTTGTGGAAAGCTGCACTTACACAAACTTTAGATGATCCTTCTAATTTAATAGTTTAAACACTGGAATATTTTTATCATACATGATACATATACGAAAGATGAGTACATCAGTGTTTATTTAATGCTTGGTTTTTTGTTCTCAAGAGACTTGGAGCACATTCGCATCTATAAGCATTTCAAGTAACATCATACTTAACAGAAAGGGTAAAATAAGACTCACATGTCCATGATGAGTCTTCAAGCCTCGATCCTCAACTCTGCAGTTGCCATCAATCAACATGGTCTTGATAGGAACCTAATTTCACATGTAGAAAAGCATCATTCAGCCAAAGCCTCTCACCCACATTCAAGAAGGAAAAAAACCTGAAACTCATATAGCAATCTCCAGCTCATAACAAAGAAAACAAAATACACAAAAAGTGACAGACAGAGCCAAAATCAGCCTTACTATTCAGTAAACCAGATTAAGTGTCTCATCTAAGCTGATGCCAAGCCAGAAACAGAAGAAAACCCAAAAGGGGAAGTTGAAAACGACAGAAAACTTACTCAAACAAGCAAATTAACAATCAGACAGATAAAAGTAAGGAATTGGAACAAATTCGTTCGTTTCTGATGAATTTCACCTGATAATCCTGCGGTTTCTTCTTGTAATACGCCAGAAGACGAGGCTCCAAAACGAAATACCTCATATGAATGTACGATCGTCCGATCTTCCTCCTTCCGTACCTAACCATCCACCCTTCGTAGACAACCTTAGACATTGTCACTCTCCCCAGAACAATTCTCCGGCGGGGACGAACAAATCAAGAGCAAAAGCTTCCCACGGGATCGAAATCGAATCTTAATTATTCCCGCGGGAGATCATCAGATACTAAATGAACTGATTGTTCACCGGCGCTCGGGCGCCGGAATCTGGTGTTGGGATTCCGCAGATTTCTCTGCGGCAGCGAAGACTTATGAGCTCAGAGGTTTCAGAATTACGAAAAAAATATCAAAATTTCACAAGACGGAAAAACAAGAGACAGTGATTCAACTTTGACAACAGAGAAAAATAAAATCGAAAGCTTTAAAACCAAAATAAAAATAAATCAGCAGAGAGAGAGAGAGAGGAATATCTGTACAAATAAATTAATTAATGAAAATTAGTAAAATAACTAATCACGCCAAATACGTAAGTTAGTCTGTTGAGCGAACAAACATATAATTAATTGATACATACATGTAATTAATTGAGTAGTCCTATTATTCATTAATTATAAAATGAGTCATGCCAAATCAGTTCAAAACCCACATTTTCAATTTGTCGTCATGTATAAAGCTGACTAAGCAACCCAATGAAGGTCGCTGACGAGTGACGGCGATCTTATTCCGTTCGGCATACAAAGAAACGACGACGTATGTACAAATTAGCTGACGTGTTAACCACATACACGTGGGCCACAATTATTGGCTGACGTCTTATTTTAGCTTTTTGTTCTGGAAAATAGACAACACATAGTATGTTATGGAAACATACAGAAAGTTGGAATTTTTCTCTTACAAATAAATCCAAGATTTAGCAGTGTATATAACTCTTTTGACAAACAGAGACAACACTGGAAATATTTTACAGTTGGGGTTAAAAACTTATTACCATGACTTTCTGAAAAAAATAAAAGTCTGTATTGTTCAATGTTCAGAGGATTTGGGTTTTTAAGTTTTAGAAAGGAGCAATGATAGATTCTATGAGCTCTTGAAGAGGAGCAAGTTCTTTCTTGTCAATGAGAACAAACTCCTGCAAAAACCAAACCAAACCAAGAATTAAAATAACTTCTAGTAAACTGATGAATCATCATAGTGATGATGATGATGAGTTAAGAGAGAGAGAGAGAGAGAGAGAGAGAGAGAGAGAGAGAGAGAGAGAGAGAGAGTAAAATACATGAGTGAAGAGGATGAAGTGTTTGAAGCAAGTGTTGAGATGAGCTTCTTCTTTGAGACTAACGATTTTCTGGAAATGAGAGTGGTAAATGTGTGCGTACACTCTGAACAATCGTTTAAAGATTGTCTTAACCACTTCCTTGAAGTGTTGAGGAAATGCCGCACCTGTAAAATTTCACCTTTTTGAATTATCTATCCCCTTGAAGATCAATCAATCAAGAGATTTTATCCATAGTCATCAAAGATATGACAATGTAAGGTTATATTTACCAAGCTTTTGAGGAAATATGGACTCGTCATCGAGTTGTGTCTCGATCCAATCCATCAAGTACTCAACATATTTTGGAGCTGAAACCTCGATAGGCTTCTTGATCTGTACACCATCTGCCCATCTGTATTCGTACCTGAGTTCAAGAATGAAACGGTTTCAGGCATCAATATCTTAATCATCACTTAATAGCAACGAACGTGATATCTAAGCAATTCCCAAAACCAAAAGTAAGAAAGAAAAAAAGGCCATTGCGTAGAAGTTGAGCTTAACTGATTATATCTAAGGCCCTGTTCGTTTGAACAGTTGGCTGATCAAGCTAGATGATCCAGCCAGATGGTTCAGTCAGATGATCCAGCCAGATGTTGTTCACTTTTTTTTACTCTCAGTTAGATAGATCAGCCGAATGATCAGCCAGATGAATCTTTTGTTCTTTTTCTCACTTAGATGGATCAGCCAAATACTTTTAATGGATAATGACGAAAATACCCATACTTTTTTTATCCAATCAAAGTTTTATTAACTAAATTAATTTTCTAACCATATCAACTTAAATAATATCAAAACCATAAAACGTAATTTCACAATTTTGCCGAAAATGTAAATTTGCGGTTTTGACAGAAAAACAAAATTTCGCAGTTTTGGCCAAAATTACAACTTCACACAATTATAGCAACAAAAAACACGATTTTGTGATATCTGCAATAAAAACAGGATTTCTCATCGGAAAATGCGATTTTGCGGTTTTGGCAGAAAAAATATGAATTTGCGGTTTAAGTGGAAAACTGCGATTTTGCGGTTTTGAACGCAAAACGTAATTTCACTGTTTCGGTGGAAGTTTCGTAACTTTGCATTTCAAGCAGAAACCCACGATTTTGTGATTTCAATAGAAAAACATGATTTTTCAGTTTAAACGGGAAAACTCGATTTCGCGGTTTCGGCAAAAATATATGATCTTACGGTTTAAGCGGAAAACTGCAATCTTACAGTTTTGGCAGGAAAACGTATTTTGGTGAAAATTTCGCGGTTTTGCGGTTTCGCCAGACAAACGCAATTTCTAGGTTTTGGCGGAAAATATGATTTTTTTGCGGTTTTTGCGAAAACGTAATTTTATGGTTTTGGCGGGAAAAGTTATTTTACTTTTCGGCGGAAAATGATATTTCACGGTTTTGGCGGGAAAAATGATTTTTGCTATTTCGGCGGAAAAACATTATTTTGCGAATTCGAAGGAAAACATTATTTCGCGGTATTGGCAGGAAAACATTATTTTGCGATTTCGGCGGAAAAACTTTATTTCACGGTTTTGGCGGGAAAACGTGATTTTTGCGATTTCGGCGGGAAAATGTGATTTTATGATTTCGGCGGAAAAACATTGTTTTCCGGTTTTGGCGGGAAAATACAATTTTGTGATTTCGGCGGAAAAATGTTATTTGGCGGTTTTGGTGGTAAATTGCAATTTTGTGATTTCGGCTGAAAAAAACGTTTTTTGAGGTTGTGGCAGAAAAACGTTATTTTTGTTTTTGTGGAAAAAATGTAATTTTGCGGTTTATCTTGAAAATATAATTTTGTGGATAATTTTGATTTTCAGTTTTGATAAAAAAAAATTGGAGATTGGATAATTTTTTTTTGTTTTAGAAATAGTAAATAAATCTATAATTTTATTCTTGTGTAAATATATTTTGAAGGATATAATTGTTATTTGTATTTTTGGAATGGAGATGGCTCAGCCAAATGCTTCATTTCGGATCAGCCAGATGGATCAGCTGACTATTAAAAATTTAGCCTAAATTTTTAGATTTGAGATGATCCATCAATGCAGCTGAATGATGCTCATTTTTTGTATTAAACGAACATCATCCAACTGCCTCATCCAGATGGATCAGCTGGATGAGCAAACGAACATGGACTAAATTGATTAACTTCGATGGTTTAGATGATTGAACTGAGTTTCATATCAAATATCAACCAGAATGTGACACGTTTTGGTTACATAACCATAAAGAGCAGGAAATACATATATATGCTCATATAGCTCTAGCATTTGCAAGGTTTTTTTGTATTTCAGGATCTCTAGAGAAAACAGTGATCAAGAATCATTTACTTAACAGAATGATGAAGAAGAAGAGATAAAAGCTATATACTTGGGACCAGCAGTCATTGTAGAGCAATTCTCCGGGGTGAAAAACTCGGTAAGTGTACCAAACAACAGATTCACCTGATTAAAGAAATCCACAGCTGAAGCATACAAAAAAAGAACACTCAATCAAATCAACATATATCATTGCTATTTCAAAATGCATAGTGAAACCATGAGGAAGTTTAAGCTCACTGTTAACTGCAAGCCATTCGTTTAAATCCTCTCCTGGAGGAAGCTTCACGGCTTCTCTAAGATTCCCACTACCTAGAGTTGCATCTATATGCTTTCGAAGCTGTGCTCCCTAAACACGATCAAAGCGAGAAGCAAAAACACTGATAAGGCTAACAAGAACATGAATCCATGGTAAAGAAACATGTCAAATTAGAATTTACAAACCTTGGTCCCTGATGCAGCGCTCTTTTTAGGACGGAAAGTCTTTTGATTTCTAATCAATGAGCATAAACAAAAGAAGAGAAATATATTATTAATCACACAACTTCATCAATATCCTACAAATAAACAATCTAGAACAAGGCTTTGACAAGAATCATGAGAATGGTCAATAAACAACTCTCCATTTTCTTCTGGATCCATTAAATTTTTGAGAAGAGAAACATGAACAATCAATATTCAACTGATTCCAAATAAGCTCACAAACACTTGACAAATTAACAGCACCAACTCTGGTCTAATCAGAGAACCCTAACAGTATGTGTGTGAAGTGAAACCAATCCACAATTCGTATAAAACTCAGTAATGGTGGATCACACAATTCACAAAGTCATATCAAGGCATGTGATAGGGAAGACACAAACTTTACTCAGCATTTCCTCATCAATCAAGAGATTCAGAAACTAGTGCCTAGAATTGGAGTTTTCCCTCAGTTTCGACACAATCTATTTGGATTGATTCTGAGGATGTCAAAGGCACAAATATCTCGTACGCAATAGATAAAAGGATCCGAGTATAAAGAAATCAGAAATCAATATTCCGACGATCCGTTTCCGAGATAACAAACAATCGAAAGACTCAATTTTTTTCCAGAAAAAACTACGCAGAGGAATCAGTAATTCACCTTCCCAGCCCGAATAGACTCATTGCTTAATCGGAGAGAGAGAAAGAGACGAACTTGAATCGCTTTGACAAAATTTGAGGAAAAAAAGGCGACTCCTTTATATGGGGACAATGTTCTCTTTCTCTGCGTACATTTTACGGTCGCAGACCAAAACGTGACAACTATAAATAAATAATTTCATTTATTCTTCATTTGGAAAATTTCCCAGAAACACACAACATTTTCAAAAGTTTTGTATTACATATTTACATGCTCTATAAAAGTTCAAGACTTTGAAAGATTATTTATAGGTATCTACACTGAGAAATCATATAACTTTCATCTTAAAATCAATGGAAATGTCGATTCTGCTGATTCGTTTCTAGAACACACAACATTCTTGTGTTGCTATTGTTGAATTGGGCCTGTAGTTTCTGTGGGCTGTGTTTGAGTTTGGATTTTAGCCTCAATATTCCTGCACAGAGAACAGTGAGTGAAACAACAAACAAAAAGTGTTGATTTTTCGAAAAAGTTCTTACTTGTGAGGCTGATCTTCTGGAATTTCTGCTGTTTTCTTTGCTCCTAGCTTCAGTTCCTCAAGTGTAGCTTCAAAATTTGGACATTTCTCGTTTGTGTATTTCTCCAGATTCGGAAATCTCACTCCATCAGGCGATAAAACAGGCAAATCAAGAAGGTAGAGCTTGCGAAGCTTCGGTAACTCTCCTACTTCTGCTTCAAACAGTTTCTTCAGCTGATCACAGAACGTCACACGTAGAATCTCAAGGTTATCAGGAAGCTGAGAACCTCCCGGGAAGAGCGATTCGATGCTTGGACAACAATCTATGCTTAGCTTCTTGAGGTTCTTGAAGACAAACCTTCCATTAACACCGTCTAGTTTCTTAAGCAATGGAAGATTTGAGATCCAGAGAGTCTCCAATGACGATGGTATCTCCATGTCTTGTTTCTCACCTGATAAGAAGAGATTCTCCATCTTCTTGCACCTCTCCACCCAACAACCTCTTACCGATCTCATCTGAAACTCGCGGAAGATCAGAGACACGCTTTCGGATTCATTTTCTGAAACAGAGACGTACTCTGCTCTGGATATATACTCTTTCCCAAGATCCACTGATCTCTTTGTATCAACGATATCGATATCCAAAGGAGCTTCAGGATCAAGAACTCTGTATCTATTGCCGTGATGAACAAGCTTCTCGGTTTTTTCGTCGGTTTTCTCCGGTAGATTAGAGGTGCTTGATCCCTCTGGATTCACTTCTAAACATTCCTTTATTAGGCTCCACTCGTCTTTCTCTAAACATCTCGAATCAGCGAGCACAATGCGTTTTGAAGAACAGAAGATGCTCTGTTTTGGCAACTCTGGAAACGTTTTGAGTTTAGTTCCAGAGAGATTCACCTCGCGAAGATAAGACATATTCTCGAACGATCCCTCGATTTCCCCCAGCTCGGTGCAGCCCGAAACATCGAAGATCTCAAGATGTATCAGCTTCTCAAAATTTGGAAGAGCCTCTAGCTTGAGACAGTTTCTTATGATGAGCGCTTTGAGGTTAGCTAGCTCCGAGATTTTGTTAGGTAACTTACTGATATTCGTTCCCGAAAAATTCACTTTGTGGAGATAAGACATCTTATCGAAAGATCCATCGATCTTCTCCAAGTTATTGCAACCGGAAACATCAAGAACCTCAAGGTGTGTTAGCTTCTCAATGCTTGGAAGCTCTTTAACCATGGAGCAGTTCCTTATCAGAAGCTGATTGAGATTGGTAACATCAGCAATCGTGTCGGCTAACTCGGGAAGACTTGTGTCTGAAATGTTAAGGATTCTAAGCTCTTTCTTCTCTTCTAAACACACTTCAAGCATCTCAACCAACATTGTAGCACCAGAGGCATCAAGAATCTGAAGATTCGTCAGTGGCTTAAGCTGTGGCAATCTCTTAAGCCTTTTACAGTTTCGAATCAAGAGACGTGTCAAGGACGGCATGGTGCTGTAATCATTAGTCGAGTCTTTGAGATGAAATATCGGTAAGCGAATGATTCGAGACTCGGAGAAGTCCAAGTGTTCGAGCCGGCGAAGAGGAGCGAAGTTCTTGTTCTTGCCTTTATAGTCTCTCCAATCTTTAACTCTGTCGAAGTAAGACTCGAGTTTCTTAGCTCAGTGAATGTCGATGACTTCTAGTTTCTTGGTCTCCACGTTGAAGTTAGGCAGATCTTGTAGCTCAGAGCAGTCTCTTAAGATGAAGCAACGTAGCATGCTTAGCTGTTCGATTGAGGAAGGTGAAGATTTGATTGCAAGCCCCGAAAGGTTAAGACTTTGAAGCTCAGTCATGTTCTTGAAGAAATCATCAGAAATGTTAACTAGAGAGCTTGCGCCAGAGACTTCAAGAGTATGTAAGCCTTTAAGACTCATGAGCTTATCGATGTTTTGGATTAGATCGCAGTCTCTGATCACGAGTACTCGTAGTTTCTTCAGTGTGGATAACGACTCAACAAGGTCTTGAAATGTTGGCTCAAAGAGGACAACAACTTCAAGATCTTGCATCTCTGGTTTCTCAAAGAACTTCCTTGGAACCTCTCTTCGCAAACGGTTTCCGCTAACCATAATCGTTGTGAGCTTCTTGTCCTTAGACTGAATGGTCTTTATCATATCATCGATTAAGATGATTCTCCCAAACCCTTTTGTTTTGTTTCCTCCGTAGACTCTGTTGAATCCAAGACGAGATCTTCCAAAGAAGCCACAGTCTTGAAGATCCAATAGATTGCTCATAGATATCTCTGGAACCACCATGTTATCTTCTTGTATCTTCAAGATTCCCCTGTTCATAAACTCCATTAAAATGGAATGTCCTTCTTGATAAGCTTTCTCAACCGACTTAACCGGATCGAAATACCCTTCAAGCATCCAGTGGACGATTAGGTCTCGGTAGTAAGCGCATCCACAATGCTTGTAGAAGTCCAGGACATGCCAAAAGCAAGCAATGACCGGACTTTTGACCGTCTCGTCCGGTTTTAACAGCTCGTAGCTTAAACGCAAGACCGGATTGTAGCGGTTGCGATCTACAGCGTTCTTGGAAGCAGATGCTGCATCTAGTGACTTGGAAGATAGAATCAGTTCTTTAAAGATCTTTCTTTGTTTTGCAGACAAGGACTTGATGCTGTCTAAAGACTTGGTTAAGACAACGATTGCAGCCGGCAAGCCTTTGCTCTTGCTCACGATGCAAGACATCAAAGTAGGTTCTTTGATCTCCCCGTTCTTGCAAAGGCTCTGCAGCAAAACCGGCCAATCTTCAACGGTAAGCGACTCAAGTAACTTCTGAGAGTTGCTGAGTAAGTGCCGTGACTCGTCTTCTGTAAGAGGAGTGACTTTGATCATTTTCGTCGACCCTTTGTCTTCTCCTTCATCTCGTTTTGTGACTAGAGTCTTTAAGGTTGTTGAGTGTTGCTCAAGGAACTGTTGGAGCTTTAACTCTTTCATCACATGGGTTTCGGTTGTCATGCTTCCTTCGTCATCCAAAACCAAAAGAAGATTCTTCTTTTCGTTGTGGAAGTTGATGATCTCATCTTTTATCTTCTTCTTCAAGCTCTCCAGTGAATCAACAATCTCGCTATGTTCTTCGCCTTCTTCATACTCAGGAAATAACGATAACTGAGAAGCTAGATTCTCGTAAAGCGACTTCTCCTCTCCAATCATTTTGTTGAGATGTAACCAGAGGACATTGTAAGAAGAAGATGTTTCTTGGGTCACACGCTTGCTGACTTCTTTTGCAAGCCATGTCTTCCCTATGCCAGCTTCACCAACGAGGACAGTCCTTGAAGCGACACCGTCTTGTCCCAACGATTCCATTATCTTCTTGACAATCTCTTCTCTGGTGATCTGATCTTTCTTCTTCTCTTGCGTGCCCATTTCTAGAACAAAACCAAACAAAAGAGAGAAGAGATTGAAAAACCACAGGGGTATATTTCTTGAGGAAATGAAGCCAAGCTGATCTAAAAATAAAATTAAAAACTTTGAATACGATTGTAACCTCATTTTGTAGAAACTAATTTATGGAGTTTTATTCTCAGCTTACTTGACTATAATCTGAATAATTTTTGTTACATATTTATTTAGAGAGCACCACATAATATATCTACTGTCCACTGTACAACTAATATGTATGACAACAATCAAATAACAATTTTTAAAAAAAGTTTCATTTCTATTTAATTATAAGAAACTTCAAAGAAAATTCAAAATGAAAAATGAAATTTACTCCTTTATCAAAAATAAAAAATGAAATTTACTCCTGGAAATTTAGATCAAATAAAAATAAAACAAAGAAAATTGAGAAGAACCTTAATGGTCTAGAGTTTCTGATCAGATTGGTTTTCTCCACTGATAGTTTGGTCTTTACAGTTTTCTTTGTTATTTGTTTTGTTATCCTTCCTTGATTGATTCACGTATTTATACAACTCCAGCTCCGGCGACTTGCATGTGAAGCTATCTTGAATTCTATAAAAACAACAATATCTCTTTTTCAGTTTAGATAATATTCTGCCGAGACAAAAACGTCAAGTATATAAATATTATTAGACCCTTTCTGAAATTTCACACTTACTATTTATGATAGTATCAACTAACAAATATACTCCAAATTTCTCAATTTTATTCGGAGTCTGCAAGTAACAATGGCCATTTCTTGGAATTGTTCACAAGCAAAGATTTTATTTTCGTATTACCAAAAGAAAAAATTACATGCAAAACACATTTATGTGATCATGTGAACGTGGTACATGTTTAGAAAAGTAAGGGTATAGATGTTTAACTTCAAAATATTGAGGAGAATCTGAAACTTCTCTTAAGCTCAAAGGAAAAATAATATATATACTTCCTTCAAGAGCGATAGTATTTTCGAAGTTCAAACTTATAATTGATTTTTTTAGACGCGTATCTGATCACTATAGCAAATTGTTCTAAAAAAATCCAAAGTCCCATGAACAGTAGTTACAGTATACGGATCACACATATATGACTGACGATCACTAAAACACATTTTCTTGTAGATTTCCGTGATTAGAGAATTTAGATGTAACATTTTTTTTGTAAATTGACACATGATTGTTAGAAAAACATATATATGGGACAAAACATTATCTTAGCCTTCACAAATTTGTATTCATTATTTTCAAACAGTAGAGGTTTACACTCCCATTAGTTATAATGATACTATAACTATACTGATAAACAATTTTAATCAGCAATCTTTCAAATGTTTCCTTAGATTATAGAGTAAATAAAACACATAGATATACACACATTTTCTTGTAGATTTCCGCGGTTAGAGTATCTTTTGTAATTTTTTGTAATTAGATGTAACATTTTTTTGTAATTGACAAATGTGGTTGTTAGAAAAACAATTATGGGACAAAACATTATCTTAGACCTTCACAAATTTGGATTCTTTATTTTCAAACACAAGAGATTTACACTCCCGTTAGTTACAACTATAGGATTTTTTCGAATAATGAAATGATTTTAATCAGTAATCTCCAAATGTTTCCTCCGATAGAGAGTGAATAAAACACACACTATAGATACATTGGTTTACAAGTTATACAAGCTTGTCTACTTCTCCATGTCTCCCCCGGTTTCATCCACTTTCACAGGCTCAAGCTTGGACAACATTCGAGCAGCCAAAGGAACACCACAAGACTTATCCATAAGCTCTTGTTTGAATCTCCCTGGATACCTCGGATTCACTTTCATGGGTGCTCCAAGTACTGCATCGCTGTAAATCTCCCACACGCTCTCTGCATCGGATCTCGGAAACAAACGCAGCACATTCTCTTCTTCTCCGACTATCTTCTTAGCCAATCTCTCGTTTCTGCTTGTCACAATCACTCTCCCACCAAACCCTTTAGGAAACCCACAAGAAAGATGTGACAAACCCTTTAGGAAACCCACCACACCCTTTAGGAAACCCTTTAGGATTCACAACTTATATTATGAGACAAAAATTAAAAGCCAAAACAGCTTACATTATGGGACAGAAGGAGTATAAAATAAAACGTCTCTATTACTAATAAAAGTTTATCCTATATGCCTCTAAAGGTGTGCACATGAGATTTAAAAAGCTTAATTTGATTGGTCCACATAATCATTCACATGATTAAGAAAATTTTCAATCTTTAAATATTTAAGAGATAAGGAAATTAAGTATATATATAATTTTAAGTAACCAATAGTATCATTCCACATCGATAGTAAAATTAATTTATCATTTTTTTTTTATATTTCAGAAAAGTTTATTAGTTAAATAATTTCTACAAAAAAAAATATTTTCAAATTATAACAAAACGAAAACTGTGTTATAGTAAATTACTTATATTAATCCATATAAAATTATCTAACACTAAGGATTTTTTCAAATTTTTTAAAATTGTAATGTGATAGAGATATGTAGAGATAAAGAAAACATGTATAAGTTTTTATTAATACCAAAAATCTACTAATAATTTAATACCATAATTCTACTAATAATTTAACCAGGAATTTTCTTAATTTGAAATAAAGGTTTCAATTATATAAATAATCACTTAAATATTTATAACAAATAGAATAATAAAATAATTTTATGTAGCATGTATAAATTAAAAAAGCTTACTAAAATTATTTACAAAATGAATGGAGTTATGTAGAATTTGAAGAGTGGAGAATCACCTAGATAAGAAGAAAAAGAAGTTGAAGAAAAAAACAAAAACCAAGACGGAAACAAAGAAAAAGAAGATTAAGTGATGAAACCGAAGAGATAATGAATTGTGAAGAAGTAAAATAAATAAAAAATTAAAGATAAAAATGAAAAAGAAAAAAAAACGATAAGAATCTTGCGAAGATGAGAAACAAAAGACCCGAAACCAAACATGAATACAAAGGAGGAATAAAGATGAGTAAAGACGAAGAAGAGGAAATGCAAAGATGTGAAGATAAATGAGAAACCAAATAAGAACAAAGAATAAATCAAAACAAGAGAAATTATTATAGGGCAAATTAGATCCTTTTGATGTCGGTTACTATAGGGCAAATTATTATGTACTTGATATGATATTGATTTGAAGTTGATGATTCTTCTTTTTCTTTCATAGAATGTGAGAAGCACGAAAATCTGGCTTTATTTAGAGAGTTTCACAATTCCGGAGGATCTGAAGGTTGATTTTCTATACAAGCGCATTGTGGCTGTCCTGAGAGACATGAAGCACACAAGACCAGTGGTCTTATTTGATCAAACAATCTATGATACCATAAGAAAACATCTACAAAACCACTTTAGTCTTTAGTCTTATTTGTTGAACTATTTATATATATGCAAACGTAATTTGCTGAAGGCGTAGACATTAAGAATCAAGTGTATAGTGCAAGGAAAAATGAGGCTTTTGTAGATGTTTTTGTGCTCCAAATCAAGCCAGATTTTCGTGCTTTTCTCGTTCATTCTATGAAAGAAAAAGAAGAATGATCAACCTCAAATCAATATCATATCAAGTATATAATAATTTTCCCTATAGTAACCGACAATCGACATCAAAGGGATCTACGACAATCGACATCAAAGGGATCTAATTTGCCCTATAGTAATCATCTCAACTAATTTGCTCTATAGTAATCATCTCAAAGCTAACCGACGTGCATTTGATTGTTTATCAGTTGAGATGAAACAGTTTTTTGTATAAAAAAATGTAGACTTTTTAATATATGGTTAATGTGATAATTTATATATTTTTATAAAATTTAGTCCAACCAAGAAATGAGAGAAAAATGTAGTATTTAAGATAATAATTAATTTGATATATTTGATAAGATATGGAAAAACTGATAATATCTTTAGAATTAAATGTTGAAATATGTATAAACTATTCTCTAACCAAATTAATGCAATGACATAGGTTGTAAATTGTCTAGTAAATTTTTGATTTAATTAATAGTTGTCTTGAGAGTGAATCTGATGATAACATGGAAGCAATGACATTATTGTTAATAACTGATGAGATAAATGTTATTTTGATAGTGTTTTCTCTTTTAATATATTAGGGATTAAATATTTTCTGAAATTTCACACTTACTACTTATGATAGTATCAAGTATCAACTAACAAGTATACTCCAAATTCCCCAATTTTATTCGGAGTCTGCAGCGTAACAAACTAACAATGCCTTTTTCTTTTAATTGTTTACTACGCAAGCAAAGATTTTCTTTTCGTATTATCAAAAGAAAAAGTTACATGCTAAACACATTTATGTGATCACGTGAATGTGATACATGTTTAGAAAAGTACGGGCATATATGTTTAACTTCAAAGTACTGGGAAGAATCTGAAACTTTTCTTAAGCTCAAAGGAAAATAATATACATCCTTCAAAAGTGACAGTATTTTTCACTTTTCAAGTACCAATATTCTTTTTATTCGAAGTTGAAACTAGTAATTATGCATATATGTGATCACTGAAGCAAATTCTCGCAGTTCTGTTCTAAAAAATCCGATCACCCATAGACAGAATACGAGCATGCTTATATGGTTGTGAAGATCATTATTATATACTCCCTCCGTTTTTTTAAGATGAATTTTCTAGCAATTATGTGTTGTTTCACAAAGATAAATTTTTTACATTTTTGAAACACTTTTTCAGTTTTCAAGAAACATTGATTGTATTTGTTAGATTTTTATTGGTTTAAAATTATAAAAAGTTGTTTTATTGCAGAAATCTATGCACTAATGATTGAAAATCAACTTTTTCTTAATCCGTGTGAAAAAATTAGAAAATTTATCTTTAAAAAACGGAGGGAGATTTATCTAGTTCACTAAAACACATTTTAAAATTTATCTTTAAAATTAGAAAATTTATCTAGTTCACTAACTGAAAAAACACATTTTTCTTGTACATTTCCGCGGTTAGAATATCTTTTGTAATTTTTTTGTAATTAGATGTAACATTTTTTGTAATTGACAAATGTGGTTGTTAAAAAAACAATTATGGGACAAAACATTATCTTAGACCTTCACAAAATTGGGTTCTTTATTTTCAAATACAAGAGGCTTACACTCCCGTAAAGAACCCAATTTTGTGTAAACCTCTTGTATTTGAAAATAAAGAACCCAATTTTGTGAAGGTCTAAGATAATGTTATAGTTTTTCGAATAACAAAATGATGTTAATCAGTAATCTCCAAATGTTTTCTCAGATTAGGGAGTGAATAAAACACATACTATAGATACATTGGTTTACAAGTTATACAAGCTTGTCTACTTCTCCACGTCTCCTCCGGTTTCATCCACTTTCACAGGCTCAATCTTGGCCAACATTCGAGCAGCCAAAGGAACACCACAAGACTTATCCATAAGCTCTTGTTTGAATCTCCCTGGATACCTCGGATTCACTTTCATGGGTGCTCCAACTGCATCGCTGTAAATCTCCCACACGCTCTCTGCATCGGATCTCGGAAACAAACGCAGCACATTCTCTTCTTCTCCGACTATCTTCTTACCCAATCTCTCGTCCCTGCTCGTCACAATCACTCTCCCACCAAACCCTTTAGGAAACCCACAAGAAAGATGTGTTTTCTCCTGTTGAATTTTCTTCTCCTCATCAAGCCTCTGATCCCACTCGTTATCTCCCCAAACGTCGTCCAACACGATCATATACTTCTTCCCAATCAGATTCGTGTGAAGAGCATACAAGAATCTAGAGAGCTCTTTCTCTTTAACCGTCTCTTCTTCTCTTTCCCCAGCTTCATCTTTGCTTCTCTTCTCTTCTTCTGCATCTGTTTTGATGTGTTTCAACATCTCATCTTCGACTCCAAGTGATCTCAAGATTCTCTTCACAACAGCTATCTTGGGATCTTCATCTTCTTCTGTTTCTTTGCTGTACATTGACACCCATATCCTCGGGAGATAAGCTTGTTTCACATCTTCATCGTTGAACACAACCTGACACAATGTCGTTTTCCCAACTCCATATTTCCCAACAATCGCTAGAGTCTTGAACTCTTCGGAATCCTTTCGCTTCAGCAAGAAGTTCTTCAAGAACAAGACCTCGTTTACAAAACCATGAATGGGGTGATCCGGAAGCTCAGATCTTGTCTCCACACAGTTCGCCTTAGGTCGCCTTCGTTTACTGATGCTGCTGCTGTCGCGAGTTTCTGATGAATCGTCATTCGTGGACATGTTTCCATGCTTAGAGGAAGATTCACTCTGTTTTTCAGACAACCACTTCACATCGAAAGCTAACTTGATTGTCGCAAGCCTCTCATCAATTTCAGACGTAGACTTCTTAGGTTGCTCCATGAGCTCTTCTTGTGTTTCTAAGTAAAACTATAAGGGGAGGAAAGTCTGCAGCTTTCACTTTGGGGTGACACAGATATATGTATACACGTTTACACAGTCGAATTTTCTTTCTCAGAAGATTATTCATCCCCGGAAGTAAGGAATAAAGCAAATGAAACAAGAAGAGAGAAAATATTTTATTTGATTAAGAGAAAAGCATAATCCTGTAGTGTAACACTAACTACACTTCAGGTCTTTTCTTCTTTTTGTGCAATACATTAACTAACCTGAACTGTCTATGAATGCTACTATACTATGAAAATCCCAAACCTCTTAGACGTATCAACATCGTCTCAGACAGAACGCAATAGGTTTGGTTCGTAGTGTTTCTCCACCAAAACAGGAACCAGGTTCTGACTTGTGCTGAATATTTCACAGTCACACATGCCAATGAAAGGAAGTAACTATCCAGCAAAGGGACATCTCGAAATGAGTGTCTTAGATGCTTAAGATCTTCGTGGTGATAAATCTCCACGATTCTTGTCTTCCACACCTGCATAGAAAATTTGATTGATCTCACTGTTTTCTTTCCACTTTGTTCTTAAAAATATTTGATATATAGTTATCTGTAACATAGTTACATAGGGGGTAGGGGCAAGCAAATGTTCAGACTAGAAGCCATGATTCTAACTTCTATTGTACTATCACAGTCAAAATATTAAAGACTATGAACAGCAAACAGATAGGGAAGAAGTATGAACATGGATATGGAGACAATGGCTTAAACCCAGAAAAATATAATGTACCTTTGCGGACATGGAGAAGATGACTCGCAAATCTTCCACAGTCATGTGAAATGAACAAAGGCAAACTTTTAATGTCAATGGCACTATCTAAGAGAGGCTTCTTGTTAAAACTAGAGCAAATCTCACTGACTTGTCTCTGCAACCCCACAATCTGAGGCATAAACCCGCTCCAACCATCTGTCGAGAGACTTTTACCAAACAAGTTAAAAGCACCCTTTCTTGTTGCTTCCACAGCTGAAGATAAATTACCAAAAAAAGAAGTTACAGCAGACGAAATATTACTTCTCAACTACATGACACCAGTGAATTCAAGTTGCATAAAACCCGAATTAAGAAAGCACAAAAAAGGAGTTAACTTGGTAACTGGGAACACATATATATCAATATGTGTGGGTGTATGAGAGAGAGATAAGAGTATATACTGTTATAAGGAGCAGCAAGAAGAAGGTTAGTCGGGAGACCAATGCCGAGACCAGCAAGTGTTATGCCAACATTGAAACCAACGCCGCAGCCTGCACCGACATAGCCAATGACCTCAGGGCCGAAGCCAGGTCCCCAGCCGACGCCGCAGCCAATCCCAATCCCCATTCCCCAAAATGATCCATAAGTAGGATGAACTGGATTCCATTTCTTATATCTCCTAAATATACCTTTAATGATCATCAAGACCTGAAATTTTTGAAGCACAATATATCAATTTGTAAGTTAACATTGACCCACTAAATGGTCAATAGATAGATATTCATCACTATGACCAGAACAGGTAAAGCTCTTTTTTTTTTCCACAACCCATATAAATCGAATAAGAACTAAATCAATAAACTAATTCCAGTTTATTTCGTCGCAACAATTGATGAATCCTTCGGGATAACTGAAACAAATAAACCTCAAGAATCTACAAATGAACAAAGCATCTAAATTTACCATCAACGGATTACTATTTCAAAATTTCTCGTCCGTGTCGCCTTCGCATCTCCTTCTTTGTTTTCCTTTGTTTTCACCTTAATTCGATCCGCAAGCGCAAACTGCATACACTCTTCCTTCGGTTTTCTTTTTCCAACGAACACAGAGAAGGCGAGAGAGTCGTCATCTCTTCGTCGTTTTACGCTTGGATATAACCAAAAAGAAAAACCGGACCGGTCAGACATAACCGGTATAATACGACCCGGTTAACCAAATCAAACTACGGAATCATCATCGTCGGTAGATCTTCTGTTCTGGTATTTTTCTACTTGTGAGTTAAATCTCCGGCGTCCGATGTCTGGTTTCCGGCATTTGGCCTCTCACCTCTAGTCGTTGGGTCGCCTTTCGTGATGCGTCGATATAGGTCCTAAACCCTTAAATTCTCCTGCTTGGTCACCATTTCCTCAAGTCTGGAAGATTGTAATCAAACTCGGGAAATCTAAGAAAGTGCGATTCTCTCAGGTGAAAATGATTATATATCAGTAGTGACGACTCTGTGGTTTTTTCTGATATGGAGAACACGATAAAGGTTAAGTCTTTGAACAATTCAGTAGTAATTGGGTGTTAGAAGCGGAACAATTCGTTAAGTCTTTGAACAATTCGTGGATTTGAAATTGGAGCAACCAAGGTCAAAGCAGTAAGCTGTTTTTAGGTTACATTGAGCAAATTAGGGTTTATCAGAACTGATAAGAGTTACAGTGCTGCTGGATTATGATTTCAACAATAACCAAAGATTTGTCACACAAGACAAGAAGCGGCCTTGTCCAGAATCAGTTTAGCTCTAGAATCTTCCTTGCTGGTACGGAACTGCTCTCCGAATCCAAAATGAGCCATCAAAAGCCAAACAAAGTTGATCAGCTGACCACCATTGTTGAGCTGAGCTGCATGTTGTTTGGAATCACAGTGAGTCGCTGCGTAGCAAAGCATCTCCACCCACACTTTGCTTACTACTTCCCACATCTGTTTATTGCTTACTTGAGTTTGGATCCGTTGAAGCTCCTTGGCTAGCATGCTCGCTTGGAACAGCACAGACTTGCTTCTATACCCGTCAGCATTCTGGTTTCCTTGCTCATCCGCCTTGTAAGAATCCAGAATTGCTTTACAAGCAACCTTTGCATCTCTTGAATCTTCAACGTGCGTCCTCTGAAACAGCTTTTTAGCCTCTTGGAACTTTTTCGCTTCTGTTATCGCCTCTGTGAATCTCACCTTATCAATGCCAGCAACTGTTGACATCAGAGCAGGCTGCGCGATTAGGAGGTACATCATGTAGTCTGAAAGGGTTTTGCTGAAGTCTCTGTATCCGTCATCTCTTGCCTTGTCCTCGTTTGTTTGGTGTAGTAGCTCAGTGGCAACGTGCCACACCAGAATGCTCTGGTCGTAATTCACTTCAGTAACATACGGCAGCAACTTCTCGTAATAGTCCTCGATTTTCATGTCGCGCAGGATCCAGTCGCCTCTAGCGGAATATATGTAGCTGGAGCTTTCCGAGCCAAGAATAAAGAGGCATCTATGCTTGACCTCCTTAAAGATGAACTCCCAAAACTCTCTAGTGAGGCGTTCACGAGATGTGAATCTGATCTCGTTTATCTGATCTACGATGCCGAAGAATTCCAAGAGATAGTTGATCACAGGAATGCCAAACCAGCATTTTAGAAACACCCTGACGGGGTAAAGAGCGTAGTACATTTTTCGATGCAAGATGAAGAGAGAGCTGATGTATAAGTCTGTCTTCTTGCGGATGTGGTTCAAGGCTGCGGAAACTAAGACTGTTTCTCGGATGATGATACGGATGGCATGATCTATGTACAAGCTTTGAATGATGAAGTCAAAGCAACGGTGTATGTGACCCTTGGTGTGGTGGATTCTCTTTGATTTTATCTTGAGGGAGGATTCAATCAGGTTGTATGCATATATGTACTCAGACCATCTCCGGAATATGAAGAGCCTATCAAGCACCATGTGGTGGTAGCTTTGTTCTTTCTCGTGGCCCTTGCACTTCTTCCACTTCAGAGCCCTGAAACCGAGGAGCCAGTTGAGAAATCTGTCAAACCTGGCGTCTTTCTTGTCCAGATCCTTCTTAGGCTTCCTCAATCTTGCAAATGTCCAGTCGGATACCCAGAATATGAGGATAGAGATGAAATCGAGTGCGAGTCCACCAAAGATCAAAGCATAAGTAAGGCCAACATCAAAACCATCATATCCATCTTTCCTTGATGTTCTGAAGATGTAGAGGGATGCAAATAGGCAACTCAAGGCTATACAGCGGAAAGCAGCTCCAATCCAGGTGTGCAATATGTCGGCTTTGGTGAATAGAGTGCCATAGATGAAGCTGAGCTCTACCTCTAGAATGCTCAAAGCCTCTTCTGCGGACAATGACCGGAAAAACTGCTTGCTCTCCATCCACTGCTCGGAGCTATACATGAAATCAACTACAAGACCTTTGTAGATATTGAAGTACTTATAAGCATATTGGACAACCTGGAGATGAGTCAGAGTAACCTTTGGCCATACTGCTACCCCAACGTTTTGCTCCTTCTCAGGCTTATCAACCTTAACCAACTGGCTACGTTCTCTTGAGATCTTTCTAATGTTATATTCCTCCATGAACCTCATGTAGTCGAGTCCTGGTTCGGGCTACCCAAGCATCAAATCCTTGAACCTTTCAAGACTTGCTCCACGCATCGCTCTTATCCTCTCAACATATTTGATGACTCCAGCCACAAGCATGAGGGATGTTGGTACGAAGAGGCTGTTGGGTATTGATAGCATGAACACGTAGAGAGTAGCAAGGAATTGGCACACAAGACCGAACAAACTCCTGAGCCAGAGCTCATTATCCTCCAGAGCAAGAGCTGTGATGGTGTCAGGACCACCAAGGTGCAAGAGAAGGAATGTTGCCCAGAAAGCTAAGAGATCGTTGGTATTTGGTGACTCGTTGGGTTCAGGGTCGTCTCCTGAGCTATCTGAGATCTGTGCCACGGCATAATCAGCTGCCCAGTTGGCCAAAAGGTAAGCCGACCAGAGGAGAAGTCGAAAAAGTCTCCTCGGTGATCGTTTTCGATTTGGTGAGAGAAGAACAAGGATTGCCTGAAGAAGAAGACTGTATATCACAAGGCCACGGATGTTCCATTTGTCCCACATATCTTTCACTCCCTTGGGTATTGCCTCCCCCATCTTTGTTGTTGCTGTTCCGGATCAGCAAACTGGAAACTGGAACTGGTTCCTGCCTTTTTTGGAGGACTGGTTCTCAGTTATTAAGACGGTTTAGTTTGGTTTGGTTTATTCGCATGACCCGTTTAGATGCAACTCGGCTAGAAACAAGCCATCTCGATCATAGCCAGTAAGTCATCCATCAAGTTGGCTCCAAGATTACCAATATTAAACAGAACAAGGAAAAAACTTAAACAAAGACTTGTTCTCGGGACCAAGTTTTATGTTTAGAATACTATCGAAATAAACTTGGTTGACTTTAAATCTCTCGGTCTTTTTTATTTGTTTTTCTCCTTAGTTGTGTGTGTCATGTGTGGATATGCTGGGGAAGGCATTTTTATATTCAAACCTTCTCGGTCGCCACCATGTTTCCTTTAGTCTTTAATACCTCATAGGTCATAGCATCAGTTTTCTACAAGTTTTTCTTTATTCATGTTAGCTTTTAAAAGTTATAGATGGATCATGCTCAAAAGTCAAAACTCTCACACAAGCTGTAAATGAAATTATGTTTTGGTCTCTCATCCAAACAAACAAAAAATGTACAAAGACTTCCAAAGTTTTATAAATGTAGATTTGCTTTCAAAGTATATATATATTAAACAAATTCTCTCATATTGTTGAACTATCTCCACTATCTCGAAATTACATCAAAGATGGACAGAAGTTGCAAGACACACGCAAATAAAAATAGAAAGGAAAAACAAATAGACAAGTTTACCAGTGAGTTCTTTTGACATATTACACAGAAAAAAAAAAAAACACACACACACACACACACGAAGAGGAAACAGAGAAATTTAGGAGATGCTAATGTTTTTATTCGAAATGTAAGTTTCGAAACAAAGAGAAGAACACAAGTAAACAGTATCATTTGTAGACATCAAGAGCAGTGGTTCATTGCAATCATTTTCACAATGGTTGCAACGTAGTTGTGATGTCCGGTCATTGAGAACCACTTGGTACTCTTGTCCATGTGATGCGAAACTCATCCCGAGTCTCATGTTCCTGAAACTTCCAAGGAGACACTCGGTGTGGATCACCGGACCACAATCAGAACACTTGTAGTGGTTCCTGTTTAGGTTGAGTTCCGTTTCGCACAAGTCACACCAGTATAGACCGGTGACAACATCTTTACCATCTTCAGCAATGGTGTGAGAGAGCAAATGCTCATCATACTTGTACTTGACCTCAAGGGGTAAGGTTGCACACGCGAAGCACAAATAGAAACTGCAATCAGTACAGCTTAGCACACATTTAGGCCGGTCAAGCTTGCAGACATTGCAGATCTTCTCCTTCTCATCATTTGTTTGAATGATGAAAAATAAATCATGGGAGCCATGAAGATGGTATTTAAATGGCTCAGAAAGTGAAGAACATTGAATATCGAACTCGATGTCTTTGCACTCCAAACAACGGTATCTAAACCCATTGAAATGTAAGTCACAAGCACCACAGCGAGAGAGATTAGCATCTGACCTGTCGGTGCATAGAGTAAGTGGGTGTACATGTAGAAATGTGGTTTTCTCCAGAGGAAGACTAGAACATTTTTGGTGAAGAAAAAAATCACATAGATCACCACACTTGTAAAAAGGCTCGGAAGCGATGGGAAAAGCACATCCAGAGCAACGAACGTTTTCGGGTTGATGAACAACTTTGGTATCTCCATTTTCGTCCTCGAGTCTTAAAGAATGTTCATGACTAAAATGAAGAATGTTTCTTGGAAGGAATAACACCTCGCTATCCTTAATCTCACCAGCCTTCTTCTTCTTCTTCTTCTTCTTCTTCTTCTTCTTCTTCAGGTATACCTTCAAGCTCCTCGCCATCCCAAACGTCTTTTCTCCTTGCACATATCGAATGGACAGCATAACCAGGACAAATCTTACAAAGATAAGCACCGTATTTCCCGTTAATCTTCTCGCGACAGACTCCGCAACTCCATTCTCCAGGACCAAGAAAGCAAGTATGGTGAATGCGGTGGGGATGACGAGATATTTTTATAACGCGTGGTAGGTCAATGCAGTCTTTGTGGATCATGAAAGAACACTCAAGACACATATAAGGAGAACCTTCTCCATATAGTCCACAAGCATTGCAAGCGAAAGTGACATGCTGTCTGGGTAAGAGGGTGAGTGAATGATCATGGATCTTGCCAGCATTGATCACACGTGATGGTGGATTCTCTGCGCAACCACTATGCACAGTGAAATTACACTGCGAACATGCGTAAACCTCTCCATGTAAGTCTTCTCCACAAAAACCACATACTCCACTTTCTTCTTTAGAAAATAACTCTTTAGGGTTTAAAGCGTGTCGGTGAATACTCGGCAATGCCTCTGCAACCATGGTGGCTAATGATTTTTTTTCCTTCTAGTTCTTCGTTCATGAGAACAAGAAAATGACACTTTTTGTTTTTTTTTTTTTTTGGAATAGACAAGACAAGTTCTTTTCTTCTTTTGATTATCTTGTAGTTAGGAGTTTGGGGAGGGTTGGAAGTTGGAACAAATCAATTTAATGTAAAATGCTTCCCATTAGTATAATTAAGTATTATAACCTTTTGGCGACTTGAAGAGCCGTGCGACTATTAGAAAGATGAAAGATTCTCTAGTGGGAGTGGCAGAGGTGTTGATATTTCTTAAATTAATATATACATTTTCACGACTATGTATATAGTGTCAAACTGTCAATTGGTTGTGTATTTTGACGTTTTCACGACTTTGGAAAACTCTAGTTTTAGCCAATATGCATTATACAATTATACAAAACACATATTCTGGTCCGAGGGCAAAGCTCCACCTCATGAGTTCGGATTAAGACCGAAGGACTATCTACAAGTGTCTATAGTAATCTTCAAGTATAAATAGAGATCCTCTGTTATGTAAGACTCGGGCCAATACAAAGTATTTTCGAACAAGAAACAAAGTATCTTGTACATTACAAGCTCCGAGTATTATTCAAGGCAAAGCTTTTAATAGAACAAATCCCGCCCAAAATACAAAATCAAAATCATTATTCCTCAAGTTTCTCACAGTTAAAAATTACAAATCAAACGTATCTCCACCGTCTTGTTGCTGAAAAATATCTATCAGATTACTGTCGTACAACGTTGGACCTAAGTTCGAGCACAACATTAGCAGCCTTGGTCAGATCTCCAGATTCCATTTCCATCGCAAGGAGTGAGACTAACTCTGGGACACTCATACTTTTCAAGAAAAGTCAGATTTGGGAAGTAGATTTGCTTCAGCTCTATCCACCGAATCCTTAGCTTGGGGAGTGACGTGAGACGTAAGATCTCAACAGCACATCTTGTTGCCTTCTCCGGAATGTCACCGAAGTCCTTAAGTAACCTTCCTCCTCCAATGTGGAGCTTTCTCAAGTGAAGAAGATTCCGCGGTTGAAGCCAAGTGGGAAGTTCTTCCTCCGGAAAACGCTGCAGGTCCAGTTTCTTTAACTGATGAGGAAGACTCTCAATCTCTGTGAAATCCTCAGGCTTGACAGCACGTATGATGTTTAAATCCCTCCTCCATGTCACTTTCAAACTTGTCAACGCTTTGAGCTGTACAAGATCCACCATCAGTTGCTGCAGACCGAGATCATCTCTGTGTATTTCGATGCTGAGCTTTCTTAGCTTCTTCATTCTCCTCATCAATTTCAGTGTGCACGCAACACCCTCATATATGGTGTCACTAACCACAAAGCCTTTGAGAACCTCTAAATTGTTCAGCGAAGCCAACCTCATGGGAATCCATTCCAGCATGTAGCATCCTGTCATATCCAAGTAGACCAGACTCTGCAGTGAATCTATCTTTTCTGGAAGTTTTGCCAGCTCAGAGCACTCCCTGAGGTCCAAGACGATCAGCTCGTGTAGCTTCTTGCAATACGCACTTCTCAGCCTTCTAATGGTTGAGATCCCTTGAAGACTTAGAACTCTCAGGTTCTTCAGATACTTTAGACATCTTATAAGCTTAGGATCTTCTACTTGGATGTATCGCTTCTGAGTTCTTTCCCATCTCCCCAAGTAAAGGACATGGAGTGACTTGAACGACGGTTCATGCAACAGCAGGGCATATTTATTGTCTGGTCTATACTCCAAGAACCATTGGAGTGTGAATTCCGGGTATCTCTCATTAACATTGAACACAGTTCCGATATCTATCAATGGGCGCATCCTTGCTCGGGCTGCCCCTTTCTCGTTTGACGACCCCTCCACAAGGCACACCTTTCCCATCTCTGACTTGTTCATGCTTGGCTTACACCCTTCATGATAAATATCGAAGAGTCCAATCTCCTTTGAGATATGAACAACTGACGAATGCACAAAAGGGTTCATCTTATAGCTGCTTGGTGCCACTTTACGCCTCTCTTCAACGGGGTCGACCAACTTTTTCTCGGTGAGTTCCTGGAGAATGTCCCTCACAGTTTCTTCAGCTCGTTCAATAGGCAGAATCTTCTCCCCTATCCACCAATACTTGAGCATCGTTCTATGAACCTCTCTGTTCTCCGGGAATACAGCGAAGCTCAAAAGGCACATCTTTCTTTCCATCTCAAGCTCCTTAAATTGCTGCTCCACTTGTCTGAAAGCCTCGGATTTGGTGAGATCTTTCACATTTGTATGGAGGCCGGGGAGGTGATCACACCTTCTGCCATTATTGTCTCCGTTATGGTTGTATTGTTCCTGAGAATGAAATACTTTCTGTCTAGACAGCTTGTCAGGCACCGAGGAGACCTTTCCCACCAGATCAGAGATCTTCCTGGTGATACCTTCAACGTCTTTATTGATCCCATTGATATTTTGAGAAGCAAAACTCGCTTTCCTTAAAAGAAAATCAATGTCACAATAATGTTTCCTTAGCTCTCCTCCGACATATACACGAATGTCTTCCAGGTTTATCAGCCTCTCTTTGAGTAGTCGGAGATGATGAATTAGGCTAGAAATCGGGGCGCTATCATAGAGATGAGTGGAAACAGGAAGAACATCTGAAAGATCGTTTGGGTTATTAGTCTCACTACCTTCTTGGTCGATGCTTCTAGAAGTTAAAACAACATCCCTTTCACAGTCTTTCGAAGACAGATCTTTGTGCAAGCATTCAACGATCTCCAAAACCTGTTGGGCTAAAATCTTTGGATCATCACTGTCTTCAAACGGATGTGGGTTGTTCTGGGAAGCCATGACATGGACACCTTAGGCAATGGGTTCTTCTCAAACACATAGAACTCCTCTTGCCTGGAAATCTTGAAAGCAATCGAGAATCATACAGAGTTAAACAGCCAAATGGAAAAGAAAATAACATTAAAAAAGCTTAGAATTTTCCACTACCCACCCAATCAGGAAATCATGTAAGACAAAGAAAAGCTAATATGCAATAATACCTTATTAAGCTTCTCCTCCTCCTCCTCTCCAGGCGGCTACACCAAAAGAGAGAAAATGGAAGCTGGAGACCTTAAATAAGCCTAAGCAAGTCCTTTAATTTGTTGATATTTTTGGATTTTTAAATGTCAAAAAACGTGCAGGTCATTCTTTAATGCGATGGACCGAGAGAGAGAGAGAGAGAGAGAGAGAGAGAGAGAGAGAGAGAGAGAGAGAAAAGAAGAAGGTTGACTTCATACAATTAGATCAGAGCAACGAATAGCGCCAGAAAAAACTAACACATTGCCCAGAGAACTCTGTTCTTGTCTCCTACGCTGACCTCGGCAAAGATTTCCTGAGGTTACTCTCTTCCTTAATCTTCACTACTAAATTTTCTGATTTTCTACGCCTGATAATGTTTAAGTGATTACTTGTACATTTATCTACATGACTGATATCAGTAGTGAGTCAATGACTGCTCCCACATTCGAAAATAATTGATAATCCTGAGCTCATAAATACATAGATCTATATGCTTCTTTGCAAGGTTACCTATGTTTTTTTATTTATCATTATCGTCCACATTCTTCAATGGAAAATGATCTATATATAATATATATTTATGTCTATATACCAGAAATGGATTCGGCTAGAGGGCGCCAAGAAATGAAGGATCTGAAGTTGTGTGAGAGGCTAGTGAATACACTGGGTGGTGATGGTCCACAAAGAGTTGTGCTGACTGGGAGATCCGGAATCGGCAAGACGAGACTGGCAAGGAAGGTAGGCAAACATGCAACTAAGAAAGGCCTCTGCTACTTGGCTCTGTGGTTGCATCTCAACAACAAGTTTGAAGATGAATCGTCGCTTTATCAGAACATAGCTTTCCAGATTGAAGTGTATGATACAGAGGGGAAGGAGGCCAAGAAATCGGAAGACTTTTTAAAGGCTTTGAAGGAGAAGATAAATGCAGAGCTCAGCAGAAGGAAGAGATCAGCTGAGAAAAAAATGAAGATGTTGATGACTGAGAAAAATGCTAAGAAGTTGGCTCAAGGAGAGAAGAAACACACGCCATCTGCTGTAGTGGTGCCCTATCTTCTATTGTACTCGACGATGAAGGGTACAAGACCAGTGAAGATAAGGTGATGAAGGATTTAGGCCTTGAGAGTTTCCTTAAACATGACTTGGGTCTAAAAGTTCTTATCACAAGAAGAGAAGATGATGAGAACACTAGAGAGTGTGATGAAGAAATTGAGCCACAAGATACAAACAGTGAGGTGAAATTTAAGCCCGATGACACGGAGTTCCATGATACAAAGAGCGGAGAGGTAACTGAGCTACATAATACAAGGAGTGAGGAGGTAACTGAGACTCATACAACACACGAGACGCATGCTGGAACAAAGCGTGACGGGGAAATTGAGTTCCATACCACAGATGAGTCTCAGGCTTTACATGAAACCCTTTCTATGGATCATTTACAGGATCTATTTGAGTCCCTTATTAATGATGAGGCAAGGCATTTGCTAGAGTGCCTACAGAAAGATTGGAAGATTGATGAGGCATTGACATCTTCTGTGGTGCGAAAAAGTATGAGTTTGCCCGCCGCAATAGTCATGTTTGCCAAGTCCTTAAACTGCATTACTAACACTTTCAAGAGTTTTCCTCCAAAAGCGAAGGAGATTTTAAAAGAAGTTTTATTTCCCTGTGGGCCAGCCGATACAGATGGTGGTTCTAGGAGCATTGTGGCACAGCACAATCCTATTCTACATCTTGCTTATGCGCTGCTAGACACGAGTCATACATCAAAGAGTGTCATCGTTGATTGTTTTTGGCATAGCCTGGACTTTTTCAAGCACAACGGTTGTGTTGATTACAACCACCTGATCACACAATGGATGCTTGAAGGCTACTTTGATCCTGTTCGATCTGTTAAGAAGGCCTATAATGATGGTCATGATATCTTGGTGGAGCTTATAAACCGCGGTATTCTGAAGACACAAGAGGATGATATGGTTATACCTGAGATGGCAATGAGCAATTTAACCGATCTTCGGCAACTTGGGCTCTTAGGCAGATCTTGGCTCCCATTTGCTAGTGGTGACCAGAAAAAATCTCTAGGTAAAATCATCCAGATAGATGATATGATAAAAACAGTGCAAACAACTAGTGAAGAAGACATATGTACTATCTTGGTAAGTGGAAATCGCCTGCGCCGCGAAAGACCTCATATGTTTCTCGAGAAGATGTTCAATCTCGAAGTTCTTGGTCTTTTCACTCCCACATTGGAACCTCTTATCCCGTCCGTAACGAATCTACAAAAACTTCGAATTCTTGTGATCAGGGACTCTGATCTACTCTCAGATATCGACGAGCTTTGTTGTCTACGTAGACTAACCGTTCTTGAAGTTTCCGGCGCTAGCTCCTTGACAGCTATCTCTGATAAGTTCTTTCTTGAATTGACCCAACTACAAAGTCTTAACCTCTCCGGACTTCGGATCAAATTTTTACCTTCCAGCATTTCTCAACTGAGTAATCTTAGCTGTCTCATCCTCAGGGACTGTCCTGTATTGGAAGATTTGCCTGACATACAGAGTTTAAAGAAGCTCGAGGTGGTCGACATCAATGGTGCACGCATGCTAAAATCTTGCTTGGGCATGAAGGAAAACACAAGCAGAAACAGAACCTTTTGTCATCTTCAACAGCTTCAACTCCTTGACCTTTCAGAAAGCAAAATAAGACGGCTTCCCTTATTTCATGATGCTGCGGTGGGTGAAAAGCTTCGCTCCTTGAGGCGGCTCTCATTGCACAACTGTAGCAATTTGATAAGATTGCCCAATCTCAAACCCTTGTCGGGCCTCCAAATTCTAGATCTTTCTGGTACTACCAGCTTACTGGAAATAACGGAAGTCTGCTTCGAGCAGAAAGAGAAACTCAAAATTCTTAATCTTTCAGGCACAAAGATTACTAAAGTTCCGTCCACCATCTCAGGGTTATCTAGTCTCAGTCAACTCCTCCTAAGGGACATCCCCAACCTAGAAGCTCTCCCAAACATCAAGAGACTCACGAGTCTTGAAGTCTTTGATGTGTCCGGGTGTACTAAGTTGCATAAAATTGAGGGATCCTTTCAGGATATGCCTTACCTGCGGGAAGTTAATCTCTCTGGCACCAGAATAGAAACCTTACCAGAGTTGCCAGAGACAAGCAACATTTGCTGTTCAAAGCTCCTTATTCAGGCAGATTCAAGAAGTTTTGAAAATGATACTTGGGGCCAAGTAAAGGAAGCCGTAACAAAGGAGATATCTGAGAGTCTTAACACTTATGACAAGGTCGAGAGAATCCATGAAATCTCAAGAAAGGAGTCAGGGATAGTGGATGAACTTTGGGCTTTTCCTGGAAAGAAAGGTTTCCGCAGGGAACATTTTTACAAAGGTCGTATATACAGGGATGTCTATATGAACGCAATACCATTTGTTGATAACAAAAGTTGTCAAGAAGTCCTAGAGATCCAAGGATCTAATGGCGTGGATCAAGATAAGCAAACCTTAGCTAAATCTGAGTTTGTAGCTTTTGTGGAGAATAGCACCGCAAATCTCTCATCTATCTTTCTTGATTTGAAATCAGTGAAAAGCTGTTGGCTTGAGATGTGCGGGGACATAGAAATCCTTTTCTCTGGTGTCGATGAGGAACGTCTCCGAGACCTGGAGACTTTGTCAATAACGAATCTTCAAAAGTTGAAGAGTATATGCAGCAGCAGCTTCAAGAATCTAAAGAAACTAAACCTAGATTGCTGTCCGAGTATTATAACGCTTTTCATGGACACATCTCAGCTACCTAGCAGCCTAGAAGTTCTGAAAATAAAGTTTTGTGAGAACCTGAAGACAGTGTTTGCTGAAGAAGTCGAACTGCCAAAACTGCACACACTGTGCCTTTTTGAGCTGCATGTGCTATCCAGGATTGGTGCTACGCTGCCTAATCTGGTGACATACAAAGAAGATAAATGCCCAAAGCTGAAAAATGCAAACTAATCCGGTGAGTGCAATATCATTACTCTACAGTTTGTAATTTCTTTTTATTATCTGCTTCCTTTAGTTTTGTTACTGTTACTCTGCAGTTTGTTTTAATTCTTCATTTCAGGTCTTCATATCTGTTTGTCTGCAGTATTTTTATGAATATCTTAATCCATAACAATCTTGTGCCAATTTTATTTTCAGCTGCTTCTGCTTGCGGGATTGTTATGAAGATGTGACTTTATAAACTTTGCCTTCTCATATTCCTGTTCCTTTTGAAAAGTTTCTACGTCTGACATGGATTTTTGCGTCCTCCTATCAAGCATTCTGTTCCCGGATCTTTTTCCTCAACAGATACTTTGCTCCCTCTGTGTGTGTGTGTGTGTGTGTGTGTGGACATGGATTAGTTTGTTTCAAATGATCCCACTTTGTATTCTAGTGATGCTCTGTTTTATCGTTGGGCCCTCGAGGGATATGTTTACAATATTCTATGTTTTTTTCCTTCCGCCCCATTGCTACAAGTTGTTCTAAATAATGCTTTCGAGTTGACATTTCTGCTTCAAGAAACAGAAAATCCCAAAGAGATACACTTAATGCAGAGGACTATGTTCATTTGTAGAATAATACCACAAACCTAAGAAAACTATTAAACAAAGACCTACGCCCTTCCCGAGCAATGTATGGGTAAAAAGTCAATGGCAGAAGCAAAAGAAACGCATTCAACAAAGGAAACAAGTTTTCCAGAAACCGATCTGATCAGAACCATTCTTGACAGGAAACGCTGGAAAAATGGTGGAGGTGATTCCCAAACACATCAAAGATGTTTGGGACACATGGAATATCAGAGGAATGATGATCATCAGTCTCTTGCTTCAGATAATTCTCATTTTCTTTGCCCCCTTGAGGAAAAGAAAGCCCAACAAGCGCCTGATCCTGCTATTGTGGTCCTCGTATCTTTTGGCAGATTTGTCTGCGAATTTTGCGGTCGCATTGATTGCCAAGAACCAAGGTAAAGACCCTAAACCCAATGATCCTCCTAAAGACAAGAAACTCCTCGCCTTGTGGGCACCTTTCTTGCTCATACACCTTGGTGGACCAGACACCATTACTGCGTTTTCCCTCGAAGACAATGCTCTCTGGAACAGACATTTCCTTGGGCTTGTCTTTCAGGCACTTGCAGGTGTCTATGTGGTTGTCCAATCTCTGCCCAATGTGCTCGGGGAGATAATAGTGCTGCTGTTTGTTTCCGGGACTTGTAAGTATCTGGAAAGAACAATTGCGTTGTATCTCGCGAGTTCAGACAAGTTCCGTGGCTCGATATCCTGGGCATCCAGTTCAGGGTTTGACTACACCGAGCAAACAAAGAACCTAAATATGGACTCAGTACATGATTCTGAGATGTACATGAAGGAGCATCCCGGTCACCTGAAACCTCCGAAGCTCATGATTCCCGATAGAGACTTCACCGACCTTGAGATTATTCAGTATGCTTTCTTCTTCTTCAACAACTTCAAGAGTCTTATGGTCAATAACATCTTCAGCTTAGAACTGCGCGATGAGAGCAAAGCATTCTTTAGCTCATCGAGAGTAGAAAATGAAGAAGCTCTGAGGATTATAGAGTCTGAGCTCGATTTTATCTACGAAGGCCTGTACACAAAAGGCGCGGTTCTTCATACTACGGTTGGACTTGTGAACCGGCAAATATCCATGGGATCTCTTTTATCAGCCTTCATCAACTTCCATCGTTTACGCAATAAGATCCAAGAGTTTCACAAAGCCGACGTAGTGATCACCTACACGTTGTTCGTAGTTGGCATGGCTCTGGATGTTATATCCATCTACATGGCCGTGGTTTCTGACTGGACAGCAGCCATCCTCTCAAGAGTAAAGGATGACCCCAACCAGAAACATTCAGTGTTAGACCGAATATTCAACTGGAAGAGGCACACGTATCGCGAGGAACATCAGCAGGAAGTGCTTAACACGCCTCTTCAACCCAGAAGATGGACTGGAAGCATCAAAATGTTCAACTTCATCACATACTCCACGAATGCAGATACATATACGATCCACAGCCCAAGGGAAAGAACGTGCCAGCATTTATGGAAGATCGCCTTTTTCCCTTTCAATTACGCCATCACCATCATCCACACTTGGTCTGGAAACATCGCCATATGGTTCCATAATCTTCACCAGCATGTTTTCCACCAACTGATAAATATGTCTCCGGGAGAAAACCAGGTGTCTCGTGCTATTGTCACCATCTTCAAGAGTTTTGTTGAGTTTTGGTTCCACGTACCATACATTTTCGCGTTTCTTGGCACCTGCTTGATCAACTCCCTGGGCATGAAGGATCTCCTCTACGAGATAAGACTGGAAAGATCCATACGCAGTGAACCCTTGAGAAGAAACCTATGGTCTTCCATATTTTCTGAGCTGAAAAGAAAGTCCCAGAATCTAGAAAGCCTGGAGAATACGAAAACAAAATCCTCAGCCAGAACAGGTTGGGCGTCAAGTGACACCAAGATGCGAGTAGCAGATCATGAAATGCTGTTGCGTTACACGACGGATGTTGACTATGACCATAGTCTCTTGATTTGGCACATAGCCACCGAGCTGTGTTACCAAGAAGAAGCTTCCGCCAAAGAGAACTGCAACACATCAGAGTATCACAATGACCGTGAGATGAGCAAAATCCTCTCGGATTACATGATGTATCTCTTGATCATGCAGCCCAAGCTGATGTCAGAGGTAGCTGGCATAGGGAAAATCAGATTCAGAGACACGTTAGCTGAAGGTGAAAGACTATTCGAGAAGACGGGTATCAAAAACTCTAGAAATGTGAAATTAGCCTGTGAGAAAATTCTCTCGGTTGATACGAGCATCGAACCAAGAGAAGTGAAAGGAAGTCATAGCAAATCAGTGTTGTTTGAGGCAAGTTCAGTGGCCAAAGAACTTCAGAGACTGGAGAAAGATTGTGGAGAAGACAAATGGAAGACACTTAGCAAAGTGTGGTTGGAGTTCCTCTTCCACGCAGCATCACATTGTGACGGTCCGACGCGTATGGAGCTACTTAGCAAAGGTGGAGAGTTCGTCAACTTCGTTTGGCTACTAATGGCTCACTTGGGCCTAGGGGACTGATTAGCTCATGTCAAGAATGGCGCTTCGGAGCCAAAATCTGAGGTGTTGTGAGCTGCACACTATGGTTTCTCAAATTTGCTTGTTTTCTACTACTCTGTGTGTTTCAATTATCTAATAAGCTTCATATCCTGATCCATTGAAAAACTAACATTGAAGCAATCTGATCTGGATTCTCATGGGCATCTAGAGCGCATCTTAGGTATTGTATGATATCCCAAATCAACAGCATTCACTAGACTACCAAACGATATAGGAAAATCTCAGAGAAAAATAGCACAAGGATTGAAGTTACGTTACCTAATTCGTGGTTGCATTGTCGTAACCCAGAACGATTGATCACCCTTCAACACAGCATCGAACCAAGAGATGTCAAAGGAAACCATAGCAAATCGGTGTTGTTTGAGGCAAGTTCGCTGGCGGAAGAACTTCAGAGACTGGAGAAGAATTTTGGAAAAGACAAATGGAAGACACTCAGCAAAGTGTGGTTGGGGTTTCTCTTCCACGCAGCTTCACATTGTGATGCTACAACGCGTATGGAGCTACTTAGCAAAGCAAAGGTGGGGAGTTCATCAACTTCGTTTGGCTATTGATGGCTCACTTTGGACTCGGGGATTGATTAGCTCAGGTCAAGAATGACGGATTTAGATTCACAACTTGAGGCGTCTCAAGTTTGCTTGTGTTTTGATACTTTGTGTGTTTCTACTATTAAATAAGCTACGTAACCCAGAACGATTGATCAACCTTCAACATAGATAACTGGAAAACAAAACACGAAAAAATGCAAAATCTTCGAATCACAGAACACCGAGGATTCACCATTAATCGATTTCAACCGGAAAATTTGCTAACCTCCTCAAACATTTCTGTCGATTTTCTCGCTCCTCCGATCGACTGACTCTCCTCCGTCACTTTCTCCCCGGTGAACCGTGAACGGAGAAGCATTCGTTGATCTACGTCTTGTTCCACAATTCGAAATTGAAATTAAGAAATAATTGAACCGGGTTAAACGGATGCAGATCAGACCGGAATAAACCGGTATTAGACGGTAAACCTTATCCATTTCTCCCACCCGAAACAGAGAACAGAAAAGAGAGCACAAAAAATCCGATGCTTCTCTCTCTGTGTAAATCTCGCTAAGAGCTTTGCTTCTTGGTCCATGTATAGTCTGATTCAATGGCTTCAATACCATGTCCCGTCGAGCTCTCTAGTCATCTCGGATCTTCTTCCAAGGTAATCCTCTCTCTCTCTCACAGTCTGTCCCTTTGTGTAGCTGATTGATGCTGAGTCAACTTGTATTGTATCCATCAATTTGGTCATCATTGATCGATAAAAACACCACTTATCTGGTTTACTACACTTTAATGGCGTCAGAATTCTCTCTCGTATCAAACAAAAACTCCAATATCTGGATTTTATCATTTTAATCTCTAGTTACTTTGATTTTTCTGTAATATTGAGGTTATCTTCCTGAAAATGCTTCCATTGACGCAGCGTAGAAGCTACAAACAGTGTAGCTTAGTAAAAAGACGGAGAGAGAGGGACACTCAAGTTCTCAACTCCATTATTTGCGTCAGTAACTTACAGATAACGCGTCTACCGCCATTACATGCAACAAAGAATAGCCCGAGAGGTTTTGGCGCTCCTCCTAAGAAAACAAAGAAGGCAAAGAAGCAAAAACCTGGAAATCCAAGTGATGAAGAAGACGATGAAGAAGACGAAGATGATGAAGATGATCGTGAGAGAGGTGTGATTCCAGAGATTGTGACGAACAGAATGATAAGCAGAATGGGATTCACTGTGGGGTTACCACTCTTCGTTGGCCTCTTGTTCTTCCCACTCTTTTACTATCTCAAAGTGGGATTGAAAATCGATGTCCCCACATGGGTTCCGTTCATTGTTTCGTTCGTCTTCTTCGGTACGGCTTTAGCTGGTGTGAGTTACGGGATCGTGTCATCGAGCTGGGATCCGTTGAGAGAAGGATCATTGTTAGGATGGAACGAAGCTAAGAAGAACTGGCCTGTCTTTTGGCAGTCCTTTTGGAATTCCTCAGACAAGAGATAGACAAAAGCAAACAGAAATGAAAGATCCTTAGTACTGTCTTATCTCCAGCAAGAAGATACTTCAACACTACTGAGATGTAAATTCTTCTGAAGAATGTGTTTTTGCGGAAATTTTATCAAAGGGCTTCTTCTATAAGATTTTCTTTATCAACTCTACGGCAAAGCTAGCAAAATGAATTGGGAAGTACCAAAGAACTACACAGAAACATCCCCAAGTCGACTTTTATTGCAAACCATAAAGTTAATTCGTCACACATACACAAGCCATCACACGACCAAAAGTATGAAACGGAAAATAAAATAAAACCAGAACCACAGGCGGCACAAGACCGTCGTGACTGAAAAAGAAAAAGAGACAATTTAAGTAATTTTTGTATTTTTTGAAATGACGACTCAGAGACAAACCAGAGTATAGATTATAAGATATTCATAAAGTAAAAACATCACTCAAGAAGAGGCTGAGTGTGAGGTTTTTGAGTCAGCCGGCGACTTTCCTAGAGTAGGCATTGGTGGTGGGTTGTGTTGGTCTAAGGAACATGTCACGTGTTTCTCCTACACAACCTGCCTTCATCGGCGGTGGCTTCAGCTGCTGTTGCTGCATCACGGACACAGAATGTCTTCGAGATATGGTTCCTCCGATGCTCACGTTTGCGAGTTTATCAGCAGTCTCAGATACACCGCGAGCGACCCGGCTCTTGTTCAGTGACGACCCTGCTGTAATATCTCCAATTGAATGGGTTTGTTTTTAACAGATAAAGAGAAACAACCATTGTAGTAAGAAGAAATAAAGGGTGGTTTTAAGGTTTTACTTACGAGGACTTTTTCTTCCGGGTGGTCTGTATTTGGAGTCTTTGACAGAACTTCTCACAGGTTTAGTGTTTCTCGTGCCATCTTGTTTAGCCATATCGAGTTTACGCTGGACGCCACTGCCAAAAGCAGCATTTGACTTTGGAGCAACATAGCTGTTGAATGGCTTAGCATTGCCAAGAGACACCGGGTGCCGTTTAACTGATTGGTGCTCGAATGATCCCCTTGGTCCGACTAGAGCAAAATATGTATATCAAATTTAGCTTGTTACCTCGGAAAAAGATATAATAATCCATATCCTGATATATCAACAAATAAAAAATTACCAGGTGGAGGAGTTCTTGCAACAGATGGCTTGGGACGGAGAGATGGTGGGACATAAAAGCAACTCTGCCACATGAGAACACAGTTAGATCAAAAGTAGAGCTATAAACAGTCATATCGTCCAAGCAAATACTCTGGTATACCTGAAAGAACGGGTGCTGCAGAGCTTCTGCAGCAGTCGGTCTGTTGCATGGATCCCACGAGCAAAGCCGCTGAATGATCATGGCAAAATGGTAGATATTAGTGTCTAAGAATATACGAAACATGTCTAAAGCTAAAGGGAAACCCCCTTTTAAGATTTGTTAACTACCGCAATAAGATTAGTCGCGTCTTCACTAGCAGATGGCATCAAGCTTGAAAGAGGTACACCAGGAAGCTGCAAGATGACAACAGTTACTCCCAACCCAATTACAAAAACCATAATAATGATGAGGCTGACACACAAGTACCTGAGGGAATTGATAGTTTATGGTGTTAGCAAGATTAAGGCCCTCCAACCACGTCTCCTCAGTTGGGCTACCTATGACACTGCAGATTTTGTAGATTTCATCTGCTTCACTGTAAGGATGACATAACAACATTATCACTAGTTTATTAGCCTTTACTTTGCAACATTTATAATCTGAGATATAAATTAGGCAGTGAAAAAGTACCTAGCCCCAGGAAAAATAGGGCGAAGAGACAACAGCTCAGCCATAATAGCTCCCATCGCCCACATATCTGAAGACAAAACATAATTGCCAAATTGCTTAGCATAGGATTACAGCACTATGGATATAATAATTACTACAGTATGGATACTAACCAACTTTTGATGTGTATACATATGACTGTAGGAGTACTTCAGGTGCCCTGTACCTATTAGATCAAAGACTTTTTGGATCAGTACGGCATCACTGGTAGCATTAATCAACAGACGGACCATCAAATAAATAATTTTAAGAGTAGCTGAACAGCTGAAGTACAAATCTATGTAGATATCTGAATAACTCAGTGTAACACTCAAGGGAAGTGAATCTTACCAGCGTGTAGAAACGTACTCAGTAAAAGGTGGACTTGAATTAACCTCCCGTGCCAGACCAAAATCAGCAATCTTAATGATGTCCTTAGATACTAATAGATTTTCTGCGACAACCAACACAGTACAAATATATATTCAGTGACAAACTATTCAACTGATTGTTGTTAGACGACAGTGATATAAATAAAAATTGGCAATCTTGAAAGCAGAAGTTTTAAATATGTATCAATTGACACTTCAAGGCTATCATTTACCTGGCTTAAGATCACGGTGGAAGTAACCACGCTGATGCATGTAAGAAAGGCCTTGGAAGACTTGAAAGCACCAATTTTTTATATCAGCTTCCGCAAAAAGCTTTTGTCGATCCTTCATAAGCTGGTAAAGATTGCACTCCTGATCAAGTAAGAATGACACACGCAGATTCAGCGCAATGAATCAAAGTGTCAGAAAATATCAAACTACAAGCAGGAAGAAGTATACCATGTACTCAAAGACAAAGTATAAGATATCATTTTCCCGGATGACTTCCTTCAGCTTCACGATGTTTGGATGATTCATTCTCCTAAGCGACTAATAAGACAAAATAGGGGGAATTAGTAAAACATTTAGTAAACAAGACAAAAGAGCATCTCAACAAAGACAGTTCACTACCTTCACTTCTCTCAGATTAATACATTCGTCCCACGAGTAGTACTTCTTTTTCATTTTCTTAATTGCAACCTGCTCAAAGAAAACTTCATTCGGTAAGAAAAATCAAGCACAGAACATTATGCAGGCATCGATAGCTTTCAAAGAAGCAACTTACAACTTCACCCGTCTGCTTATTGATAGCTCGCCAAACACTACCAAAAGTTCCATCACCAACCTCTTTGATCAACTTGTACCTGTAAATTCATAAGGCAATGAGAAGAAAGCTCATAAGCCATAAAGCAAAGGGCCAGATGCCAAAGATTTTTTAAAAACAAAACTAAGAGAGCTTCGGACTACCTGTCCATTGTCTTTCCGGTAAACCAAAGTAACCTCTTTATTTTTATGTATGTAAAGAACTTCTGAAAGGTTTCTATAGCATTAATCTTCCAGTCGTTCGTAGCAAGGACTGGACACCAAGCCAGTAAAATCAATGATTCTTCAGCTGGGTAGACTGACCGTTATTTACTATGGACATCTATGGGTTGTCCATTAAGGTAAAAGAAAGACAGCAAGAGAAGAGGAAAACGCATACTGAGAACTCAAAGACACAAAGGAACCAACAAGAAAGAATGTGTTGGCTAAAAGGCAGGACCCTAAGATCAAAACATTTCACTTAGGGGTTCAGACTCAAAGGAAAAGGCATCACATCTACGAAATATGTAAACTTGTAACGAAACTGATATATTCTTCTTCAACCAGCGCCCATAAGAACAAGATAAGGAAGAGGGGTTTAACAAATCTTTGTCCGCAGGGGGAAGATTTAGAGGTTTCTCTAGGACTATGCGAAGGAAGAAATTGCAGACTTCAGCCCTGCAAGACAACAAGAGTCACAGACATAAGATTTTGTGTCTTCTGATAAATATGAGGATGTGTACAAAAGACATTAAGTTTGGGGGTGTTTAACGTCTTTTGAACTTGTCTGCAAGTGTCGTTTTCTTAATGATATCATACAGGACTTCCATTTTCCTCGTTTTGTTATATTTCCCTTTCAAACTTTCCTAGTTTTTCAATCCGTGTTACCTTTTCTCAAAATTCCTTATTTTCTACCGAGTCATAAAAAAGTAAAACTAGCTTGATGAAATCTATTAAAACCTCCAATTCAAGGAATTAACCATGAACTAAATGCATTTGCACACACTAAAGTTCCACTGACGGCAACAGTTGAAGGATGGAAACCATGGTGTAATATCAAGCAAAAGTCTCAACAGTTTCAAACGAAAACCATACCTGTCTCAGAATTTTTTCCGTCACGCCTTCCCTAAAGATCAGAGAAGAGGGTTTGACCACTAAGTGCAGTTAACGAAAGAGCCCACAAGGAAATCTGAACGTACAAGAAACCGCCAGTCGAGCGCTTCTTGGAATGAGAATAGCCGATAATGGTAGCAGCTTGGCCAGACGAAAACTTGCTCCATACCTCAGAAGATACAAATCCACTTAAAAGGAAGCCTGATAAAACCTGTAGCAATCAAAACAAACCAAAGATAAACACAAGATTTATGAGAACAAAATAACAGAAAGCGAGGAAAGCATTCAAGAGATCAATCTGAAAAAAAATAAAAGGAAAAATCTACCAAAACAAAACATCATTATCAAAGGAAAGGCTAACAATGGACTCAACTTACATTTGACTCTCGTCAATACCAGTACAAGTTACCATTGTTTATGAAAACCCAAACACCTAGAAGAAATAATTACAAATGTAGATGAGATCACAAATCATAACATCACCAAAATCTTGAGGGCATGCCCTAAAAATGGGTTCCGATCACGAAACCAAAAACCCCTAACAGCAATAATTAAAAATGCAGATTAGAAAACAATTTCGAAAGTTGGCAATGTCTAAACCCGTAGTGCATCACCAAATGTTTTAGCCTAATTCAGCTCGCAGACCTAAAAAGCTGAAAGCACATATCCAATTCGAGGATATATCAAAACCACAGAAATGGATCTACCTATCCCTAAAATTCGATAAAAACCAAAATCAGAACACGACAAATTTGAATCGACTAGATCCCAATCACGCGATTCAACGCAATACCAATACAATTCAGAGAAACCCGAAATCAGATCTAATATGATCAAACGCAGAAACACAAAACAAAGGGATAACCCAGTTCGAATCACAGTGAAATCAGGAGACGGAGATCTGCAATACCTCAGAGCCAACAGGCATAACCACCGTCGCCGACGACGGGAAGAGACGGAATCCAGAGCTTCTAACTCTTTACCTTTCAATCTTTTCAATTCGGTCCAACAAATATCAATCTCTCTCTCTCCTCTCTCTACCAAATATCTCTCTTTCCCTTCCCTTTCTGTGTGCGGTTCTCTCGTGATGACCAGAAAAAAAAAGCTCGACAATTTATATTCCGCAGCTACAAAAGAGAATATTTTTTTCCTTTGCTTCGATCGATCGACATTTGATGATATTGTGGTCGTGTCGCGTTGGAAACTGCTGCAATCCTCTGTATCTCCCTCTACAGATTTACGGTGTGTTTTACATATATATCCGTGCGATTATCAAGTGGTGACGTCATCCTTATCTGTGTTCCGTTCGATTTAATAAGGATTTTTTACCGTATCTTTACGTGGCCGGCTCTCTAGTCTTTCTTTTATTCTTGCCTTACACGTTGTAACTGATATGGATATCATTAATCTTGACTTTCCATTAATCATGATTTATGGGGATGGGGGATTACCAGATTACCATAAGTTTAGCTTGTTTTTTTTTTTATGAAACAAATTTGAGTTATCCCGTAATCTTTGCTAAATATCAGGTTTGTAGCTTTAAAATGCGCATATCAAGGTTTGAAAATTAATGAAAAATCAGGTTAATGCGAGGGGAAAAAAAAATAATTATAGTCAAATAATGGACTTACCAGAAAGGGGAATAAAGTAATTATAGTCAAATATTGGACTTACCAGAAAGAAAGAAAAAAACAAATCTGTTGGGTTTATTTGGAGGGAAGAAAATTCAAGTCGTTTGGAGCAAAAGAAGAAGTTGAAGTTGTTTCCCTCCACATAAATTCAACTTGTGGCATAATGCTCGAATATGCGATTTTTGGATGTTGAAATTAAAGGAGATTGTTTACTTTAACTCGTTATGTATCAGAATTCATGGATTAAAATCACATTTTGTATGGTTCTTTTGTTTCTAATATATCTAAGTCAAAAACTCAAAGTAACTATCTGGAAACGTTCACCAAAAGTTAAAGATTGGAATTACAATGAACAGTTTCTAACCCTACCAAAAATACATATCTAATGTGAATATATTATAGCCATTTTTAAACCAGATTTAAAATTGTCATGTCATCATCAGTCATCAATCTTCCACCTAACCAACCCAACCAGATTTATCGTCTTGGCTACAATATTAAAACACGAGCCAAATTATGAATCAAAACGTCAAATACTTACCACTAATGGTATGTTTACTCTTTAAGTATCCGTGTTTAGTTGTTGGAAAGTTGAAAAACACACTAATATATTCTTTAGCTAGAAGAAAAGGAAAATAAAAAGTTTATAATGGATTAATGGACCACCAAGATATTAACGTGTAAAACAATACAAAGAGATCTCAAAACCGTATACCTAACATCCGATAAATCTCGAACTTCGCCATTTTAAATATAAATTAATGTTACAATTCGAGAACATATAAAAAAAAAGCATATACTACAAGAAAAAGAAATCGAAAGTTGATATAAATTATGCTGGAGATAATAAAAAGAAATTGGCTGCAGCTTTTTAAACAGCATTTTTAGCTTTGAAGCAAGACAAAGAACCTTGGTTGTTGTTGGTCCTGTGACTTGGTTGTCAAGATACCTCGAGACAAAACAAAAGCTTTAAGCTTGAGCACTATATATCTGCTCTATTTTTTTCAACTTGCGTTAGATGAATACCAAAGCTTCTTCTGACATATCAAGAGCCTCTCGTTCTCTGGTTCAGATTATATTTGTTCCTTACGGCAACTCTATCTCAATCCTTTGGCAATTGATGCAATGGTATCCGCAAAATAGCATCGATTCACGTATAACAAAACCTTGCTACTAAATGGATATTCTACTACAAAGATAACTTATCCTTTGAATAAACAAATGATGGTCAGTCACAATTTCACAAATGAGATAGATACAGTATTTTGTTCTTTCTTCAATGTGTTTCACGTGGTGTTTGAGGCCCATATTCGACCGCCATACATGATACATGTTCTCAGTAGTTTCATCAAACTCAAGGACAACTAAACAGTTAGTTCATATTTACAATAGTATTTGTTAGTTGTCCTCGAGTTTGATGAAATAAAGACGTCATTTTGAATCTAAAGTTCTAAACGTTCGTATATTCATTCCTTCGCTTTTCGAAATGAAGACGTTAATTTTGGTAGGAGATGTTTTTATTCTACGAATAACACATCTACACTTCGAGCTCGATCAGTAATATCAAAACAAAACGTCAAATACTTTACCGTTAGTGGTATATTTTCTCTTTAGTTATTCTTCTATACTTGTTGGAAAGTTATTCTTCTAACAAGAAGAAAATGAAGAGAGTATTAGATTATAGACTTGGTTCAATTGTAGATATTAAAGCCGTGGTTTAGTTTCCTTTAGCTTAACCATCTCTATATATACTTTGTACATGACATTTTACACAATTAATGAGAATAATCACATTTCATAATCATGCTCTTATTATGGTATCAGAGCTAAACAGCTCCTAACAAACTTTCTTCCGCCATTGATTCTCATTCAAGCTTTTCTTCACTTTTCTCTTCAGATCTGGACGAAATCGAGCTTCTGATCTTTAATCATGAGTGTTTCCTTCACTTTGATCGTCTCCGATTTCGTTTTCCAGCTGATAATCGCAGTGATTGAGCTTCTTTCGTCTCTTTCTCTTTCCGTTTTGATTCTGCTCATTTCTTCTTTCTGTTGACCTTAATCAACGCCGTTTCTCGTTTTTCATTACTCTCTGCGGCTTGATTCTTCTTCGTCGATCTCAATTTCAACATTTGGAATGGGATCTTCCGATGACTCCACTGCGATTCCCGATCTTCGTCCGCCATTGATTGACCAATACGAGAATCCTTACTTCCTGCATTCTTCTGATCACGCCGGTCTCATCCTCGTCTCCGATCGTCTTGCTTCTGGATCGGATTTCCACTCTTGGCGCCGTTCGGTTCGTATGGCCCTCAACGTCCGCAACAAGCTGGGCTTCATTGATGGTACGATTCCTAAACCGCCTAATGGACATAGGGATGCTGGTAGTTGGTCTAGATGCAATGATATGGTAGCGACTTGGCTTATGAACTCGGTATCGAAGAAGATAGGCCAGAGCTTGTTATTCATGTCGACTGCTGAACAGATTTGGAAGAATTTGATGTCTCGTTTTAGGCAGGACGATGCTCCTCGCGTTTATGAAATAGAACAACGCTTGAGCAATTTGCAGCAAGGTTCCATGGATGTTAGTACTTACTACACCGAATTGGTTACCTTGTGGGAAGAGTATCACAACTACATTGAGCTTCCTCTTTGCACTTGTGGAAAATGTGAGTGTAATGCAGCTGCTTGTTGGGAGAAATTGCAGCAGCGTAGCCGCGTCACGAAGTTCTTGATGGGTTTGAATGAAGTGTATGAACCTACTCGGCGTCACATTTTGGTTCTGAAGCCAATACCATCCATTGAAGATGTGTTCAATATGGTTTCTCAGGATGAACGTCAGAAGAGTATCAAACCTTCTTCGAAACCCAATGTAGCCTTTCAGAATACTGGACCAGTTGCTACGTATGGTGATGCCTCTGATCAGGGTTCCTACAATGGCCCGATGGATAATGCTGCCTATGCTGCCTCGTATTCTCGCCAACAGAAACCTGTATGTACTCACTGTGGACGGACTGGTCACACTGTGCAGAAATGTTATAAGCTTCATGGTTATCCTCCGGGACATAAATTCTACCAGAAGCCTAACTCTGCTCCACCACAGTTTCCGTCTTCTCAGCAGGGATCTCGTTCGTCGTATCCTCCTCAGACCTCCCAGAAAGCCAATGTTGCTAATGCTGTGGCTGGTCCTTTGGGAAGCTCTGCTCCTCTTGATCTCACTCACTTTACAGCTGATCAGGTGCAATCCTTGATCAATCAACTCAGTGCACATGTCCGAGTCTCAGAGCAATCGTCTCCTTCCCTATCTGCATCTATTACAGCGAATGGTTATATGGATCCTCAATCTACTTCTGGTAACGTCTCAATTGATTTTCCATCTTCTAGCCTTCGTTATGAAAACCATTCTCTCACATTTCACATCAATGTCTTTCTTCCCTTTCTTCTATTCTCCCCATTGGTTCTTGGATTATAGATAGTGGTGCCACTAGCCATGTTTGCTCGGATTTGACTTTGTTTCATGAGACTTTTCCTGTAACAGGTGTAACAGTCTCCTTCCCCGATGGCACTAGTGTTCCCATTAGTCACATTGGCACTGTGCATATTTCCGAGCATCTCATTTTGCATGATGTCTTGCATGTGTCTGCATTCAAGTTTAACCTGCTTAGTGTTAGTTCTCTTCTTCAATATCAGAAATGCTCTGCTCACTTCTATCATGATTCCTGTTTTATTCAGGACCATATTCAGGACTTGACGATTGGTAAAGGAGTTCTCATTCATAACCTCTACATATTAGAGTCAGCTAATCTTCTTTCTTCTCGACATCTCTGTGGCTCTTTGGTGGATAGTCATCTATGGCATCAACGTCTGGGCCATCCTTCTTCTGCCAAGCTACAACATATTCCTGGTATTTTACCAATGTCAAAATCGAGTCATAGTCATTGTGATGTTTGTCCTTTAGCTAAACAAAAAGGGTTGCCTTTTGTTTCTAATAATCGTTTGTCTGCCTCTCCTTTTGATCTTGTTCATCTGGATATATGGGGCCCTTTTAGAGTCGAGTCTGTTGAAGGTTTTCGTTATTTTCTTACTATTGTTGATGATTGTACCCGTGTTACATGGTTATACATGTTGAGAAATAAAAGTGATGTTTCAGATATTTTTCCTGCGTTTATTGAACATATTTCTACTCAGTATAATGCCAAAATTAAAGCTATTGCAGTGATAATGCTCCTGAACTTGCTTTTCATCAATTGGTGCGTAACCATGGTATGGTCCATCAATTCTCTTGCGCTTATACGCCTCAGCAGAATTCAGTGGTTGAGAGGAAACACCAGCATCTTTTGAATGTTGCTCGTGCCTTGATGTTTCAATCCAACATGCCTTTGGTGTATTGGAGTGACTGTGTATTAACAGCTGTTTTCCTTATCAACCGGACTCCTTCTTTACTCTTGGATAAACGATCCCCATATGAGGTATTGTTTCACAAATCTCCTGACTATTCCTTCTTACGATCATTTGGCTGCTTATGCTATGTCTCTACACATCATAAAGATCGTAACAAGTTTAGCCCTCGTGTTGTCCCTTGTGTTTTTCTTGGCTACTCGTTTGGTTACAAGGGATATAAGGTTCTCAACTTGGATACTAACGTTGTTTCTGTTTCTCGGAATGTTATATTTCACGAGAATGTGTTTCCCTTTAAACAGCGAGCCCCCATTACACCTATCAATGACTTGTTTGGTACTTTCGTGTTACCGATTTCACCTCCTCCTGATATTGGACTGGAGCCTCAAATTTCCCCTGTACCGGTAACGTCTGTTCCTTCCCCTCTTACTCCGTCGAGTGAGCCTCATTTGGTATCTTCTGACCCTTCTCCTGCATCTGCATCTGGCATTTCATCTCCTGTTGTGCATTTGGAACCTTCTGAGACATGCATTCATAATGAACCTTCTGTTATTGCATCTCATGATCGTACTAGTCCTGTTTCTGAGTCTAGTCATGTTCCTGGTCATTCATCTGCATCATTACATCCTGTGCCACTTTCTCGGGACTCTAGTGTTCCATCTTCTCGGGTGGAAGCTGTTGCACCGGCTGCAGAAGAGGTCTCACGTCCCACTGTCAGACCCAAGCGACAAGGTAAAGCCCCTAGCTATCTTTCTGATTATATTGTTCTCTTTTTGCTCACTATCATAACCCACAAGTCACTCCTTCTATTGCTCCTCATATTCCTTTTCCCCTATCCTCTGTTCTAGCTTACCATAAACTTCGTCCCCCATACCAATCTTTCATTCTTTCTATATCAAATGAGACGGAACCGAAGAATTTTTTGGAAGCTATTAAAAATCCATTTTTGAACAATGCGATGGATGTGGAAATTGTTGCTCTGGAAGCTTTAGGTACATGGAGCATTGTGACTTTGCCCGATGGAAAGCACGTGATTGGTTGTAAGTGGGTGTTTACCATTAAATATCTTTCTAATGGTACGATCGAGAGATACAAGGCTCGTTTGGTGGCCAAAGGTTACACTCAGCAAGAAGGGATTGACTACATCGAGACTTTCAGTCCTGTTGCTAAACTTGCTAGTGTGAAATACTTGCTGGGCTTGGCTTTGTCTTTTGGTTGGATTCTTTGGCAGATGGATGTGACTAATGCGTTTCTTCACGGTGGTCTGGATGAGGAGATCTACATGACTCTGCCTCTCGGTTATACACCATCCAATGGCGTTCTCCCTCCGAATCTGGTCTGTCGTCTGCACAAATCTCTTTATGGCCTGAAGCAAGCCTCTCATCAGTGGTATCACTGCTTCTCCGGCGTTGTTCTTAAAGCCGGTTTCGTTCAATCTCCAGGTGACAACACTCTGTTTGTCAAGATCACTGAAGTGTCATTCATTGCGTTGTTAAAGATGAACTGGAGTCTCTCAAATGTCATCTCCACGAGGCTTTCAAGATCAAGGACATTGGTGTTCCCAAGTTCTTTTTGGGTTTGGAGATTTCACGGACGGAGCAAGGCATCTCCATTTGTCAACGGAAATATGCCTTAGACATTCTCACGCCGACGGGTCTTCTCGATTGCAAGCCGGCTTCTGTTCCGATGGATCCTACGTTGCGGCTTCGCAAAGACACAGGCACGCCACTCGCCAGTAGTAATCCGTTTCGAGAGCTAATTGGCCGTCTTCTCTACTTGACGATAACGCGATCTGATATTACTTTCGCGGTGAATAATCTTAGTCAGTTCCTTTCCTGTCCGACTGATATACATCTTCAGGCTGCTCATCGGATTCTGCATTACATCAAGGCAAATCCGGCTCAAGGTTTATTTTACTCTGCTGACTCTGAAGTGTGCTTGAATGCTTTCACTGATGCGGATTATGCTACATGCCCTGATTCACGACGCTCTGTTACGGGCTATATGGTCTACCTTGGCAAATCTCTCATCACGTGGAAGTCTAAGAAGCAACAAACCGTGAGTCGTAGCAGTACTGAAGCTGAGTATCGGAGTATGGCCCTTGCTACTTGTGAATTGCTATGGTTGAACCAACTTCTTCGTGACATGAAGATCACTCCGACTGCTCCGGCAAAGTTGTTCTGTGACAACAAGTCTGCAATGCATATTGCGAGCAATCCCGTCTTCCACGAGCGCACTAAACACATTGAAGTTGATTGTCACACCGTTCGTGATCAAGTGAAGAATGGATTCATGAAGCTCTTTCATGTTGCTAATGAGAATCAGCATGCTCACATTCTCACCAAACCTCTACAATCGGGTCCTTTCTACAACCTCCTTCATCACTTGTCTATTTCAAGCATGTTTCATCCTCACACGATTCCGATCATACATAATCCTGATCCTGATCATGCTGCAGTCTATGTTCCGCTTTTACAGGCTTGAGAGGGGTGTATTAGATTATAGACTTGGTTCAATTGTAGATATTAAACCGGTGGTTTAGTTTCCTTTAGCTTAACCATCTTTATATATACTTTGTACATGACATTTTACAAGAATAATCACATTTCATAATCATGCTCTTATTAGAGAGTTTTATATATGGGGATTAATAGACCACACCAAGACATTAACGTGTAAAACAATACAACCTAACATCCGAGAAATCTCGAATTTCACCATTTGATGTTACAATTTAAACTCAAAATAAAAAAAATATATAATTCTCACCAAGCATATACTATAAGAAAAATATCGAAAAGTTGATAAATATGCTGGGATAATAAAAAAAAAATGAATTGGCAACTTTAACTGCTTTCGTGGCTTTGAAGCAAGACAAGGAACCTATGGTTGCTGTTGCTCCTGTGACTTGGTTCTCAAGAAATCCCCGGACAAAACAAAAACTTTAAGCTTAAGCTTCTTCATATTTGTCCTACTTTTTTTCTTTCTTTTGCTACTTTGTTTCTGAGGTTGCGTTAGATGAATACCACAGCTTCTTCTGGCAAATCAAAAGCTTCTCAGTCCCGGATTCAGACTCTGTTTTTTCCTTACGGCAACTCCATCTCAGTCCTTTAGCAACCGATGCAATGGTATCCACAAAATAGCTCGATTCGCGTATGATCACATACCCACTAGGACGCAAGATCCGATCCATTTCTAGCATCACATATTTCATCTCACACCTGCCCAAAACAAGACGCCATTAGTTATCAGATTATCAATGAGTATTCAAGGATTTAAGGCTCTGAGATCTCTCTGTTCTATCATGTACCTTTGGCTTTCAGATGTAAACAAACCATCAACGTGAAGGAGATCGTAAGTTCTTGGATACGTCGAAAATGCTTCACACCTACGAAACAACAAAGCACATTAATATATATATATATATATATGTGAACTCAAAGTGTCTGAATGTATAAAGATAAGGATTTGGTGAGTTTACCAGTCGTGATATGTTCCGATCAAACCACGATCAAACACAACGGCGAGTGTATTTGCAGCATAAGAAGAGACAACGTTCATGACCCACAAAGGATCATCGATCAGAGCAGCAGCAAGACCTCCGTAAGCAGTGTTCATATCCATCACATTCCTGATCTTATCAGAGCCGAGCGCAGGTAAGAGCTTCTTGTAATGCTTAGCCCTCGTTTTCCATTTGCTATTGTCGTGCTTAAATACGCCACTTTTTCCTCCAGGGACTTCAGAGACTCTTTCAGGAGTTGTGTGCAATCTCTCTGGCCATTTGGGAGTTGATTCCAGATCCGTCTTCTTAAGCTTAGGGCTTGGGACAACAACACAAGGGCGTAGCGGCGTATACCAAGCAGAGTCTGGCTCGAGGCTGTCGTCACATTTTGGCGGGTATGCGTCAGGGTCGTTAGACAGCTTGTTGTAGCACATGTTGTCTGAAGACTTTTGCCACACTGCGATGTCGTCTTTCTTGGCATACAATTTGAAGCACATTGAAGATAACAGATCCTGCAGCTTCTCGTAATTTGACCTCTGGTCTTCAATGGTTGTGTCCCAACCTTTCCAACGGTTCTCGTAATTGACTGGTGGACCAGATAAGACCCAGAAGCCACCAGGCCTTAGGATACGATGAATCTCCAGGAGATAGACTCCACCTGATAATAGAGAACAGAGAAGAGACGGATATAGTTCATTCAGACAAACAAGATACACTCATATTGTTCAATGATCAAGAAGATTCAAGAGAGTTAAGTTACCAAATTCTGTCCACGGAATAAGGCATCTCGAGCAATGAGCCATATCGAATGAATTCGAAGGGAAAGGGAGACGTTGAGTCGAAATGATGCCTAGGATTGCGGGAATCCCGCGTTCTAGAGCAAACTGGACTTGAGCTTCGTGATTATCTCTTGGCGCGAGTGACACTGTGAGGATACCGCGGTCCAACAAATCGCCTCCCCAGCTCGCAACCTTAAGAAAAAAACAGATCAAGAAGCTCTATGAGTTTGAAGAAGGGAACCTCTAAACCAATTTTGCCATGTTAAAAATTCAAGAAACATATAAGCTTACCCCACAACCAGTGTCAATGGCAGTGCGTATAGTTCCGTCTTTCATCTCAGGGATCAAGTCTTGCATCAGATCGACATAGGCACTAACTCCATTGGGAAACATTGTACCTCCACCAGGGAAAATGAACTTTTCACCCTCTTTCTTTAGCCAATGCTGGTTAGATTTCTGTGTGTTAATCCAATCGTATGGCACATTCCTGTAAATAAATAAACACCAAATTGTCAATTAACTTCAAAGATTTAAGGATAAGCAAATCAAATGAATAATTGAGTTGAGAAAAAAGGGACAGAAAGCTTACCTGTACCAACATTCGTTTTTGCTCTTAGGCCATCTTATTGGCGGCTTGTATCCATCGGGAGGAGGAACGAGACATTGCTTTCTATCGAACACAGGAGGACAATGACGCTCCATGAATGTAAGCCTGTGAGTACCATACTTCTTCCATTTCTGAACAAGCAAAACGAAATCGAAACATTAGCTAAAAGGTTTTTTTATTCAGAATCAAGCCCTCACAGGATTGGAAAAATTGAGTGTACCCTTGGATCCGTGCAGGGAGTGTAATCTTGGAAGTCACTGCTACATTCCGAGAAAGAAACAGATTTGACTTGAGGAGAGTCAACAACAGCTAAGGAAGTTCCAGCTTTTGCAACGTCTTTAACTTCGACAGTGTTCTTCCCACAGTACAACCCACCAAGATAAAATGAAACCCCACATAGCAGAATTAGTAAAATTGTCTTGGGCAAGAGCTTCATTGAACCTTTCTCAGCTTTCTCGTACTTCTCATCTTTGTACTTCATCGTTTACACAATAAAGTACAAATCTTTTATCTAGGAAGATTCACACCTGCAGATTTGAAACATATGAATTCCTTTTATTAGGCCAAAGCCAAGAACCAGAGCTAACAGCTAACAGTACTTAGAAGCAACAGATCAAGAATAATGTTAAAGGTCAAACATCAGACTGGATCAAGATATGACGAGACAAGAACAGCAAAACAAGCTCGGCCAATGATGAAAAAGGATTTTACTGCAGGGGAAAGAGAACTTTTTTTTTGCCAATTCTTGAATAAACAAATGATGGGCCAGTGAGTATTTGACAAATGAGAGTTGAGGAAACAAAGGACGTCGAGAATCGAATCGAGATCTAAAGGGAACAAACAACATTGCCGACATTTAGAGATTGTTGCTTTAATGTTCCTCACATGGTGTTTGGGACCCAGATTCGACCGCTATAACATGCTTCTCACAAACTCGAAGACAATAAACAATTGGATGGGATAAACAATAAATGCATACACATGAATAATTTCCATATTAGGATACTGTGGAAACTGTTTCGCTTTCGCATTTAAAAAGTATAACAAATCTGACACACACAGAAAAAAGCTTGCAGACAGCTAAAAAGCACAAAGGAGGACAAAAGGGTAAGAGGAAGATCATTAGCATTAATCATTACTTGGCACAGACGGAAAGTCTCTAATCTTTCATTTACACACACACAAAAAAGGAATCAAAAACAGAAAAAGAGAAATGATGAATTGGGAATTGGGAATTTTACAGTACAAGAAGATTACATACAAAGCGAAAACCGAAATGAATCTGGATTATACAATCGAAACTCGAAGCTACACTCTGAAGATTATCCACATTATTGAAAAAAAATGAATAGATTTGGTTATAGCTTTACAGTAGAGTCCACTACAATTTGTTCTTATGGAAGCAAATGCTCTGTAATCAGCGAAGAAATGAATAAGACGCAAACGCACAGAGCAAAATTAAGAAACCCAGATCTGGGTTTACCAAAAACTCGTCGAATTATGATTGAAAAATCAGTGGAGATCCATGAACAAAGAAAAAAAAAGCCAAAAATCGATCTATACGTAAATAGTTGATTGAGAGACGAACGTATAATTACCCTAGATGCTTGGAGTGAGCTCTTCCCTCTATTTCTGGATTCAGAGTGCGATTTCCGAATGGTCTCCTCGGATTCCGGAGGAGAAGATTTTTTCCGGAGAGACTTTGATTCTCTCTTTCGATTTAAGTCCAATAGAGAAATGGGGGAGAGATAAGAAGATTACAGAGAAGCTAACGTTAACATATATAGCTTCTTCTGCAAATTGGGTGTGAAATATAATTATTATTTTCTTTTTTCTTTTATTTTCCTCCTCCTCTTTTTTCTTTTTCTTTCTTTATTTGATTCACTCTCTGTATCTTTCCTTTTCTATCATTTTCATTCTTTTAAATCTGACTATTATTTTCACATAATTTCACTGTTGGTTTTGTTTTTATTTAATTATTGATTGTTGGTTGATAAAACAAAGAACAAAATAATAGTCACATGTTGTTTGTTAATAATGATGGAATCCTATTCTCTAACCAAAATACTTTCCAGTGGATTATTATAGAGAAGAATTAAAAATACTTATCGTCTAGGAAAAAATGTAAATTACAGAACCTTGACTGCAAAAAATACAAACATGAAAATTTAAAGTCGAAATTGTATAAATGATAGATCTCCTGTAGGAGGAAATCATAACGATTGTTTAAGATCGCCATTCCCGGAATTCTAGAGGTTTGTTTGGAAAGTATCTCCATTGTTTTCCTTTTACTAAAGTGACCAATCCTTTTTTTTTTCAGATTATAAAATAATTTAGACGGTTTTAATTCAATTAAAATTAGAAACATGGATCCCACCACCGACAAAACGATTCACACCGTCGGCGTCTCGCGTGACGACTTTCCTCCCATGCAAAACCCATATATTCGGAAGTCCTTATTTTCTGGTTATCAGTTTTTGGTAATTATATGACTGATAGTTTTTAAATGTTCATGTTCTATAACATTTTAACAATAACAAAAATATGTAAACTATAAATGTAATATAATAATACACATTTTGGAATTTGGATTGACAAAATCAAAACTACTCCTCTTTCTCAAAAAAAAAGAAAAAGACAAATTAAACTCGTGACATATATATATATATAAGGTTTACAATTTTGAACGTCAAAATCTATAATGCTTTTCTCATTTTCTGAGAGTTTGTTTCAGAACCATTTTGAGAGTACGTTTTAACCCCAAAAAAAACATGAATTTACAAAAAACAATTGGAGTATATATATACGAAGCGTTCGAATACATGAAAAGAATACGAAAATATTTGAACAGATTCGAAATTAATTAATAAATTAATTGAAGTTGTTGGGATCAGGCCGAGTTAGTCGGTGGGTTTGTCACTTGTGTTGTGATAGATCCACGGCAACACTGAATTATTTAGTGCTGACTAATTTAAACGCGTTTAAGTACATTCTTACTCCAAGATATACAGTGTATGTTTTGTATTGTTTTCCACAGCAAAGACTATTGTGTATATATTAGTCAAAGGTTGATTAGTGTACTGGTCTATTAGCACTCGTTAAACCAATAGCTTATAAAGAACTATGTTTGCTCTTTTGTATATGAAACACTTATACTTAACTCAAGCTGGAAAAAAATTGTTTGGTCAATGTGTATGTAAGAGATCAATTTTTTTACTGTAGTTGACTTGTACTGTATTTTAATATCAGTCTACAAATGTAAGGATTGATATGATTTTTCGGTTTGAGGTACATGATTATAAATAGAAAAGTGGAATCTGATTATGGATGAAACACTGTAAACATTCTAAAAAGTTTGTGGCATGGGGCGAATTTTTAGTATGTTTTCGAAGTTGTAACTTTTAAGAGTCTCTCGACTTATATATAAGACTCCAGGCTCCACTCCAGTGTCACCAGACGAGCATGGACGATCAATTCATCAAGGACGTTCAGCAGAATATTCGCAACCGCTTGGACTCGCTTTCTCGAGAGCAGCGAAATCTGACTTCTGTGACCTCTTGCGGTCTTGCCTAACTAATTGGTTTACTTATTTCCAGAGCTGACTTCTCTGTGTTGTTTTTGGATTGCATGTCGGTATGTTGATCTGAGCTTTGTGCCGGGTGTAAAGCTTAATTATCTAATGAAAAACAGTTCAAAAAGAAAAAGACTAGTTTACGTATAAAACAATAATCTCTATACTTTTTTGTAGAGCAAATCTCATAAGCTATATTAGTGAAACTGCAGCTCTGGGCCTCTGGCAAAAAACTTGATTTTTGATAAATCTCAAATCCGAAATTTATCAAAAAAGTATAGCAATCTTCTCTAATTTGTTGATACTTCCAAAGGTCACATAGCCGAAACTTAGATGAAGGATCATAGCGCATGTTATTAAATTGTGACTTACGAAACAAATACTTGTAAATAAGTCTTAAGTTCCAAAGTATTGGAAACTCACCTTCCCCCATGTGGAATCTGTTAATGATGCATCATCTTCACATGTGTGGTTAGGTCTTTTTACATTATAGTCTTATTTTAAAAATAAAGAATATGAATACTTTGTGTCAAATAACATTCAAAGTGATTTTTGTTTTGTTGAAAAGTAGCCACTTAATAAGTCAAACATATTCAATGATTTTCATTTTTTTTTGTTCGGACAGAATTACACTTGCTTTTGATGATATTCAATGATGTTTGATGTCTATCATAATGGCAAGCGAAACAATGGATTTGTGAGGAGACAAAAATTGTTGACGTGTATTTGTAGGCTTGGGCAAATTATCCATTATATTTGCTTCGATCCGTTATCCGTTCCGATTCAATTCGAAAAATCCGGATAATCGTAATTTTACAAAGCAAAGCAAATACTAAAATTTAATATCCGTTAAAACCGGAGCAAATCACAAATACTGAAATATTAAAAGCCGGATATCCGATCCGCTCCGTTATACATATAGATATATCTATATATATAATTACATATATAAATTGGATAATTGTTATATTTATATCTAAATTTTATAAATCTATATTCATTAAATTGATTATTTAAACACTAAAAACAATTAAAACAAAATAACTACTAATAGTTTTTTAATTTTTTTTTTTTTTTTTTTGTCACAGCCTCTCTATCTACAGCAACTCGGGGATCCAAGCTGGTGATACAGAGTTTACATAGTACACATCAGTAGGTAGAGCTCGAGCACTTCGTGCTAACTTGTCTGCCTTCGTGTTGTTCATCCTGGGTATATGGACAATTGAAAATGAGGTGAACCCCATCTTGCATTTGTCGACCTTCTCAAGAAGTATTGCAAACGCCGGCCACTCCTCTGGTTTAGACACCATCTTCACCACGTCGGAACAGTCCGTCTCGAAACCAGTACTAACTTTTTATGCCGTAGCATACACTGCATCGCCCAAATGAGTGCCTCTAGTTCAGTCTGAAGTGGGATATTCCCCGTCTCAGATTACACGAGCCCATTAGCTTACTCTGTGTATCTGGATTGAAGTGATACCATCCCAGGCCAGCCCTACAATCTGTCTCCTTCCATGCTCCATCCACTTGACACCGGTCACCCGATAAAATGGTTTCCACTGGAGTCTGTAATCGTGGATCTCTGTTTCTTGTTTTTCCTGGGCCTTAGCCCATGTCAATGATTCCGCTGTCGCTTTTGTAATTATATCATTTGGGTCCCAATCCACATTCCCTAGAACCTTATCATTGCGAGCTTTCCAAATATACCAAATCAACCAAGGGTACATCCTCATTCTATCATCATTTGGTAATTCCCAGAACAAATATGCCATATTAGAGAACAAACTCCTATTGGGAACCGTAGTTGGAGCCTGGGAATTGGAGATAGGGCCCAAACCTGTAGTGCTGGTGGACACTCAAACAGAGTATGATTCACTGTTTCTGGTTCCATCCCACACCGCGTGCATTAGGGATCTATCTGCATTCCACGACTTCTCAATCTATCCCCCACTGCTATACAACCCGTCAGCGATTGCCACAGAAAGTGTTGTAATTTTTGAGTACATTGAACATTCCACACCTGGGCCTGAAGACCCCTTGTATCACATCCTTCCCGTCCTGACTCCATGGGCTGGTTCTACACAAATACAGGTCGGTATACGGTCAAATCAGGTTATGAGATAGCACAAAGAACTCGGGGGGACAGTACTCTCCTGGTGTTTGGTCCTGATCCAACCCTTTTAATAAGTCCTGTTTGTACCAGAGGTCGAGCCGAAACTATACTCTGCCAACCATAGGAAGGTGAGTAAGATCGAATATTATCCAAAGGTGTAGAATTCCGGTAATACCGTCCCTTGAAAACCCGTGCGAAAAGCGACTCCGGGTAGTCCATTAACCGCCATAACTGTTTGGCCAGTAAGGCCGTGTTAAAATCCTCAATTACCCTGAAACCCAGATCCCCATCCTTTTTTTGCCTACAGAGTTTGCTCCATGCCAACCAATGTATTCCCCGTGATTGTCCACTATTGCTCCACCAAAAGTTTGATACCGCACCGGATAGTTTATTAGTTATTCCCTTAGGTAGACGAAAGCAGGACATGACGTGTGTGGGCATCGCCGAAGCTACTGACTTAATAAGAACCTTTTTTCCCCCTTTTGATAACCACTTAGAATTCCAGCCATTTATGCGTTGATTCTGTCTTTCCACCAGAAAACTGAATATCTTTGTCTTTGCTCCCCCTAGACTATCCGGTATTCCCAAATAGCTTCCTACACCCTCGACTGTCGTGATTCCCATATTTTGATGTATCTCCCGTCTTACATCCAGATCCACCGTATGGCCAAACTGAACCGAGGACTTCCCCATATTTATTTGTTGCCCTGATGTGGTTTCATACTCTTTTAAAATTTGGATTAAAACCTGACTCTCCTCTGCAGACGCTCTGCAGAAAAAAAGGCTATCATCGGCAAATAAAATGTGAGATACCGCCGGACTCGCCCGGGCCATCTTCAAACCAGTAATCCTCTTCATATCTTCGGCCTTGTTGAGATTTGCTTTTAACACCTCCGTGCAGAGGATAAAAAGATAGGGTGATAACGGGTCCCCTTGACGTAGCTCCCGTTGAGGAATAATTCTTCCTTTTGGCTGTCCATTGAGTAACACTTTATACTGAACTGATGTAATACATCGCATCATCAAGAGGATCCAATGCTCGGCAAAACCCATTTTCCGCATTAACGCCTCTATAAATTTCCATTCAACCCGATCATAAGCCTTACTCATATCCGTCTTAACAGCCATGAATTTTCCTTTACATGACTTATTCGTCCGGAGTCCATGAAACATCTCTTGGGCTATCAAGATATTATCAGAAATAAGGCGGCCCGGAACAAACGCCGACTGAGTTTCCGAGATTAACCTTGGGAGCAGCACTTTGAGCCTCTGGCACAGAACCTTGGAAACAATTTGGTAACCCACATTACACAGACTGATCGGTCTGAGTTCCGTCATCCGGTCGGTTTTCCCTTTTTCGGAATTAGACAGATATGAGTCATATTTAATCTCTCATCCAGAGTACATGTTGTGATAAAAGCGTTAACCATCGAAAGGACCTCCTCCTTGACTATATGCCATGAACGCTGGAAAAATAAAGTCGTCATCCCATCTGGTCCAGGGGCTTTCTCTGGATGCATCATAAATAACGCCTCGCGCACCTCCGTTTCCGTTGCCTGCCGAGTCAAAACGTTATTTTCCAACGGTGTAACCCGCTCTGACAAATGTTCCAAAACTCCTGTGAAATCTACCGGGGAGTCTGATGTAAACAACTTATCAAAATAGCTGACAGCTATCTTCTCCACCTCTTTTTCCCCCGCAACCCACACGTTGGCCTCATTATGAAGACCAACTATCCTATTTACCGCTCTACGTTGTTTTGTGGAAACGTGAAAGAACTTAGTATTTAAATCCCCGTCCCGCAGCCACATATTCCGGCTCTTTTGTTTCTAATATTCCTCTTCATCTCGATAGGCTTCCTGTAACTTGTTTGTGATGTCTGCGAGCTCCTCCTGGGTGCCATTATCGTCATCTTGTACCCGCTCCAACGCCTGTTGCAACTCCGCTATTTTTAGTCTTCCGTACGGCTGATTTGTTTTCCTCCACACTGATATCTCGTGGCGACAGTTAGAGATCCTGTCAACCAAACCCGGTGTATTCTCGCCCCGAGATACATTCCACCCTCGATCTATGGAATCAACTAATCCCTCCATACCAATCCACCGTTTATCAAACCGAAATTGCTTCCGTCACTTTTGAGTCCAATGTAGCCAGAATTGGCATGTGGTCCGACCCAATCATTGGCAAGTATTCAACATAGGAGACCGGAAAAAGATCATGCCACTCCTCTGTTGCCAAAGCTCTGTCCAGCCGACACCGAACTATCTTGCCCCGTCTCCTACCCCTCCAGGACAGTGTGTTTCCCCGACTTGGGAAATCCACTAAGTCACAATCACTAATCATCAGATTAAACGGGACAAAAGTTGAGGCTTGACGTAAAGCCCCACCCTGTTTCTCATGGTTACCCGTGATTTCATTAAAATCCCCAATGAGAAACCATGGTTCCGTGCGTGTCGTTCCAATCCTCGTGATCCGTTCCCACACAATATCACGAAACTTCACCACCGAATCTCCATACACAAAAGACATGAAAATTGATCGGCCTTCATGGCTAGCTTCAACATCAATAATCCTCTTATTTGAGCAGATGATACTGACATCATAAGAGTTATTATAAAACAGTGCCAAACCCCCACTCGCGCCACAAGGGTCCACCGTAAACACCCTATCATAACCGAAATGGAACTGAAATTGTTGAACAAAAGCAAAACTCTGTTTTGTTTCAGAGAGAAATAAAAACTCTGGTTTATATTTTCGCCATAATTCCCACAAATGGCTAATTGTGTAGGGATTACCCAATCCCTGGCAATTCCAACTAAGGACTCTCATTCCTCAATATTTGTTCTTGTTTATCTTGGCTGGGTGTAATTCTGTTATCGTCCCCGCCACCATCCAACCCTGCAACCCGTATGTCACATCCGTATATATGCCTTCCGTTACATATACTCAAAGCCCCTCGATACATAAGATTGAGTATTTTGTTCACACGACCCCCTCCATCGACCACTCGAAACCCATTCCGCGCACCCATGCCCTTATTCCCATTTCCGTCACCACTGGGTGTAGCCGTATCCCCAATGTTATCCCTCAAAACAAATTGACATGAACCCCCCATGAGCCGAATTATATGTACGAGCCTCCATATCTCTCCCAGATCCGATACATTTGTCCAGGCACCGCTTCAGTGTAAACAAATAACCTGGACATGGATATTTGAATTCTCCCACCTATTTCCTTGATTCCGAAGACACAATATACGCCTATCCCCTTCAACAGCGTCATCTCTGCACCTGAACCCACCTAGAGAACGCTGAATCCCTATACATTCGGTCCATCCCATACACCAATGCCCTTTGAGTCCACTAATTACCCTGGGAAATTGAGCGTGATAACTCAACACAACCAGGACAAAAGCAATCCTCAGAAACCCTGACCATCGTACATAAACAAGCTCAATGTCACCATGAATCGAAAGTATCATGTCATAAGGGATCCCATCCGTTTTATTATCATTACCAAAAAAACCAAGTGTTACAAAGAAAGGAGACACACACGGCTCTACCGTGCCTAACATAACGAAATCAAAGCCAAAACAGACATACTGTCTGACAAGAAAACAAAACTGAAACAAAAAAGAGAAATAGAAACCGAGATAAACACCATAAGAAGCTCCTCCCCCACTCCAACGGGGATGTATTGCACCAGCACCCCTCAGTACACTCATTCAGCCAAACCTTGTCCTTCCCCATGTCCCCCCGCCGGGTCTTCTTCCTTCCCCGGCTTTACCCCCGCCTTGTCCCCGAGTCGTGCCTTCCCCATTACCCTCTTTCTTGGTGTTTTGGCCACTTGAGCCAACTTTCGCATCGCTCCTCCGCCAATCCCCACATTGGCCCTGAAAACTTTCTTTTTTGCTCCGACCTTGCGTTCTCCCTGCTTGCCCTTTCCTCCACCCTGCATGACTTTCTGAGCCTGTGGGACTCCCCCTGAACCTGCATTGACACCTCGATAGTTTCCTCGGTCTCTGCCCTCGGCATCAGGGCCAAGGTATCATCCCCTAGCGTCCCCTTCTCATCCTCCACGTCCCCCAACTCCTCCTCATCCCCAAGCAGGTCATCATCGGAAATCACCATGTCACCCATAACATCGTCCCTAACATCGTTCCCTGCATCAGAAAGGCTATGGTGTCCCGTATCTACCTGTTCCCCTATCGCGCCTACAGCTATCATGGTTTCGTCCACTTATATCTCTAACCCTTGTACCAGCTCCTTAGCCGCTCCTCCATTTGGGACAGAAATCTCATCATCAAATTTCAGCGCTTTCCTGACCTTCTTGGCAGAATGAACGGAGGGACTGATGGGAAGTGATGGCTCTGTGACATGAGTCTTCTCCGTTGCGCCCTCACTAATTTTGGCCGCATGAACTCGGTTCTGCTCCTCCATCGAGCACTGGGGTCCTCTCCCATCCCTCATCTCTCCACCATGGTATGACTGCACCTCCCTCTGTGACATTTAATTAAAATTATATTTTTGTGTTAAAAATTGATTTTTCTGAAGTTTTTCAAATATTGATTTTTTTAAAATATTTACAGATCGGATAATTCGCGGATACTAAACAGAGTTACGGATATCCGGATCAAACGGATCGGAGCGGATAATCCGCGGATATTAAACAAAGTTACGAATATCCGGATTTTCGGATATCCGAAAAATTTCGGATCGGATCAGAAAATCAAATATCCGAGTGGATCGGATCGGATCACGGATACCTATTTTTTTGCCTACTATTTGCTCCGTGCCCAGGGCTAAATGAAGAATCGATGTTTCTGTATGAGATTTATAGTTATTCACTGTATTGTGTAATTTATACACTATCAATTTAACCCTGACATGGACTGGAATAAGAGGTTATCATTTTCTTATTTCAATGATCCAAAAATCAAAATCCAATAGAAACTAATGTTTTGTGATCTTGTTTGGATTTGGAAATCTTATCACACACCTGAAAATGAACCGAGCATATATATATATATACAGACACACAACAAAAACACCATTCGCTAAAAACTTCATTCTTAGCAGAGAAACTAGCATTACAAAACGAGTTTGCAATAACCAAAGAAAGATAACATAAGATACATGAAGAACCTGCAAAGGCTCCAGAAAAGCCTGGCATTATTATCATACCAAAAGTGTAAAATAAAAGAAGGTGAGAGATCATCAGATGATGATTGTGAATTCAGAAGCTTCCCACATGTTGCCTCGGTAGCCCTCCTCCATAACTCTCGGACGTGCCTCTGTTAGAGCCATTACCAAACTGATTCCCATATTGACCCAATTGGTTAGCAGGTAAACCGAATTCCCTTCTTTCAACCGATGAGGAGCTTCCAATACCAGTGTTACCTGCATCAGCATTGTAATGAGACCCTTCTTGCTTTACAGGAACAGAACTTGCATTCTCAACCCTGAGTTTATCCATGGCACCAAGAACACTCCTAGTATCTGACGAATAATTCACCTTGTCCACTCTCACAACCGTTGACTTCACACGCTGCTCGTCGCTATACGTTTCTTCTTTTATCTTCAGCTTGAAGATGTACTTTGTAAACGCAACTCTACGGATGATGTCTTCAAACTTCTCCTCATCCTTATCTTCATGCTTCACAAAATACAATTCTTTAGCAGGCATGCCCATTATCTCCTCACCAGCTTCCTGGAACGCTGTGACCCAAGTAACACCTGTATGGTCCTGTAACTGGAGCTGCAGTATATACCTGTAGTCACATTCATCAACGCACTGGTCACACTTCTCGCACCGCCATCTCCCATCTCCATTGTCTGTGACCTTCTTGCTGCACGGACGGTCACCGTTCATGATAGGACAAGCCGTGTAGCAGAAGTTGTCAAACTTCAAGAAGATGATAGTGGCACTGACTGTGATCCAATCCGGCTTCTCCGAAGTTCCTAGCTTCTCATCCTTGATCTGAGAGATTGCTTTGCGAACATCTACTCTCCCAGTACCGGAAAACTCCCTAGATATGGAGATGCAAGGGACACTCTTCCCTTCTCTCTCAAACCATTCCTTCAGCTTCTGAGATTCAACGAAATCTGGATCAATGAAGAGCTGACTTGATCCAATGGTGCTCACTGCTTTCCCGTTAAACTCACTGATCTTTCCCGCCTTCACAGCAAGAACCGGAAACGCACCAGAATCACAAAGATCTTGCAGCCTCTGTCCTTCTGCATTGCAGAAGCTGCCCCACATTGTCACCTCAACGCTTCTCCCTGACATATCCTTCATCTGAAGCGCTCTCTTCTGCGTCTCAGTTCCGTTTTTCTTCATTATCGTTGCAGTAGGACTGACAGACGACACAACACCAATCACATCAACGATGCTGTTGCTTTGCAAGCTTTCGATATCACCAATGGAACGGAAACTGAACTGCTGCCGAGGAATAGCAGCGTCTTCCTCGTAGCATTGCTGTATCGATGACGCATTGTCCAGCATGATCTCGTAATCATTGTTGAGATGGTTGAAATTCCTCTGAGCAGGACGCAGAGTTCCCTTCGAAACAAGATAAAGATTACCAACAACGATCTGGTCAAAGAACTGATCAGCAACAGCGTTGAAGCAAGCAGCACGTATCTCTCCACCCTCAGCATCAAGAAGGTCAAAGCTGAACACTTTCCCGTCGCCACGCTGGTTGTTGTAACGCCTGAGCTCTCCTTTGCTCGTGACTCTCGCCTTGATGGTCCACCTGACGTTGTACGGGTTAAGAGCATTGATTGGCACCACACTAGGAGAAGCAACGTTCCTTGCTGCTGGTCCTCTGTTTGCATACATCGCTGGTGCTCGCTGCTGGGGCTGATAAGCAGCCTGACGAGGGTAAGTGGCTGGAGGATCACGAGCATGAGCTGCAGGAGGATTGGTGTATGATCGAGCGGAGGGTGCAGGAAGAGTAGAACCATTGCCAAACACCTGCCTTTCTTGGCCAACTTGAGGTGATGGAGCTGGATGATCAAGCACTTGTCTTTCTTGACCAACATGAACATGACTTCTCACTGTCTCGGTACTGTTGATTTGACGGTTAACACTCGGTTCACTCTTAACCTGTTGTTGAACACCACTTGTATTTGAATCTGCTGCACGCTGATCATTAGGCTTTCCTCCTCTTTGAACAGGATTTCCAATTGTATCACAATGTGTTTTAATCACATCCAATTCCATAACGATAACAACCCTGCAGTGAACCAAAAAAAAAAACAATCAAAGGTTTCATTTTGACAACATCAAGTTACAGAATTTCACCATTCTACACTTCCAAATCATTCACAGATGCTTTTTCAAACACACCAAAACAGAATAGCTCATAAACAATGAAAAAGAGTTACCTTCTTTCCTCGATCTTGTTACAGATGAAAGAATTGAGTCGAACAATGGAACCGACTTGGAGAATATTTTCGTCGGCAAGGTAGTTCTGAGTAGTGGCGAGCATTCCAAGTTGGATTTCAGTCCCGTCTGATAACGACATTCTATACCTCTTCTTCGCGAGCCCTTTCTGTAGTGTAGAGTTGTACTCCTTCAAATGCGCCACTTGCAGAATCAACACCATGTCTTTCTCGCTTTTCACTTGTTTGTTCCTTATCATCTCGATTGCCCCCGCCGTCAATTGTACCTCCATTTTTTGTATCCTTCAGATTCGATTGGCCCAAGAGAAATTTCAAATCAAGAAAAAGGTGAAATCTTTTGAAAATGAAAACAGAGTATCGGCGAGGATTGGGTTTTCTGGATCTACAGAAACCAGAGATTGAGAGGGAGATTGAAGATTTTTGATTAGCCCTAGAGTGAAAGGTGACGCCTTTATGCCTATGTTGAGAGGGAAACTGTAAAGGTTTCAAGAATTTGGAATTGGAAATATCTATGGAGCCACGATTTCGATATAACTTACCGATTTCAGCAAAAATTCTCGTGGAAGCTTTGCTGACGTGGAATACTTGTTTAAACACTCGAGTACAGTTGTTATACAGATTACAGATAAAGCCCGCTTATTTGAGCTTAAGGCCCATACGATCAAGAAAACTGGCATTTTAGGTGGAACACGTGGCAATCGTACTGCTGAGTCAGCAGATCTCTGATCACATTTCTGTTTGAAGAATTTATTTTTATTTTTAGTTTTGATCACATACACACACAGTCACACACATCATTTCGTCGTCGTCACAAGACTCACAACGACAGTCAAAGAGGGAAAAAGAGAAGGTCAATTAAAAAAAAAAAAAAAAAAATTGGATGATCGGGAATCCGTAAGATTTGATTTCCGGTGACCCGTCGTCGTTCGATGTTCGATCGCCGTGAAGAGATGGATTCTTTGTTGTGAGTAAACTCACCGGGGAAGAAAGTAAAAAAATGGATTCCGAAGAAACGTCGTCGGCGACGAAGAAGCCAAAGAGGGTCTTCTCTTCGTTAGCTTTGCGATTCTGTACAGTGATAGTTTTCTCGGTCATCAGCTTCTTCTTCTTGTCGTTTCTATTAGGGATCTTAGTGATTTTCCTCGGTGAATTGTGGGTTTCTTCTTCTACTTCTGCGTCTCTTGCTTCGCGCTGCAAAATTGTTTCCAGCTGTAAGTTTTTTTTGTTTCTCTGAATTACCTAAATCTTTGAATTTTTTTAGGTCTATCATCAAATCATTGAAGAAATTGATAGGTTTCTTCTGCTCAATAGGTTCTTCTTAGTTTGTAGTAAGCAAATTTAAAGTACCAGTGATCTCTGATTAATTGAAATTGAAATTTATCACACTGATTTTGTTTATTAACTCCGATGATTTTGGGTTTTTGGGTTTTGGTTTCATTTTATGAGTCTTTATGATGAAATATAGAAGGCTATGAATGAGAAGATAGTGAGACTGATGTTGGTTTAATTGCTTTTCGATGTAGCTGTTGATCTTAGGTCTTCCAAAGTGTGTGGCATTGGATTATTGAACATCAAAGCACAGCATGTGTTTTATCCTTTTGAAAGAGATAAATTCAGATGTCGCTATGATTACTATTGGGCTTCTGTTTTCAAGGTGCCTTCTTTCTTCCTTACTTCCATGTGAATTTTCCTTCTGTAAATATCATCTCCCAAATCATGCTTCATTGTTATCTCCAAATCATGTTTCATTGCTGGAAGAATAAGCAAACGCTGTGTATTTTCATCTCATAAAGGTTTTGTTTGGATGGTCACACACACAGGTAGAATATAAAGATCACTTAATGGGTCAAACACGGCTTGCGTTTTCAGAAGCACCAAATGAAGCACTTCCTCCTGAGTGCAGACCCAACTTTGGTGCTGCTTTGCTTACCAAAGATAACTTCAAGGCAGGCTCTTTTACCATGTTATAGATGCTCTGGCTGGATATGTTTGTCCTGGATCCATTGTGTTTCTGATTGCAATATGTTTTGTTTCTCCAGGTGAATGAGACTTACGATTGCTGGTACACTTTAGGGGCTCCAAAAATCAAGCTTTATCGAGACAGCTTCTTCGGTTGCCAAGCAGATGATCTCTCTTTCACTGACATTTTGAAACAATACTCTGTCTTGTAAGTTCCTATGCTTTTTCCATTAGTATTGGTGTGGAATTCCATTCTATGCAATTCATCATCACTTTAGGAGAATCATACTTTGATCTAGGCGTTTGATTTGTCAGAATCATATGCAAATGTTCAATTATCTATTCAGTTTTTCCCTCTTGTCTTGGCTTGGCAATGTTCTTCACGGAATTCATAATCTTTCCTTTGGTTTTTCTCCAGATTCTCTAAACTTCTAGTGTCATGGTTTAATGGAAAAGGAAGACCAAAGTACTGGAGATATGATGTGATCGCTGGCATTGTCTCTGGCTTCTCAACTTCCATAATCACAGTCTTCATATTACGGATCTTAAGACATGCAAAGTCTTGGTTCCCTCGAGCTTGTTGTTCAGTTAAGAGCAAGTTTTCTAAGGTGAATCTCTTGGTGCAAGTGAAGCGTGCTTGTTTGCTTCTTGTTTACTTCTCCATTATCGGATGGATGGCTACGCAATACTTGAAAATTCTTTTTCCAAAGTCTGTAGAGCAAAACATATCTTGAGAGAGTCATAGAGCATGTAATGATTTGTAGACAGTTGTGTGATGTAATCGTAAATCATTTTCAGCAAAAAAGTAAGCAATACAGAAAACAGCTTTAAAGTCTGAGGATTAATTGAATTGCTAGACACAATCTGTTACCAATTCTTTCATGGAAACTGATGGATTCTCCTACAAACTTTTACGTATCTCAGAAGCAAACAAATGTTTTGGTGAAATCTGACGTTTATCTCATACGATGGATGTTACATTTTGTTGTCAAGTAGACACTTCTGATGGATTAGTTGAAGTTACATTGTTTGGTTCCTCAATTTCTTCATCTTGATCAACTTCTGTATCATCAGCGTCCTGAAGATGATGAAGAGCAACTTTTGGCTTTTTCGCTTTCGAATAACCTTCTTGCTTCTCCTCCTCTTCCTCGTTCACATCCTCAGATTCCTTTCTTTTCAAATCCTTGTTATCTCCTTCAACATTACTACTCTCTGGTTTCACTTCTTCCGCCTTTTTCTTATTGCTTGCCTTATCTTTTCTCGCTTGCTCTTCACATTCCTCAAGGTAGTTTTGCGTTTCGGCGTTACCCGCAACATCTGCTGGATTCTTCCCGGCTTTTGTCGTAGCTCTGACACTCGCTCCTTTCTTAACCAAGTACTTGACGAGGTCCAAGTGAGAACCTTGAGCAGCGTAGTGAAGAGGCGTTAGTCCCTTGCGAGTGATGGATTTCACTGAACCACCGACGGATAAAAGAGTTCTCACAACTTCCAAATGGCCCTTTTGGGAAGCAAAGTGAATTGCACCCATATCATCTACTGCTGCAGCGCCAACGTCTGCTTTGTTCTTGCATAAGTAGCTCACGACCTCGTTGTGGCCTGCCCATGCTGCCAAGTGTAGTCTGTTGCTCCAAGAGATCATCATGTCAAGGAAAAAAAAAAGAATGGACAGCAAAAGTCTGCAAAGAAGATGAAAACTAGATCCAATCTATCATTGCTCTAAGCTGTAATCTACAAACCAAATTGCTATAAGCCATTCTCTGAGCAACCAAATCAAATGTGAAGTATCAAAACTTCAAATCTAGGAAGAATCTTAACATTGAGCAATGTTGCATACAATATAGTGAGCTGTGGCATAGATAAAGCTTCCAATAGATAATTTCAACGAGTGAAGACTGAAACATTCAACATGAAATTAAGGTTTCTAAGAACTACGAATCTCGATATGAACCCTAAATAAAGGCCGTAAGCAAACAAGTTACATTCAGCAAATAAAAGAGAACCGGAAACTCGTAGGTAATCTACTTAAGAAACTCGGAGGATTTCAATTTCATGATCGACAAGATTAAAATCGAATATGGATGATTTTGCGAGAAGAAACAAAAAAAGGATACGGAGTCCGAGAATGTTTATCCCTGGAATTAACAGCCAAAGGATTAGAGCTGATAATAGATTGAACTGCCGCTAAATCACCGGATCTTGCTGCGGAGTGAAGATCCGCCGATGCTCCTCCTCTTCCACCGCCGCTTCCACCTGCCATTTCGTCTTCTACAGTGCTTCTTCTCCGTCTCTCTCTGTTGAGCTCTTCGTAGTGAATATGCCGGTTCGGGTTAAATCCAATCTGGCCGGGTTTAACCGCATAAAGTTTGAGCTTAAGCCCAAACTAAGCCCAACGAATATCATTCTCAACGACCTCCGGTTAAATATTTATTAAATACATATTTTCATATTTTTTACATATATTCATATCTGAAACATAAATAAAATGAACAAAATGCACAAATAAATTAATAAATTAATATAAAGTATATGAGAATTTGGTGTTAACAGTTTAAAAAGTTATAATATAAAATGAAGATGAATTAATGAAATATTTAAATCGAAATAGTAAATATATTATTAACTTTTATTCAAAAAGTTGTACAAAAGAATTATCCTATTTAAAAATGTTAGAATGTATTTACAAGTTAAAAAATGTTGATAACAGTTGACCAAAAAAAAAAAATGTTGATAACATCTCTATTTTCCACCAAATACCCAAATAACAATTATCCACATTTTACATATTTTTCTAACTCTTTTAGAATAGTGCACGATGTAAATATGACAAAATTCGAAACTAATCTAAATACATACATATAACCGGATATATGACTCAGAAAAAAGTATGAGAGATTGGGTTGTAAATACATTTACCAAACAATATCTATCAAATATATTATTGTTACGATCACAATATCTTATTACTTGGTAAATAAATTTACAGCCCAAATTGATAAGTAATGCTAATGTATATTTAAAACGGGATTAGAGTGCATGTATTTACTAACCACATTTGCTACACTGACCGGATTAGAGTGCATGTGTTGTGCATTTGTGACAAATACAAAAGAATTAACTTGTGTCTAATGGTTACATACATCAACGACTCGTGCTTTGTCATCATTGTTTTATTTTTTCGGTTTTATGGGACTAGGACGATGCATATTGATTTGATTTTTGCCTATTACATTGGTTATCCTAAATCACAACTCAAGCTGAATTATGGCAAAATTTATAAATTTGAATTTACTATCTATGTAGACACCAAAAAAAAATGCTCATACCTAATGTCAAAGTATCATTAATTATGTTGTCGTCTGCGTCTTCATCCGCGACAACAATGGTGGCGTCGCTCTCGGTTTGTATAACTCCATTTATGAAATGTTTTGCGTGGTTTGGTTCATAGTTACTTAGGGTGTTATTGGATGTTGTATTTGAAATGAACTGAAATAGTTTTTATAATCCATTAGATTTAAAAAATTTGTGTTATTTTAAGAATCATTTTCAGTTGATTCTAAAATCTCTGCAATATCTTATGGATTCTGTTTTTAATAAGTTAGTCATAGAAATTCATTGGAATTCATTTCAAATGACTCAATAAACAAATGATTTAAAAGTCGTTTAGTTTTGAATAACAATGGATTTTAAATATGGATTTGAAATCTTGATTGAATAACACTAGATTTGAAACTCTATTAATGAAAAAATCATATATCGAATAACACTGAATTTTAAAACCGGATTTAAAATCTTGATTGAATAACACTGTATTGTAACTCTATTTCAGTTCATTTCAAATACAACATCCAATAACATCCCTAAGTTATTTTCCATTAATTTTTAGATTCGATACAAAGGAGACGTCTTGCTGCAAATCGGAGGAAAGCTAGATGGAAGAAGGATTGCTACTTCTCTAGCTGGAAAATTTGCCGTCCAAAGAATCTTTTGAAGGAATTTGTTACACAAGAGACTAGTATCTGCTTAACCATTGCGGTTATTAGGTACTTCACGGCTCTGCTTATCCAGAGAAGAGATCTAACCGAAGATGAGAAAATGTCTGTCAAAGAGCTGATCCAACTCATTCAGCTTCACCTACAGAGCTCTGCGAAAAAAATATATTTACGGTATTGTGAAAGCATTATGAGAGATTACGGTACAATGCGGGAACGAGACAACTCACTTAGATACGATTTCAAAAATCCTAGAGTTTATAATCCTGATAATCCTCCTGAGAGATTCACGATTAGGGAGATTTCGGGGAAACTCATAGGCCCATGCACAAGGAGGCTCATTTGTCCACTTCAACACTATGCTTCTCTCCATGCTGGAACTAAATGGACGATAGAGCTCAAAGAGCACAATCCCAAGGCTATATATGCCAACCTTAAAGTTAATCCTTCCTCGAGGTTTCAATGTTTCGGGAGCTTTGTACCTAAAAATTCTAGTTGAAGTGCTATTGGTGAACTTACAGGTTAATATCATTAATATTTTGATTCGCATGTTAATATAAAAGCATTGATGACATATATATGATCATAATAATGGAGTACATTTTCCAATTTAGTTAGATTTTATTGCCATTCAGTTAAAAAATATAGGTTTACACTTTTTTGTCACAAATATAACACCTAGAAGTATACTATATCAATTATTGAACTATCCGTCCAGTATGATGCAATACATGGGACAAAAGGATTAGGTAGGCCGTATAGGATAAAGGGATGAGATCGCCAGCTTTGAAAAAAGGGACCAATCTATGTCCAATTTTCATGGGAAGGTTCCTCAAATCAAATATTTATCGCTTTTTACACCATTCCCACACTTCAGATTATATTAAAACATACAATATTTTCGTCTTTCCAAGTTATACAATATTTATATACATCAAGTTGCATATAATTGAGGTTATGCGTCCTGCGTAATATGCTGATCTCATATGATTGATTCATGCTAAAAATTACTAAATCATATATACTAGAAAGTGGAAACATCTTGCTCGTTGTGAAATGAATGATGATATAGTTTATGTGATAATCTGATATTTTCATCTAATTTTTGATTATTCAAGTAAACGTATTCAATAAAATGACATGCTATAGTTATACTCAGTCATATAATTCACGAGGGAAAATATTCAAATATTTTATCATCTAGTCAAATTAATTATAGACTAATAAAATGATTTCCACCTAAAATTCATATAGCTTAAGCTCATATTATTCTTTTGTAATTTGGAAGTTTTTACTTCAACATTTGCCTATTGTATGAGAACTTGTAGAACCTCTAACTAATAAAAAAAAAATTAAAAGATGCAACATATTTGATAATTACATAGCATAATTCTATTGTAAGAACCAGTCCTTAAAAAACTAATGTCAAATGTTTATAGCCACAATTACAATGAGTCTGAAAACAGAGTTTTATACAGATTTTATCACAATTAATTTCACAAACAGTCAAGTTCATCATAGTCACACATACGCGTTATCCTTCTAACTATGGCCGTCTTTATATAGTTTATTTTGTTTTCCCCAATCAAAGGTTTAAACAATTGAAAAATGATATGGATAATGGAGTTTGGGATATTGTATCCAATTCCATACGGATACGGAGCCCTACGTTTCCACGATATTTTGTGATATATATTAACATTAAAGCCATTCTTTATAAAAAAAAAGTATTCAATATTGTATAACAAAGACTCAGTATAAACATACAATATTATTGTCAATCAGCAATCGTCATGTGGGGTTACAAGCTCACAATTCAACAAGCACTCTTTTCAAGTTGATACTTTTATTAACGTCACTGCTCCAATAGTAATATTCCATTGTAACAACGTACGTAAGTCAATATCCGTTTGTGCAGTTGTGCTACATATATTTTTGTAACTTGTAACTTGTAACTTGTAGTTGTAGTATTATGGATTTGGTTAACAGGTTAAGACACTCAAATTATTCAAGGCAACGCAACGTTATAAATTTATATCTAGTTGATTAGTACGTGTGTGGTATTCACGCGGTTCGTTCTGTGTAAATTGCGTGAGATTCATTTTATATACTTGCTTGTCAGAATCAGATACGTATTATTGATATACTGATAATGCAATTATTCATATACCAATGGTGACGGTGCCGTGTTCCTGCCAATCGATGTGGATGAGGATCTCATCCAATTAGGACTTCCATTACAAACAAATGGAGAAAAACTTTGTGTGGAAAATAAACAAAACTTTTTTTTATCGCAACCAATTTGATGTAACTTTCATTATATTCAAATCCCATTAAAGTAAACCACTTAAAAATAAAAGTTAATAGCAAAAATGTATAACTCTTGATATATAAAGATAAACGGCAACATTATCGGGTGTTCTTTGCATATGGGATCTGCGGGAATATATGCTAATGTTCTGAGAAAATAATAGTTAAAATTTCATCAACAAACAAAAATAATGATTAAATTTTGTAAATTCTTTAAAAAGCAGCTCCAAGCCCAATGTATCGATTCAGACCTACCTAAAAGTTATCAACATAAGTATAATCAAAATTATCTTGTAACTAGTCCATATTGATTAATAGTAGTATTAATTATCTTGTAGGTTTGGCAAAAACAGGATTAAAGTTTATTATGTAGGTTCAACTTTTGAGGAATCTAAGAAATATACCGGACCCAACTTTATACCAGAAAAAAATATAGCCATTTCTATGGCTAGCTAGTACATTTTTAACACTATACATTATGATATTTCCGGAGGCAAACAAGTGTATCTAATTTTCCACAGTTTATATTTAAGTTATTAGTTGTCAAAAACAAAAAATTAAGTTATTAAAGAAGTTAAGCTAATCAAAGAGAGATAACCTTTAACAAACAAAAAAAAATTAAAGAGAGATAAGTGTATTAAGAGTGACTCCCTCCCTTAATTTAAGAGTCTCTCATGACCATGAATTTTTCATTTTCTCTCTCTCTTTTCTATTTTTTTTAATTAATCATGAAAAACTTTATGAGAAACTCATATACATTATCATTGATAGTTAATTTTATAAAAATGAAAAAAAAATCTACAGTTTATTGTAGTAAAGTTTTGGATGTTTATGATAAAGAGAGGGTTGTTTCATGCATACGATACGTGTTCTCGTGATTCTCGCTTTACCAGTGGAGAATAGAGACATATTTTATTTTGGCAACATTCTCGTTTTTCTTTGTTTGTAAATTGTTCTTTTCATTTTTTGTTTGGCGCCAGAAAAAAAAAAAACTTGTTGTTAATAATGTAAGTACAAAATTAGTTTCTCTTTTCTAAAAATGAAGTAATAAACTAAACAAATGTCCATACTCTAACTTCTTATATCATTTTTATCATAGTTTATTATATTTTACCAATTTTCATATGGTATTTAAAATCAAAAGCCTATAAATTGTGGTTAAAAAATGTAAAAGTTTGGAATATTTTAGTTAATACCCCTTATATTTATTTCCAAGAAAAGGAGCTAAAATAATTTCTGGAAAAGAACTAAAGAAACAAAAAGGGCATTTTCATTTTTTATTTAATTTGTGTTAACTCTGCAACAGATGTTGTGACTCACCATCCCTTTTTAAAACCCCTCTCTCTATCTCCCCTTTTACCAAATCCGCCATTATCACCCATAGAAGGAGAGAGAGAAAGAGATAGTTACACAGAGATCAACTTCTCCTTCTTCTATAAAACCCTAGATTCCTTCTCTTAAACCCACATCGAAAACCACCGAGAGACGACAATGCTCCAACCTTCCTCTTCCTCTGTTTTCTCGTGATTTTCTTTGCTTAAAGGATCGTTGGGGGTGCAGAGAAACATCCATTGTTTTTTTTTTTCTATCTCATCATTGCTTGCTATGGAACTGGGTAAATCTCGATTGTACTTCTGCAATTGCTTTTCTCCTTGTAAATTTTCCGATTATTCTTTAGCTGGAAGTGATTATCCAGACGCCATAGCCATGAATTTCAATTGTATTCCCAAATCTTCATCTGTTTCTTGTATCATCTCTGAAGATTGTTCGCTTTTCCTTTCGATTCGTTGCTTATAAACTCCAATCTCTTTTTTCAAACCTTGAAACGGATATCGTCTTCAAAATTCTCGAGTCATTTCTTCTCTCCCCTCACAAAAGAAAAAACAATGTTGTGTGCTTCATCAGCTATGACTATGGCGGCTTCTTCACCAGTTTCCAGATTTGTTGGATTCGGTGATCGTACTATTCTCAGGTGATCTACTAATCTCTTCACTTACGCTCACATTTATGCTCGCATTCAAAGATTTTTAGGGATTTTATGGAGAAATCTGGGTTTATGTTGTTTACGATGATCAGGTATGATCATGATCAACGTCGTCGTTGTTCTTGGAATGGAATCGAAAAGAAGATGAATCAAGCCAGGATCACTTTTACTCGGAATCAAGCTTCTGCTTACCCAATCTTTCTCAATCAGCACAATAAAGACTCACCAAGACCCAAAAATTACAAAGAGGTTCTAATTTGTTAACCACAATGATTGTTGTTGTTTTTTTTCTCTGGATTTTCACAAGGTTTTCTCATGTTGCGGTTTCTTGATTTACTTCAATCACAGGCCATTAAGCCAGCCCGTGAAATGTTTGCTCGAGAGATCTCTCCCCAATCGAAAGACAGTGAAATTTCGATTGCAAAGGTATATAAGAAATTTCTCTCCTTAAGGTATAATCTCTGTCTCTTGATGATTTTCGATTGAGGCACATAAATGGGTTTGTTTGACCCTCTTCAACAAAGTTGCCATAATTAGAAAAAGAAAAGACTTTCAATGAAGTTTCCATTTATGTCACATCCTTCAAGATTTTACTCATTTGCTTATTTTAAAAATGGACTCACAGGTTCTGTTGTACATTGCTGCTGAGGATGAAGCCTTCTTGGCCTTTAACCGGGAGTTGGATGCTCAGTCTTTCGCAAAGGGTTTATCTGATCCGAGCGAGACAGATTCTGAGGTGAAGGAAAGTGTCAAAGATCAATCTGATCCGAGCGAGACAGAATCTGAGGAGCTGTTGATAGATGGAAAGAGTATATCCGAATGGTTGAGTGAACTAGATGCAATTTCCAAAGAAGTAGAGGCAGAATTAGTCTCACGAGACATCGGCCGCCACTCGGTTCAAGTCCTTGAAGCTGTGAACACAGTACTCTTCGACCTGAGAGGCTTCAAGAGGACATCTATTCCTTTAGACCCCAAATACTTTTACCTTCACTCTGTACTTAACTGTAGATGCGGCACTGGTAAAAGTCTCCCCTTTTAGGCTTTCTCAAAAGGCGTTTCATTTGTTGCCTCTAATCTTGAATGGGTTTTGTTGTCTTCCATGGTGCAGCATTTTTGTTTAGCGTAATATACATTGAAGTTTGTCAGCGCCTTGGTGTGCCTATTGTGGGATCTCGCGTTGGGGAAGATTTTTTGATTTGGCCTAGGACGGAGTATCCTGAAGAACTCTTTAACACAACTTCAGGACAGAGCTTGTTTGGTATTGTCAATGGACGCTGCGTTGATGATCCTAGATCCATGGCATCAGATTTAACCGCAAAGTCACTACAAGACTTGGATATTGCGACGAACAGAGACATTATAGGGATTGCTCTCGCCAATTTGATTGTAAGTCCTATCACCTATGTAACTATAACTGCACATTCTTAACTTCAAACTGGTTTCACGTTGACACAGATTATATTCTATTGCCTTTGGTTCGTTTTCAGAGGGTTCATTGGAGACTTGCGTCGAGGTCATCTCCTGGACTAATGCTGACTTCTCCTATTAGTCAACTTAACAAAATCAGAAAATATGATATTCCATTGCGGCCTCAAGATCTTAGGTACAAAGCTTGTCCTATCTCCTATAGGTTATGCCATTTAAGAAGGAATCCATTGAATTGTTTACCAATCTAACATTCGGTTTCTGCTGATTGTAGGTTGGCTATTGCGGCTGCAGAAAGGCTGTTGATTTTGGAGCCTCACAACTGGAAACTTCGCAGAGACCTTGGCATGATGCTCTACCACATCAAGTAAAGAAAATAAAAACACTTTCAAAAGTTATATAGATGAGAGAGATTGGTTCTTTTGTTACTTGTTTTGTTTGATGGAATGAAAAAAATCTTGAATTGTTGAGCAGGCAATACGGAGAGGCGATTCAAGAGCTAAGCATAAGTATGGCCTTTGCATCTGATGAAGAGGAAGTAAAAGTGATGAAGCTTTTTGTAGAGAAACTCCATCTCCTTCGTCTTATCTCTACATTGGAGTCTCCGGTTAATGGCTCTGATCGCTTGACCGTACCTTGACTTCTCTCTCTCTCTCTCTGTCTCTCTCTACTCCACTTGTAAATAATCCTCTCTCTTACTCTTTCTCTGCGTCTCTGTTGTGTTTGTAAAAACCCTTTGTGGGTGACATGAAACTTTTGTTGTAACTCTTACTCTCCTCTGACCAGAGTAATTGATTTCATTTCAATGAATCTACTTTTCCTGCTTTTCAGAGATTATTATTACCTGCTTGGGCTTTAAAAACAAAAACAAACAAGATTTTATGACAAGTGGTGTACAGTCCAAAACCGAAATAACCGGATTGAAATCTGGATTTTTAGGCATGTGTTTTCGCTTTTGGTTTAGTTCTGTTTTTACACTCAACCGTAAGCCACCTAGACCAAGGTTTCAATTTCAATTTATTAATACTGTTTTCCAAAACCAAAAGATTTTAAAGAAAGAAAAGCGAACCAAATCATGTAGTGGAAACGTTTTACAAAACACTGATGCATGCAAGCAAAGTGTGGCAATATCAGTATATTACCGACCCAAAAATGCAACACTTGTAGTCTTGTACCATTACCTCATTACCTGTCATTCCCTGATCATATGTTTTTGATGATTATGCATTTTAAACAATCAATTCCATTAAATTATTTTCAAAATTGCTGAGAATTCTATCCATTCCTCTTCTTTGTCTTTCTTATGTTCAAAGCCCGACCAAAGTGACAAAAATCAATCGAATACATTATACGTGTTTTATTTCTCCTTTTATATCATGACATTCCATAGTTTGGTATTAGTAGCTTTTTTGCATCCCACTTTGGGGCTATAATCATTGTTCTTCTATCCAACATGCTACAGTTTCCACATTTGTAAGTATAGTAAGGTTCCGGCCATTTTCGCTAGCTATTAGGCCTTATCAACTTTCCTTTTTCCAATTCACAGCTAAATTCGACATACTGTACTTTCCAAGAGCTTGCTACCAAGCTTGCTACCAGTTACTCCCTCCATTTCAAATCATTTGCATAAATGTATCTAAAATGAATATAGATATATGTAATTTAAAAACACATCCAAATACATTTCAAAGACATTTATATAAACAACAACTAATAAAAAAACAGAGGAAGTATAACCTTGCTAACAAGATTCCATTTCACATAACATCTAAATTAGTACACCGCTTTTGAACTATTGAAGTATTGATGATGCAGATTGCTATTAACCGATAAGAAATGCAATAAAATAACTTTAACTAACAGAAAAGTGATTTCAACCAGTTTTTGACAAACGATTAAAATATCAAATGTAATAAGATGCAATAATAACTAAATGACACATGTTTGGTTCAAATCAGAAAACTTAAAAACTACGAAAATAATTATTTTGATAAAATTATCATATTAAAAATGCTAAATTGTAATGAATAATTCCGTTATCACATAAAATTGAGGATAATCCGTAAAAAAAAACGGATATTGACAACAATAATATTATCATCGTATACGAAAATTACAAGACAGAGTTTATATTCGTAGATTATAGAGCTCATGTAACTACCAACGGACCCAAGGATAATTTTAGCTTCACATAAATAAAATCAAATTTTCACAAATTCATTTATTGATACTTCTATTTCATAATAATTTAATAAATAGCCCCACACACACTCTTCTTGCTTCACAGATTCGAAAGTAACGTCACAAAGAAAAAAGCAGAGCAATGGACTCTGTTTCTTCATCCTTCATCTCCACATTCCCTCTCCGTCACTCTCTTCTTCGCCGCCGATCTTCCTCTCATCTACTCCTCCGTATCAATTCCGCCGTCATCGAAGAACGTTCTCCGGCTATTAACCCTAGCGAAAACAATGGTCGTCGTCGTCAAACCACTCTCCCTCAGAGCAAACCTAATAACCTCCACAGTCGAACAAATCAAAACACAGTTTCATCTCCGGCGAAGCACCGACCCGAAATGAATTTCGTAACAGCTTTATTCACGACCTGCGAAGACGTAATCAACACGTTTATCGATCCACCGTCACGTCCTTCCGTCGATCCAAAACACGTCCTCTCCGATAACTTCGCTCCTGTTCTCGACGAGCTTCCTCCAACGGAGTGTGAGATCATCCACGGCTCTCTCCCTCCGTCTCTTGACGGTGCGTACATCCGTAACGGTCCAAACCCGCAGTTTCTCCCTCGTGGTCCTTACCACCTATTTGACGGTGACGGCATGCTTCACGCGATTCGAATCCGCAGCGGCAAAGCCACGCTCTGTAGCAGATACGTCAAGACTTACAAGTATAACGTGGAGAACAAAACCGGAGCTCCGGTGATGCTTAATGTGTTTTCCGGATTTAACGGCGTGCCGGCGTCGGTGGCTCGCGGCGCTTTGACGGCGCTTAGGGTTATAGCTGGACAGTATAATCCGATCAACGGCATTGGATTGGCTAATACGAGTCTAGCTTTCTTCTGTAACCGTCTCTTCGCTTTAGGAGAGTCTGATTTGCCATACGCCGTTAGATTAACGTCCGATGGAGATATCGAGACGATCGGACGTCACGACTTCGACGGGAAATTAGCGATGAGCATGACGGCTCACCCGAAAATCGATCCGGAAACCGGAGAGATGTTCGGTTTCCGGTACGGACCGGTTCCTCCGTTTCTAACGTTTTTCCGGTTCGATTCCGCCGGGAGAAAACAGAGAGACGTACCGGTTTTCTCGATGACGTCTCCGTCCTTCCTCCACGACTTCGCGATCACGAAGCGGTACGCGATTTTCTCAGAGATCCAGCTCGGGATGAGGATGAATCCGATGGATTTGGTGTTTGAAGGAGGATCTCCGGTTGGTACTGATAACGGCAAAACGCCGAGGCTGGGTGTGATTCCACGTTACGCCGGAGACGAATCGGAGATGAAATGGTTTGAAGTTCCTGGATTCAACATCATTCACGCCATTAACGCTTGGGATGAAGACGATGGAAACTCAATCGTTTTGATCGCTCCGAATATAATGTCGATCGAGCACACTATGGAGAGGATGGATCTGGTTCACGCCTTGGTGGAAAAGGTTAAGATCAATCTCGTCACCGGAATCGTGACACGTCATCCGATCTCCGCCAGAAACCTCGATTTCGCCGTGATTAATCCGGCTTTTATCGGGAAGAAGAGCAGGTACGTTTACGCGGCGATCGGCGATCCGATGCCAAAAATCTCAGGGGTGGTGAAACTCGACGTGACTAGAGGAGATCGGGACGATTGCACGGTGGCGCGAAGAATGTACGGTCCAGGTTGTTACGGCGGCGAGCCGTTTTTCGTAGCTAGGGATCCTGGTAATCCGGAGGCGGAGGAGGATGACGGTTACGTGGTGACGTATGTTCATGATGAGGCGGTCGGAGAGTCTAAGTTTCTGGTGATGGATGCCAAGTCGCCGGAGCTTGAAATTGTCGCCGCCGTGAGGTTACCGCGAAGGGTTCCTTACGGATTCCACGGGCTATTTGTGAAGGAGAGTGACCTTAAGCTTGAAGTATAGTAACTTCAGCAGTTTTAGTATAATTAAGTTCTTAATTACGTTCCGTACAACGAAACAAAACGGATAGTGTTGTTACATTTTAATATTTTATACATTATGCGTAGTTTGGTGGTGGTCAATGTATATAAAAATACCAAAGCTTATAAATATTTTTTTCTGTCTTAGATACTCTCTGCTTCTTCTTTTGGGGACAAAGCTTATGAATTCCTATGTTCCAATCATAACATAATTTTATCCCGACAATAATCATATTTTTGTTTTATAAGTCTAAGATAAATGTTATTTTAAGAGAACAAATTATAAGTATAGTATTAAGAAAATACATGAAAAGAATTATACATTGTATTATGTATACTCATGACAATATTAGTTTTTGACTTTTTGTGATCAAATAAATTTGTGAAACACCTATTGATGGGACTGAATTATCACTTAATGGATAATGAACATTAATTTACGGAAAAAGGAAGAAGGCTGTGTTTGCGGTGTCTGTCGGATAAATAATGAATCAGGAACGTGAAAAAGATTGTGTGTTTTAAGTGGTAGGACCAAACGATACATTATTCTGAGCAAGACATGAACATGGTGTTTGGATATGGCCAAACGTCAGTTCATATCAATTCAATACAACGATTAATAAAAATGTAACCTCTTAAAACAATCTTGATAATTTTCATTAATACTATGAAAAGCTCGAATCAAATCTCTTTTTGTTTGAATTATTGTTATATATATCGTTGAGTGTCGTCGAATCAAAGCAAACAAGGGGCCAAAAGCAATAAACGAACGAGAGTGACACAGATACATTTATCCTTTTTATTTGAGACCAAATGTTTCAATATTTATTTATACGTTAAGCCACAATCACAAGCAGTGGCTGAGAGTGGTTTAAAAATAATGTTTCTGTCCAAAATTTCGGAATCAAGTTTCACGTGATGAGTGAACAATTTCAACAAAAAAACAATTTTATTTTTGTTACAATTTATAGGATATCCAACAATAAAACAGTACTTGACATTTATGGCAATAAAAACTATTGAGACATGTACTCGTTTTGTCAGATAAATGAATTCATCAAATTTGGCAATCGATTCTGAAAAACCAAACCTAAAACGAATCTCTATGTTTATTGACATGGGGATACTTCAGCAAAAAAAAAAAAAAATGGCTAACGTTGCCACTAACAAGAATCACTCTGTCAACTTGACCAAAACAATTGAAATGTGAAAACAGAGATCACTAGGATAACCATTTTTATTTGGTAATCAGATTTTACCAAACCCATTTCCATCATGAGTTGTTAAAGATTCGTTGAATGAAAATCAATCTATGGACTCATCTTACAGATTGCTACCTATATGCAAAAAATCTAAACCATATATTTGAAAATATGATCCATGGGAAGAGAAGTCACTGTTCAGGTGATAGTTACTATGATTGCTCTATATATCTAAACGCCAACCACACACGATGGTCCCCATAGGACTTGAGCTCTACAATCTAACATATGGAGTATGGACACTGAGTGAAGCTGGATATTTTCATTGTAAAGGACAAAAGACAGATTTAGCCTCGAATCTTGCAATGAAATGAAGTCCAAACATATCACAGATTCTAACTTTTGTCTTCCTTTAGATATGATGATAAGAATCAAATAGTAGAAAATAAGCACTTACAAGGTTAAAACCAATCTGTCTGAGACATAATCCGGGAATCGGTTCTTCTGACTCTACCTGCTCAAACCCGGGAAATTTTGCGATGACAAGAACTTTGACCGGTCTGTACAAAAAATAATTTGGAGAAATACAACAAGGGTAAAGAGGAAGAGAGTGATAAATAGTTGAACTGGGTTAAATTAGTAATCATATATAAGTATATGTGGTATGGAAAGAATTACATGTCAATTGAAACAAGGTAAATATTTGCTCTCATGAAGTTTCATCTTCTTCTTTTTTAGATTCTATAATTTCTTCAAAACCGGAAAAGAGAAAAAAGCCGTAGGGATGTGGAAGTGATAAAATTAAAAACCGTACCAAAAAAACGTCTTCTCCTACATCTTGATCATGTGTGAATCAGCGAGCGACGAACTAAGATCCTCTCGGGATTGTGATCTCCGGCTTTGGAGACGCATTTGACTCCTGTGAGGAGAGGACCAGAACGAATTACCGCTGTCACCTTGCATATCCCCTAAGCTATCAGAAGAATAACTATGCATAACGCTGCTGCTCGATGAGTACAATGATGATTCCATGAGCTGTATGCTGCTTCCAAAACTAAATGGCCTACGCGGTGGTCCCCGGACTGTTGGACTCAACGGTGCCTTTACCCCTGAAAGAAAAAAGCTTTACGGAATAAATCAAAGACATAAGAGAGAGAATGTGAAGAGCTAAGAACTGTGAAATGTGACAATTTGAAGAACTGGACATAAGTTAAGATTATGCAGATTGAATTACCTGTACTCATAGGACTCCATCGCTGGAATCTGAAGGGAGACGGAATGTTAAGAACAGACGAAGAGGAGGTGCTATTGTGTCTAAAAAGTGGGAGATACGACTTTCTAAGGAATCTCGGCATACAATTGCTGACGCGTGATAGTGCACAGAGAAGCAGAAGCAATGAGAAGAGCAAAGCAGATATAAGGACTATTGGGTTTATCTTCATGCTCAGAGTCTCATAGCTCTTTAGTACCGGTGTAGTAGATAGAGCCTTCCCTGCTTCTAGAAGAGCCACTCCAAGTGTCCAAGTAATACTCCCAGACCCAATTATGATCTGCTTATCTGTAATATATAAACCTTCTCGTAACAGGGAGACTATATACGGAGCTCTAAAGCAGTACTGTTCAATGAAAGGTTGCGGAGAAACGCTGGTTCTAGCAACTTGCCAAGCCTTGTCACAAAATTCTCTACCCTTCTCCAAGACATCATCAAGGGAAGCTTCAGCACTTAAATTGAAGAAACGGTACACCACGAAGAATCCGGATACAGCATAGAACTGACCATGAGGACGAGGGTAACCATCAGGAAGAGCGCAAGGCTGCAAATCACAATCAATTCCATGTTTTGTGTTTGACCATACAGAGCTATTGACAGCCTTTTTCGCCAGTGCGCTGCACTCTCCCCAGTTTGGAGCACCAACGAGCTTGATAGGAACTCCTTTCTTCCCCTTTTTACCTCCTTGGACACCGGAAGCACACTGAGAACATGTGTACTGTCCGTTGTATCCAGAATTCAAGCAAGGATGTTTCATTTCCAGTTTCCCTTCAACCAAATCAGATTTATTGACATTTGGCAGCGTCTTTAAAAGATGAACAACAGACCTTTCAAACGCATCATTAAGACCATATCCCGCGAGAGAATATGCACTAAGATGATGGTTAACAGACCCAATCCTGAGATTAAGATTGGTCTCATTATGTGTTCGCTCCTCATTCTCAAAGGTTACCTGCAATGACGAGCCACCTAAGTCAAGTGCACCAAACGTTGGCTTCTTCGGTAAGGCTCCCAACATGCTCGTTTGATAATTAAGAGCGGTCCATCCAAAATAAGCTTCCTCTGTACCACTGATGATCTTAACCCACTCCCTCCGGCAAGTGAACGGCGACTTCGCCAGTATAGACCACACATTACCAAGAAGCCAGCTCGAATCAGAAGCACGGAGCCTCCTCACCCCCGCTGTTGCATAAACGAAGAGAGACGTGGTTCTATGAGCACGCTTGGGGATTTGCTTCTCCGCCCACTGAATAAGTGGCTTTATCGCAGTTTTCAAGCCAGACCTGTTGTTCACGAGCTTATCAAATCCAGGCTCTGTCTCCACCCGATCATAAGCACGGCCTTTACTCTTCCTAGAGATACCTTCCGTCAAAGATTTCATAACAATGGGGAGACTACTATCTTTCCTGTAATTAACAGAGGCCTGATAGACATATGCACGAGTCCCAGTGCTTCCACAGTCAAACACAACGTAATATCTCGACGCTCCCCGTGACCAGTTTGTATAAATATACATGGAGACTATATACACCAGAAAAGCAAACAGAAACAGGCACAAAACGATCATCACCGCACGGATCAATTTACGTCGCGTTGATGAGTTGGTCCCATTCGGGACACCTCCCTTCTCCTTGGACATGCTAGCTCCGTTTTGCCCCCATGAAATGTTTTGCCGTTTAGCACCGGAGTCAGTTTCCTTAGCGAGAATGGACTCTTCAGGATCATACCCACGATACGCAGAGAAATCTTGGAGTGATGCAGAGTGTCTCAGACTATTCTTCCGTCCAGCATTCACATAACTGATGGAATCTGAGTCTGAGGTTCCTACATCCGATGATGATCCAGTAGGCATATATGGAACAGATGATTGCGATGCAGCAGAAAAAAGTTCAGTGATCCTACCAAAAACCATCTCTCTTGCCTACATATACCTGAGAAACTGCTACACTCAAAGCCTACTTGGAGAAGAACAACACAACCTTCTTAGCGGCAAAAGAGTCAAAACCAGCATCAAATGCAGAAGCTCAACAATGTCTTCAGATTCTTCAATGGGAAATGCGAACTGCACAAATCAAATCAAATGCATTCCACAAGAGATGTCAGCGAAGAAGATAGCAACACGAGAGCCACAAAATAAACAATTTCCGAGGTTGAATCGGAAAATCCCAGAAATGAGCTCGAATGATTCACGAATCAATAAACACAGAAGAAAGGAGCGATCTTCAGTTAAATCGACATTGCAGATGACAAATCACGACGCAATCATAAACTAGAAAGGCTATGATATGATACCAGAAAGACGCATTGGAGAAGAAAGAAGAGGAAGCTCCAGCCACCGTCAAAGCTTCCCAATCACTAGATCTCGTATGTCGCCGCGTCTAAAGAGCAGGAAGCGAATATGCATACAGGAGGTTAATCCACGAATCGTCCTCTTCGGATTACACAATCGAGAATCTCCAGCAGATCTGAGGAGTATGGGGCTAAAACCACGACTCAGACCAGAGAAAACGAAGACGAGAGAGATCCGTTTTGTGCAGAAAGGCCTCTATGGCTTTGTTCTCTGATTTTTTTTTCCTCTCTACAACAGAAAACGTCTTGCTCGATTTTCAATTTCTCGGGAATATTTGAAATATCTGAAAACATTTGGGGTTTAAACGCAAATGAAGTTTAGTAATTTCAACCCTAAACTGAAAAAAAAATTGAACCTAACCCGAACAGAAATTTTCGAAGAAACCCGAACAATTTCTATATCTTTATATATATCTCTATAAAATTATGTCTCAGATTTTCATCCAAATCGGAACTTGTCTATAAAAACCCGAAAATCCAAAAAACATATTGTATTGATTTGGAATTATCGTTAGATTATGTTAAGTTTTTTTTTTTGCAGATTTTAAGAGATGAGAAACAGAAGTTTTCTAAACCATCGGTTTATTTTAAGTTATTATTCTTGTATCCAAACAATTTTTTCCATTTATTCTTCTATCCAAATAGATTTTTCTCTTATTCTTATATCCAAACAACTTTTGTTTCCATTTATTCTTCTATCCAAATAGATGTTTCTCTAATTTTTTTATCCAAATATTAGAATTTTTTCTCAATTAATAATATAAAGATTAATACGAATCGAAACTGTATACTGTATTCTTAATCTAAAAGCTCATCCGTATTTTTTTCTTTTCCTTTCCGTGTAATAATTAAAACATTACTATATTGGGAAATTATAAATACAGCTAAATTGGGATAAACTTTTTGGAATTCGTATTTTTGCCACTATTGTTATGTTTTATTACCAGAATAGCCACAGCTTTCCTCGGTGGCCTTTATCGAACTTATGAGATCCAATATACAGTATTTAAACCTATAGTCCGGGACTACTTGACTTAATTTACAGCTAGATCAACTTGGAGAGTCATAAAAAACAAAATTTTAACTAAGAAAAAAGTAATGGAGCAACACTGTGAATCTGTGATTAATATTTAAGGTAATCAAAGAAGATATTAAGAGATAAAAAGTGTAATAATCACTGTTGTAAAATGGTTCTGGTCAAACTCATAACTTTTGGGTTTCTTTTTTAGTCTGCAGATTTCACAGAGGAACTGGGCAATCCAGAAAACAACTGTCCTATCCTGCTAACTGTTCCACTGTATATCAGAGATTCCGAGGTTCTTACACCATGAGACGCGATTGGGATCCCGGAAACCGCTGTTTTTCGCTCTCTAAACGATGCCCAAGTGACCATATAGAGTCCTAAAATTATGAAGAATCCACCAACAACGCTGCACATAAAGAAAAAAAACCAAGTTTAGAAAATCTTTGGAAGTGAAGAAGAGTGTGTGGAATGATCAAGAAGATGTGAAAGTATCAATCTTGGATGTTTCAAAAAGATTCCGGAAACGTATTTAACCTTCCGAGATAAATAGGACTACCGAGAAAGATTCTCGATAGGAAAGCTGATGCAGCAGGCTGGAGAGGATTGTAGAGAGCAACCAAAGCAGGACCAATAATCTTATTGGACCAAGTCAAGAGTCCATAGTTTAGTGCTGATGCGATAACTCCCTAGAGAGAAGATAAACCAGATGATGATGATTACGCAAGAAACATGTGAGAAGATAAAAAAAACTTATTGGTAGCAACTTACTGCATATATAACTGCAAGAATCTCAGACTGTGTTAGCCTCCAGTCTAATGGCTCCTTTACCATAAAGGAAGCTGTTGTGACCATAAGTACTGTGCCAAAGAAGTATGACAATGCAGTAACTGAAAGATTTGCCGGATACTTTTTCAAAAGCGGTGCCTGAAGAGAGTTTCCATTGCATCCACAATAAAAGACACATGCACAGAGGTTAGTAGGCTGCAGTTTATAGGTTTGACCAAAGAAAGTGAAACAATGAAGGGATTTACCTGAATGGCGAGAAAAGTAGCCATACACATGCAGTTTCCAATCAAGCATAGAACTCCAATGTGCCATGTCTCAAACCCGAGATCGAGAAAACCAGTGACTAACCAACCAGTAGGCTCGGGTTGACCTTTAGCACTGATCTCATTGTTCATCGCAAAGTCTGCATCTTTATCTCCTAACAAGGCTGGACCTCGAAACAGAACCATAAAGATGGCACCCAAAACACACACTAGTGTGCCTCCAACCTTAGTTTGACCTTCGATTCTCAGCAAATTCACTCTTTCTGTACTGCATAGAAAGTAGGAGACATCAGAAGACCGAAAAGTGAAAGCACATGTAAGAGGAGAACTTTGTGAAAAAATCATACTCACCCCATCATGACAGCTAAAAGAAAGGTAAAGACCGGGATTGATGGTTGGATGGCAGCAGCGTAAGTTGGATTTGTGTATGTAAGACCGATAAGAAATAACAACTGGTTGCCAAATACCCTATCACAATTGATAATTACAAGGTGACTTTACCGAAACGTTTAATCTAATATGATGAGAAGATATGGAGATGATTTCTTACCCTGCCAAGCCCAAAAAGAAGAATGACAAAAGGAGGCTTCTATTCATCGGAGGTCTGATTCTTCTGCATTCATGGAAGACGAACAATGTTCATTGATTAGATTTTGAAAACTTGGAACATTCATCACAACCCTACAAATCTTCGGAGTGGTCTCACACAAACTTACAACCTCCCACACTATTCTTTCATTTCGGTTTTCGGTAAAACTATAAACCAGATCCTAGTTTCAAATGTACTTATCGAAAAACTCCAAGAAGAGACAATGACCACAGTAGTATTAGAACGAGGAGAGACAAAGTAACTGCAAAAGATCACTGATCTCAAATTCATGAGTATCTAAATCTACTAACAGTGGAAGTCAACGGAACACTAAACTCAAGTATACGCAAAAAGCACAGAGATTTTGCCTTGCAAATAATTCCTCTCCTAAGATTTATCAACTTAAGTCTACGCACATTGTTCCAAATCTGAAAGCTAGTTTTTCTATCATGAGATCACATTTAAAAACCCAAAACTTTATTCGATTCATCCCACAGAGATCCTAGTTCAGTTCCAAAAACCTATACCAATGGATCAGGTCATTACAAGGGGCTGCATTGGTTTTTCCGCATATAAACCCACAAATCGATCACGGAGAAACAGGAATCGATTAAACCCATCTTAGTCAGAACTGTAAAACTTCACGAGAACACGGAAGGAAACGAAAACGAACAAAGTAGGGAGAGAAAGCTGATACCTTTCGCGGAAGTAAGCAAGGGGAACGAGAATAGAGAGAGCAAGAAGATCACGGCAGACGCAGAAGACAAGCTGGTTGACTCCAACGTTGAGAGCTACTTTTGTAATCACATGGTATCCCCCATTAAAGAGCTGAACAATCGCCATCGCAGAGTGAGCCATCCGTGCGTCTCTCTCAGCCGATCCGCCACCGTTTAGGATCATCGCCGCCGTCATCTTTCCGATTTACTCGGCTCGTCTCTCTCACTCGCCCTCTCTCTCCTTGTAGACTATAAAAGTGAGATCCTTGCCTCGTTTGGAAAGCTTAGCAACAAAATCTGCTTCTGCCTTTTTTTTCACACTTTTCGTAGTTTGACAGTAATGCAAAATTCCCCTAAATCTTACAATTTTATGAGCTTCTTTCAATTCAAACTTGTGTAATTTTGATTTGGGCCGTAGATCTTTTTAATCAAAATATAATTTCAATTAGATATACTATAGTTTTTTTGATTATTTTTATAAAAATCGTATTTTTTCATACTTTATTTTTTTTCCGGCCAAAACAATCGAGGCATAGAGAAATCTCTCTTCCTTCCCATCGGGAAAACTGTTTCGGCGTCTAAGAGATGGACGGCGAAGAAGGCAGCGGGATACGGCTGAGCAAGAGATTCAACGACGGAAAAGTCACCGGCGGCAGTCTAGAGGTCGATTACAAGACGAAATCCGGTACCGCTTGGAGCCACTCGTTCCTGAACCAGAAGCCATGGCATCCGCTTTCCTATCCCAACCAGCGCCGCAAGTGGATCGCCGAGCAGACTCACGCCCAACACGATCGCAGAGCCGAAGAAGTTGCCCGCGAGGTACTACATATCGTACATGGTCTCTAATTTCCTCTCTTATTGATTCAATTTGTGTTTACCTTACATCAATTTTTTTCCGTTCGATTTGCAGTTTGCGCAAGAGCAGGAGTTCTTCAAGCAGGCGGCTCTCATCTCGAAGAAAGAAAGAGAGAAGGTTAGTTTTTTGATTTTTTCCTTCTCAGTCAGATTAGAGGTTTTAAGTTATTCAGATCTGTGGGTTATAATTCTCAGAATAACTTTGTTTCACAAGCTCCCCAATGCTTTAGATTAGCGTTTTCCGAATCATGATATTGAGTCCTGAGCTTAATGCGCAGATTGAAATGATGAAAGCTGTGAGTTTCATGTATGTTCGCCCACCTGGATACGACCCTGAAAGTGCCAAAGCAGCAGAATACGCGAGCGAGAAAGAGAAACACGAGGGTCAGAGTTCTTCAACTCAGGATCCAATGGCGGACGACAATGGTGGTTCTAAGTATGTTGACGGAAACAGATTTTGGTTTGACAAATTATCGCTAGGGATTATAAAAACTTAGCTGCTTTCTTTGATGTATGTTAACAATAGCTGTTTTTTGTTTTAATGCTATGCAGACCAACAGAGGCACAAGCTGGGAGTGACCTTACAGGTAAAGAAAGGAAGAAGCAACGACCCAAAGATGTGTTTGGGCGTTCACTTCCTACTGAAGAAGAATTTGATGTCCTTAAAAACGCACCAAGGTATTGTATTGCTCTTTCAAATGTGTTACTAGCCTAGCACATTCCAGTGTTATTGTGGAGATATTGCAACGTGTTAAGTGAGCATTTTTCTGATGAGTTACTAAGCTAGTTAGTTTGATTGGGAATTGTGCAGGCATGAGACTGGTATTGCTGGGAGAGCAAAGCCGTTTGGAGTTGAATTGCGTAATGTGAAATGTCTGAGATGCGGAAACTTTGGACACCAAAGTGGTGATCGTGATTGTCCATTAAAGGATGCAGTAATGCCAAACGAAGAACTTCGGTTGAAAAGAGATGATCCATTGACTGCTATCATCGCACATACAGATCCCGGCGAGGTTGGTCTTAGTTTCTCTTATCCTTCAAAATCTTTCATTATTCAGTATTCATTAACTAACTGGAAATGCTCTTTAACTTGTTTGTTGCAGCCTCTGAAGTGGGAGATGAAACAAAAGCCGGGCTTGAGTCCTCCTCGTGGTGGTTTTGATCCTGACGATCCAAATCAACAAATTGTTGCTGAAGATATATTTGACGAATATGGAGGTGAATTGACTTGAGACTATTTTCTTCTTTCACATCATTAGATTGTAAATACTAAGTTTTTCAATATCTTTTGGTATTGCAGGGTTCCTTGAGGGCAGCATCCCACTAGAATTACTGATGAGCATGTCGTCGGATAAGAAAAGAAAGTCCAAAAAGAACAAAAACCACAAGAAGCATTCATCTCGGACTGTTGAGGAAACTGATGAGTCTTCCACAGGCTCAGAAGATAGTAGAGAGAAGAGAGGATCAAAGAAGAGCAAGAAACTTAAGAAGAAGAGCAAGAAGCATTATGATTCTGAGTCACTCTCCTCTGAAGATTCAGACTCTGACAGTTACCGCCCGAGTAGGAGTAGACACAACAAGCATTATGACGACGAGAAGAACCAGAAACAGAAGAAAATGGTGGATATACCTTCTGTTTCATCTGATGATGATTCTGATTATTATAGAAAGCACAGTAGTAGAAAGAAGAGACCAGAAGATGATTACAAAAGTCACCACAGGGAAAGAAAGAACGATCCAGTTTCAGAAAAAGGTCAGAGACCTGACAATTTGGAGTCTGGGAAGCTTCATAGTGTCGAGAAGAAGAAGAGATATGATGAGAGAAGACACAGAAACGTTGATATGGAGTCTGAGAAGCGTCACAGATCCGAGAAGAAACCAAGATATGACGATCGTGATTCCGAGAGACATCAAAGGAGTGTGAAGGGCAAAGAAAAGCATGTGTATGATGATGCATCTGATGATCCTGGAGGGTTTTCTGATAGGTACAGAAGCACGAAGAAATCAGAATCCGAATCGGAATCGAACCGTAGAAGTAGAAAGAAGCAGCAGACGCATGAGTTGTCATCGGAAGAAGAAGAAGAAAAGTCTAGTAAGCATCGATATAGCAAGAACCGAAGGAGAAACTGAGTTATATGCTGTGTTTATTGTCCCGGACCACGAGTTCTTTTTCCAGTCTGAAATGAGATTACAAGACATGTACGATTGGTTTTCGTCTTTGTACAATGTGCCTTTATAAAGTGTTTTGTCAATTTACATTTGCTAGCTTAAAGATGATTGCAGTCGAATGTATGAAACGACTACGTTTAGGAAACAGTAAATGTTGCGTTTAAGGCGTCAGCAAATCACTTGCTTTCCCGCCGGCGCCGGAGAGAGAATCCATGTCCTTGATTCACAGCCGGTTAAATCGTTTTCCTGTATTATTGTCTATAAGTGCTTGGAACTTTAAGGTACGTGAAGCAGTTAATCGAAATGATCCGGCGGAATCACTTCTCCTGTATCGAGAAATGAAGCGCGGAGGATTTGAGCCAAACAACTTGACCTTTCCATTTGTGGCCAAGGCGTGTGCTAGGCTCGCTGATATCAGGTACTCCGAGATGGTTCATGCCCATGTTTTGAAATCTCCGTTTTGGTCTGATGTGTTCGTTGGGACTGCGACGGTTGATATGTTTGTAAAATGTAATTCTTTGGATTGTGCCGCCAAGGTGTTTGAGAGAATGCCTGAGAGAGACGCTACCACTTGGAACGCAATGCTCTCTGGTTTCTGTCAATCGGGTCACACGGATAAGGCTTTTGCTCTATTTCGTGAGATGAGACTCGACGAGATTCCTCCTGATTCTGTGACTGTTATGACCTTGATTCAGTCTGCTTCGTCTGAGAAAAGCTTGAAGCTTTTGAAGGCTTTGCATGCCTTTGGGATACGTTTAGGTGTAGATGTGCAAGTTACAGTTGCTAATACTTGGATTTCTACTTATGCGAAATGTGGTGATTTGGATTCAGCAAAGTCAGTTTTTGAAGCTATTAGGAGAGGTGACAGAAGTGTCATCTCTTGGAACTCTATGTTCAAAGCATATGCGATTTTTGGGGAGGCATTTGAAGCTTTTGGTTTTTACCGACTGATGCTGCGTGAAGAGTTTAAGCCGGATTTGAGCACCTTTATTAACCTGGCTGCGTCATGTCAGAAACCTGATACACTAACGCAAGGAAGATTGATTCATTCTCAGGCAATCTGCCTCGGTACTGATCAAGATATAGAAGTGATCAATACCTTCATTTCCATGTATTCGAAATCCGGAGATACCTGTTCAGCGAGGCTTTTGTTTGACTGCATGCCTTCAAGAACATGTGTTTCTTGGACTGTGATGATAAGTGGCTATGCAGAGAAAGGCGACATGGATGAAGCTTTGGCTTTATTTAATGCCATGACCATAACAGGAGTGAGTCCAGATCTAGTTACCTTACTCTCCCTCATTTCAGGTTGTGGAAAATCTGGTTCACTAGAGATTGGAAAATGGATTGATGCTAGAACGGATACTTATGGCTGCAAGAGAGATAACGTCATGGTCTGCAATGCTCTTATTGATATGTACTCAAAATGTGGAAGTGTCACCGAAGCTCGAGACATCTTCGATAACATGACTGAGAAAACTGTAGTCTCATGGACTACGATGATAGCTGGATACGCTTTGAACGGAGTCTTCCTCGAAGCTTTGGAACTTTTCAACAAGATGATAGACTTGGGTTATAAACCAAACCATATAACATTCCTTGCTGTTCTCCAAGCTTGTGCTCATTCAGGCTCTCTGGAGAAAGGGTGGGAGTATTTCCTCACTATGGAAGAAGTATACAGCATCAGCCCTGGATTAGACCATTACTCTTGTATGGTAGATCTTCTTGGAAGGAAGGGAAAGCTAGAAGAAGCTTTAGAACTCATTCGTAACATGTCAGCTAAACCTGATGCTGGGATATGGGGTGCATTGCTTAGTGCTTGCAAGATCCACCGTAACGTGGAGGTGGCTGAGCAAGCGGCTGAGTGTCTTTTTAACTTGGAACCGGAAACGGCTGCGGCTTATGTAGAAATGGCAAACATATACGCAGCTGCTGGTATGTGGGATAGGTTTGCAAAGGTTAGATCCATGATGAAACGCAGGAAGATTAAGAAGTATCCAGGTGAAAGCGTGATTCATGTCAACGGGAAGAATCACACTTTTACAGTGGGAGAACGTGACCATGCAGAACATGAAACGATATACCTTGTGTTGGATGGTTTGAGCCTGTTTGCCAGAGATGAACATATACTGCGTAAAGATGGGTATGCAGAACAGAGTTATGAACTTCGGTGGGTTTAGATTCCATATCAGGATGTTGTTGTTGGTTCCTAACAACCGATCCTCAGTCTTCGTTTGCTGTATACACGTAACATAACACAGACGGGAATATCTTGGTACAGCCTCAAGGAGGAAACAAGCAGAAAGAGAGATCAGTGACACGGTGACACAGTAGTGATACGGTGTCTGATATCGAGGATCAGTGTCACAGAGCAACACTATTGAAGACGATTGAAAGTACAAGAAGGTTGTAAAGTGCAAGCATTGTAAGTTGACAAGAAAGGTTTGTTGCTGGACATGACTTTTGCTGCATCCAAGTTCTCAAATGAAACTTTGTAAAGCTAAGTGTGCAATTCATATCAGGAATCAGACGATCAAAAGTGAGAAAGCTATCTATGCATATTCAAGTTTTGTATCAGGTTATATATTGCAAGTTTGTAACCCAAGTCTACAATATGGTTGTGAAATACCAAATGAACTTACAAAGTGAATCTAAAAATGTCCAAACTCCAAACTTTTGAAACTTTCTTACTGAAGTTTAAATACAAAGAAAATTAAAATTTTGAACTTTTGATTGACCTTCATGGTTTTTGCCTTCTAATCTATCCTTATCTAGATCTCGGCCCACAAACTCAACAACTCTATTCAACCCCTCCACCAACCATTTCTGTGATTATTAAGATTTGCATTATTTTGATGATATAGTTTGTTCTAACAAGATGTGATGGGGAATCATCTACATGAGTTTAAAGATTATACAATTTAACAAGATGATATAAAGTAAAGATAATTGATAATTCTGATTTGTGGAGGACCAGATTCTGTTGTCCATTTCTTTATTTTATTCACCACCAGTGTTTTTTGGCATTTATCAAATTTAAAGGATAAAGACTTTTTCGACACTTATAGATAAAGTGGAGCATAGCAAGATATTTTCCTTAACCATGTTCGTAGAACTCCGTGTCCATTGCGTGTTCCCACGACGTAGATATTTTGGTTATCACGCTTCACCTTCTAGTTTTAACATATTCACATTTAAACCCCAATGCTTTCTAACAGTTTTTTAAACACCCAATTAGAGCGCCAAATGTCCAAATGACCTATTTTTCTGCGCATTATAACATTTATCAGAAAAAAATCATTATCTTGAAGATTCATTTATGAATGTTCCCCCGTTCAGATATTTAATGTTGGGTCGGTCTGGATTGAAACAATGAAGACTTTAAGCATTCGATTTAAGAAAATCATAATAGTACGAGGGCTTTTAACCGCAATAACATATAAAATAAAGGGAAATACACTTATTCAAAAATGGTAACGCGTTAAGTAATTAATGTATTTAGGATACATACAACAGACGTAGCACGCTTATCCATATATACACACACAAAGCTCTCTCTTCTCTTTTGATTCCAATTCCTTCTGAAACATTCTTCCCAATTTCGAATCGGTAAATATTCTCTCAGTTTTTCCATTTTGATCTCACTTTTCTCTGTGATCGTTCGTATTCAGCTAGCTTAATCGAATCGTATGTCGTTCTGTGTTTTGTTATTTCGTTTTGCTCTCTTGATTTTGCATGATCGAATCGCGTTTCTTCGTTGCTGAAATGATCTCCGGTTTTGTTTGTTTGGATCCATCTTCTGCTATACTGATCTATGTTTACGTTTACATTTACGAGCCGCTAGTTGGTTTTTGTAGTAAGGTAATGATCTGAAATTGAAGAAAAAATGAGGAACAAATCTGGATTTCGTTTTCTGGTGAATTTGCTTATGGATTAATGACCATTCCTATGATTGTTTATGAATTTCATCGTGATTGTTGTGATATGTCAAGATCGTTTCCTAGATTTGTTTTGAAGCAAGCAAGTCAAATGTTAAAAAGCTAGCTTGATCTTTGACCGTCCTGATGTAGTGTATCAAACTCTTGTAGGTGTTGTTGAATTGAGTAAAAAAGCAATGGGAGGTGGTAAAGACAAGCATCACGATGAGCAAGACAAAGGGTTTCATGGTTTCCCAGGAGGAGGACATCATTACCCTCCACAACAAGGGTATCCTCCACAAGGGTACCCTCCACAACAAGGGTACCCACCGCAACAAGGGTACCCTCCAGCTGGAGGCTATCCACCTGCTGGATACCCTCCTGGTGCCCCTGGAGGTTACCCTCCTGCAGGCTATCCTGCTCCTCACCATTCAGGTAAACTAATGTTCTCGGATTATCGATAAGGCCTGATGAGTCTACTGGTCTGTATTGTGTTTCAACTGGTGTATACTTTGTCCAAAGATTGAACCTTTGAGTTGGATTATTCAGATAGACATTGGTGTTTTAACTTCTAGTCTTTTAATCTTACAGATATAGTAGATGTACACATTTGATCAATTTTGGTTCTGTTATTTTGGAGGTTCTCTATGTTAATACCTTTGTTCTTGTTTCAACAGGACATTCTGGTGGTGGACTGGGAGGTATGATCGCCGGGGCAGCTGGTGCAGCAGCAGCAGCCTACGGAGCTCACAAAGTTGGCGGCCATGCGTCTCACAACCCATACGGGCATGGAGGACCAGTAGTAGGAGGGTATGGCCATGGACCTGGACATGGCTTTGGTCATGGAGGTCATGGTAAGTTCAAGCACGGAAAGCATGGAGGTCATGGTAAGTTCAAGCAAGGAAAGCATGGGAAGCACGGGAAACACGGCATGTTTGGAGGAGGAGGCAAATTCAAGAAGTGGAAGTAATCTCAAAACCTCCAACACCTTTGAGTCTCTCCTCCGGTAGTCTCATTACCTGACCGATGTTTCTAATAATCCCTACCCTCAAATATTACAATTTAACTAATGTCGGTTTAGAGATCGCTGCTGGTTCGAGGAAATAAATGGAGAGTAATAGTATTAAAAAAAACCTTATGGTATCTGCAGAAAGAGGTTTCTACAATCTCTGAGTAGCAGATGCTTTGAAACTATCTATATTTTGGTTTTGTAATGACAGTTTGTGTTTTTTTTTTTTTGTCTTTCTCTTTTCTTTGCTTCATTATATCTTATGTTTGATGGTTTGATGTTGATGAAATTCTTATTATATCTATGCTATTGTATAGTTGAAATTTCATTTGATTTGTGTTAGATGTCTGAAATCAACATTTTGGCTCCAACTTCTGAGTTAATAAGAACAAAGAAAAAAAAGAGTAAAGAAGAATTGTATGGAACAAATATTATTGTGAGCGAACCAAATAATGTAGAGCCTGGCCCTGACTGCAACAGTTTTTGATTTGGTCAATTTTGGTGAGGAATATGTTGTTTTATAATTTCTCATACAAAAAGAACAGAATAAAGAGGAATTATGTAGGTTTTACATATATCAAACTAAGCGTCTTTAGCTTAACCGGAAAAACACGTTAGATAAGCTTATTATATATAAATCGCATGATCGAATGATGTATGAGAGTGGTCTGCTCTGCACAAAAGAGTTATGTCTTGTCATGTGGGATGTACGAATCAAGGGACCTGAAATCTTTAGTAAAAAAAAACATTATTGGTAAATGGTTTAAAAATTTTAGGACTGAAGATGTAATGCCTTGGCCATGTTTGCTTGGCCAAAGTGTCAAGTTGTAATAGCATATGAATGTAAGCTTATTTCTTAAAAAGTCCTCTCAAATAATATATAGAGAATTTTTCCTTCCGAATAATGAAAGTAGTTCATTAGCTGGATAACTAAAATTTTGGGAAGTAGTTCATTAGCTTGACATTTGAATAATATGTTTTATATGGATTTGAATTAGATAGTATTGTAACACAAATTCAGTAGATCACAATGTTTGTAGTCAAAACTTTTTTTCTCAAAACAAAGAAAGTTCATAACTTGATTAAATTCATATGAAAAAAATATGGAGAACAAATTAATTATATGTTTGCTGAGGCCATATTGTAAACGACCCAAGCCCAATTAAAGCGAATCGTGTCCAAACAAAACAGAGTCCAGAAAACCCTAACTTTGCTTCTTCTCCTCTCGCGCAAAGTCGTAACTCTCAGGTGCGTGTGCTCTCCGCTGGTTCCTTAAAAGAGTTGGCACACGCTTCTTTTTCTTTTCGATCTTCCTCTACTCTCACTCTGAATCTCTCAATTATCTCAGGTACTAATCTCGAATTTCCCTATTCTCTCCGATGGATGATTAGATTTCATGGTCATAAGATTTTCGATAAGGTCACCGACATAGATTTTGGGGGTTTTCGGTGTTTGGTTCTCGATTGATTCAAATTTAAGTTTTTACATCTGGGATTGTATTAAAATCGTCGATTTTCTTCGAAATACTTGTAATTTGCTGTTTTTGGATTGATTTTTTTTGCTTTCTATCACTCGTTGTTTTGTTATCTGGGAAAGTGTCAACCTTTAAGCTGATTAGATTATCTTTTATCTATAAGATACGTGGGCGAATTTGGAATTTAATTTCAAATTTCGTTTTTTTTTGCATAAATTCGGTTCACCCTTTTATTCAAGTGTCGAGAATTTGCCGTTATTCAAGCTTGAAGTAATGAACAATTTGACGTCTTAGATTTTGCATGTCGAGATGTTATTCATTTATTGATACTGATCAAAATCTCGAGAAATCAAATCATTGTTATTAGCTCTGATTGTAATTGGATTTTCTGTGAATAGTGTTTGTGCTACTCTGTAGTTGTTTCTTATGTAATTTCGTTTGGTGCTTGGCCCTAAGCTGTACTCCCTAATAGTTTTATTTTATATCAGATTGATGTGCCACAATAAATAAATAGTTTTTGAACATTGTCCCATTAAAACCAGTTTTGTTCTGCTGTCAGATTGTCTATTAAGATGTCGAATCTTCGGCAGGCAGTTAAACCATAGATCTTATTTATTTTGTAGATCTTTTGAGAGATGGCGGATCGATTGACGCGTATTGCTATTGTGAGTGCTGACCGTTGCAAGCCAAAGAAGTGTCGCCAAGAGTGCAAGAAGAGCTGTCCTGTGGTCAAGACAGGTGCATATTCTTATTCCAAAATTGAATTTGTGGTCTTGCATATGGATTTCCATAGCTTTGCTGTGATTGATTAGTTGTGTCATTACTCATTGCATATGCCTTGTGACTGCATGCCAATTAATGCATAATAGTTAATCATAAGTTTATGCTGCTAACGACTGAGTGTTCTTGTCATAACTCTATATTTCAGTGCCACTTACGCATTATCTTATTTTTATCTTAGGAAAACTTTGTATTGAGGTGACTGTTGGTTCCAAGCTTGCTTTTATCTCAGAGGAGTTGTGCATTGGTTGCGGTATTTGTGTGAAGGTATGCCTGCATATGCTATTTCTGATTCTGTAGTCTGTACATGTAAAAAAAACTGGGATACTTAAGTACTCTGTTTTTTTTTTGCAAAATTTGCAGAAATGCCCGTTTGAAGCCATCCAAATCATCAATCTTCCTAGAGACTTGGAGAAAGATACGACCCATCGTTATGGGCCAAACACTTTTAAGTTGCACAGGTTCGTTTATCTATGATTTTCTTCTTCAAAAACCGACCCCTCTTCTAGTTTTAAGACAATGAGAATCTCTATCTTTTGACTTACAGGCTCCCAGTTCCGAGGCCAGGGCAGGTCCTAGGGTTGGTTGGTACAAATGGTATTGGAAAATCAACTGCTCTGAAAATTCTGGCGGGAAAGCTCAAACCGAATTTGGGCCGTTTCACTGTAATAGTCTCTCTTTAAGTTTCTGATATTTTCTATGGAAACTGCGTCTCCCGAGTCATTGATGTGTAATCATCTTCCTTCTTGAGCAGAATCCTCCAGACTGGCAAGAGATCTTGACACACTTCCGTGGGTCAGAACTGCAAAACTACTTCACCCGTATTCTAGAAGACAATCTTAAGGTACAGTGGAAATTGATCTTAATTTTTTTCTCCAGAGTGTGCCTACGTATCATTAATAACTCAAGTTGTGATCTTATGTGCATGACAGGCCATTATAAAGCCTCAATATGTTGACCACATCCCAAAAGCTGTCCAAGGAAATGTTGGACAGGTCCTTGACCAGAAGGATGAGAGAGATAAGAAGGCAGAGCTCTGTGCTGACCTGGAGCTGAATCAGGTTATTGATCGTGATGTTGGGAATTTATCTGGTGGTGAGCTGCAGAGGTTTGCGATTGCTGTTGTTGCCATACAAAATGCAGAGATTTACATGTTTGATGAACCATCAAGTTACCTCGATGTTAAGCAAAGACTCAAAGCTGCTCAAGTTGTTCGTTCTCTCCTGAGGCCTAATAGGTTTGGTTTTTCTATCTTCTGAAGTTTTTTCCCAAATGTGATCTTTAATAAGCTATTTACAGTTGTCTTTTTTTTCCCGCAGCTATGTCATTGTTGTGGAGCATGATCTGAGTGTTCTTGATTACTTGTCGGATTTCATTTGCTGTCTGTATGGGAAACCAGGAGCATATGGTGTGGTGACTCTGCCCTTCTCCGTCAGAGAAGGAATTAACATTTTCTTGGCTGGGTTTGTTCCCACCGAAAACCTACGTTTTAGGGATGAATCTTTGACCTTCAAGGTAACTGCTTTCTTATGGTGAAGAGGCAAAGTTAACTGACAACCGTAATCAATGGTTATACTTATTTCTTTTTTTTTTGAATGAAGGTTGCTGAAACTCCACAAGAAAGTGCTGAAGAGATACAGTCGTACGCTAGGTACAAATACCCCACCATGACCAAAACTCAAGGAAATTTCAGGTTGAAAGTGACAGAAGGCGAATTCACAGACTCTCAGATTATTGTTATGCTTGGGGAGAATGGTACAGGGAAGACAACATTTATTCGGATGCTGGTACTCTCTTCTTCCATATCTCCTCTCTTGTGGTTAGAGTTTCAGAAAGTACTGGACTTCTTAACTTGTATTATTGGTAATATCTGCAGGCGGGTTTGTTGAAACCTGATGAAACAGAAGGATCTGACATAGAGATACCAGAATTCAATGTTTCTTACAAGCCACAGAAGATCAGCCCGAAGTTTCAGAATTCAGTTAGACACTTGCTACATCAGAAGATTCGGGACTCTTACATGCATCCTCAGTTTGTGTCCGACGTGATGAAACCACTTCAGATTGAGCAGTTGATGGATCAAGAAGTTAAAAATCTTTCAGGAGGAGAGTTGCAAAGGGTTGCATTGGTTCTTTGCCTTGGAAAGGTGAGTATTTTGTTTCAGAAGTCTTTGCAACATTCAAGCTGTTTTTCTTTGTCTTAGTGATCTCATGTTTTCCACCAAATTTGTGAATTCTTGCAGCCTGCGGATATATACCTGATTGATGAGCCAAGTGCATATCTGGATTCAGAGCAACGTATCGTGGCATCTAAAGTCATCAAGCGATTCATTCTCCATGCAAAGAAAACTGCATTTGTAGTCGAGCATGACTTTATAATGGCTACCTATTTGGCAGACCGGGTCATTGTCTATGAAGGACAACCATCCATTGATTGCAGTGCAAATTGTCCTCAATCACTGCTCAGTGGAATGAATCTCTTCTTATCTGTAAGTTTCTTATTGTTCTCTTAGTTTCTTTTTAGTTACATGAGAAAAGAACCTAATGTTTGATGCTAATGATTTCAATTTGTGTCTTCCTTTACCATGCAGCATCTGAACATCACATTCAGACGGGATCCCACCAATTTCAGACCGAGGATCAACAAATTGGAGTCCCTCAAAGACAGGGAGCAAAAGTCTGCTGGATCATTCTACTACTTGGACGATTAAGACAACTACCATGAGGTTCTTATTCTTTGAAATCCAATCTTGTTTTATCAGTCACGCAGCATTTGATGGAGCCAATATCTGAAATGTTGATTCTCTCTTCGTTTTCCTTTCATTGATTCACAGAATATAGAGCATGATCTTGGATACACAACATTGTCTGAATTCCAGGAAGGTCTTTTGCTCTGAGGAAGTTAATCTATGAGCTCGGGATCTTTTGCGCAGCCATCTGTATTCTGAGTTTCTGACGAGATGTTTCTCTCTGGTCAAGCTTTTTGATTGTTTCTTCATCAGTTTTGCTTCTCAGCTTTCCATTGCCGTCTTCCCCCTCTAGCCTCTTTTGCTGAATGCGACGCAGGCTTGTACTATTAACTGAGCAATAAAAGTTTTTCTGAATATTTAACCTTTCGTTTTTTTTTTGTTGTTGGCTTTTGTACTCTCTGTTGATTTCAACATTTAATGTAATGTTATTTGATCTTTTGCCTGTTATATTTCTATTATCTACTTCTCTCACACAGCCTTTAAACTAACTAGTGATACAGTGACTTCAAGAAACACTGTCAAACATCAATAAGACTGTAACCAGGGAGTTTCTTCAAAGCTTTATCCTCGACCATCTTCCGTAGCCGTACAGCTTCTTCCCAACCTCCCAACCTAACATATGTATTCGACAATGAGATGTAGTAAGATGCATTGTCTGGTTCCATTTCAAACAAAATTTCTGCAACTTCTTTCCCCAACTTTGTGTCTCCGTGATAGTTACAAGCACTCAACAAAGCTCCCCATACACCTGCTTTCTGTGGCTCTCCCATCCCTTTGATGAGTTCATAAGCTTCTCTCAGCTTCCCTGCCCGGCCAAGCATGTCAACAACGCAAACCAGATGCTCTGTAACCGGTTTCACCCCGAATCTAACCTCCATTTGGTTGTAATATCTCAGCCCTTCATCTATAAACCCAGAGTGGCTGCAAGTTGATAACAGGCTTATGAAAGTGCTCTTGTTTGGTTCCATCTTTGTGTTACTACCACTCATTTCCTTGAATATCTCCATTGCCTTATCTCCCATTCCATGGAATCCATATGCGGAGATAACAGAGTTCCAAGCGGCAACTGATTTCGCCCCTGAGTTTTTAAACACCTTCATGCTGGTTTCTAGCATCCCACAGCTGCTGTACATGTCCACGAGTGCGGCACAGAGAAAAGGGTTCTCCTGAAATCCACGGCGAATGAGATGACAATGTGCCTGCATACCGTAGCCTCTAGACCCGAGCTGAATAGAAGCAGAGAGAAGGCCAACGAATGTGATCTCGTTCGGCTCTAACTCGAGTTTTCTAAAGAGCTGGATCGCTTCTGGTCCAGCTTTGTTCTGAGAAAAAGTTGATATCATACAGTTCCAGGAACATAAGTTAGGGTCAGAGATCAAGCCAAAGACCCTCACTGCACTATCGATGTCTTTACATCTACTATACATGGTGATCAACGTGTTCTGCAATTGAGTGTCAGATTCTCTCAAACTCCTAATAGCTAAACCATGAAAGCATCTGCCATGCAAGACCAGTTCGAGGTTTCCACATGCCGAGATAGTACCCAGAAGAGTAATCATGTCATGACTCACTTTCCCTTCACGACTCATTGCTTGAAACGCTCTCAGAGATTCCAAATGGTAACCATTCGTTGCACAGCCGTAGATAACAGAGTTCCAAGATGTAAGATCCCTTGTTTTCGATATCGTCTCTAACAGCAACAATGCTGAAGTTAGGTCCATGCAACCAATGTACATGTTTATAACAGAATTAGCTGAGAGGATATTATCCCCAAATCCTAGCTTTAGCTGCCAACAATGGACAGATTTGCCAAAGATGAGAGAATCAGAGGAGTCACAAGACGGAAGAACTGCCAACACAGTTGACAAGCTAAACTTTGAACAAGAATACTCACTGACAACTTCTTTGAACAGATTCTTAGCTTCTCGTGTAAACCCGTTTTGTGCAAAAGCAGATATCATCGAGTTCCATGAAACCAAGTCTCGATCAGTCGTTAACTTGAACAATAACTCAGCCTGCATTGTTAAGCCACACTTACCATACATGTCAATAAGGCTGTTTATTACCTCTCTGGACTGCATCTCCCTGCGAACCGTGTAACCATGTATCGCTCTTCCCTCTCGTGACAAACATACATCACCGCATATGGAAGTTACTGTAACCACGGTGGCGATATCAGGCTGGATCCTATCCACCGATTGCATTTCTTTAAAAATACCAAACGCTTCTTGAAACATCCCATTTGAAGCAAACCCATTCAGGATTGCATTCCAAGAAACCACATCCTTGCATAACAATTCTTCAAACACGGTCTCCGCAGCCTCTGAGTCCCCACATTTTGAGTACATCGAAATGATGGAATTGGCTACAGAGACATGAACTATTGGGATATAACCTGATTTTACAACCAAACCGTGGAGTGATTCACCTAAAAGAAGCTCCTCAAGAGAAGCGCAAGCGGAGATAACGCATGAGAAAGTCACATTATCAGCATCTTGTCCTGAACCAGTCATCGCCTTGAAATACTCCAACGATTTCTTGGGATGACCATTTGCAAGACATTTAGTCACAATTGTGTTCCAAGAGACAATGTCTCTGTGCTCCATATGTGCGAATACACACTCTGCTGAGCTCAAATCCTCGCCCTTAGCATAAAGATTGATCAATGCATTGCACAAGCTAGAATCAGAAACCAATCCAGCCTCTATCGCCAAACAATGAACCAGTCGACATTTCTTCGAAAGGTTCAGACTTGACAACGCCGAAGCTGCAAGTAGAAGCGTCGTAGAATCAAAGTCAGTTCCTTTCTGAATCATCTCAACAAAAATTCCAACAGCTGCAAGAGAACGACCATTGTGATTCAGAGCAGTGATCATACTGTTCCATACAATCACATCTTTCACTTGAATTTCACCAAACAGACCCAAAGAAGACGCCAAGTCCCCTGTTCTACCGTAAAGCGTCAGAAGCTTCGAAGATGCAGGCAAATCTTGGAGAAAACCACTCTTCAGAGCGAAACAATGGATACTCCTCGGATTCTCTGCCTGTGATCTCATCATGGAGGATCTAAGTACGTCTTGAAAGAACATAAAACTCGAATCCACCGTCCTATTCTCTCTCTTGAGCATTTCGTCGAACAAGTTATGGCCAATATGAGTGTCCGGAGGCTGTATAGCGGAGGTGAAGTGTCGGTCATGTTTTCTCTTACTGATGTGAAAATTGGAAGAACCATGTTTGATGAAGTGACCGGAGCAATAAAGTCTCAGCTTTTTCAGAGAAACGGTAGAAATTCTTACCATCAGCAACAACCTGGACATGTATCGGCAGTTTCCCGGCGGCGGCAAAACATATCAAAATGATCAACTGGGTCTTTATTGGGCCTAAGTGGACTTATTATATATTGGGCCTATACCCTAAGTTTTAGTTACGCTGAAAACTAATAACTGATGGTTGTTGTTGAAAAACAATTTATGACTAGAGTTAATTAAATAATAGTCTCCCAGATCCGTACAGTACCCGTTACCCGAAAGCATTAAATAAATTATCAAATGTTTGGTGTTCCCAAAAGCATTGATAAAAGAAAATCCCAAAATCATTGGTTTGTTCCCTTTTACATCACATTATTAAGTTCTTACTAAAACTGCATTAAATGCCGCTAATTAAAATGTTTGATAATGCAAGTTGACTTTCAATATGTCTTTTTCCCCATCGTATGAGGTACATTTGCTTTTGTGCTCGTGATACATTTTTCTATATAAACTACTTTGATTACATTAAAGTTAAATATGGGTAAAGACGGTCTAAGATTTTGTCATGTTTGGTAATGATTTAGGTCGCTCTTAGGCCAACACTATTATTTTATAAATAAACTCAGCCATAAAATTACAGAAACTGTGCAATTCTCGTGTATTTTACATCCTATGAAATAAAAAGAAGAAGCCATCAACATTGATTCTTCAGGTCCTTATCCATCATTTTATTATTTAAGAAAATTTGTTAATAGGCTCTTGGACTTTATGGGCTTTTATTAAAAGAACACATCTTTAAAGTTTCATATATAAATATATAGAGTTTGTAAACATTTTTGGAGTTTCATCAAAAAAGAATTTTATTACTAATAATGTATAAAAAGCTTGATAATGTATTGATTACTAATGAGCATGTGGCTTTTTTGTCATGTTTAGTAAGCTGACTTAGAGGATTCTTGGATGATGGTTAGATAACTATTTTGACAATTTGACTAATAAAAACTAAGAACACTAAGAGTCTTTAATTGTTCCTTAAATGAAAAAAGGGAACCATAATTTCAAATTACCACTTATTAGCACTTAGATGTTTAACAAGAACTTTAATTTTTTAAGCTATAAGCTCAGATTTATCCTTGCATAAGTTCTCAAGCTCATGTACGACTCTAACGCGTGCCTACAAACAAGAAAAAAGTTATCACAACCAGAAACGAAGAAATGTACATAACATATCTTAAGACCGAACTCATCTCAAACTCTGGTGTCACATTAAGCACAAAACTATAAAACCGAGATTAGATAGAGGTCTTGCGACTAAATCCAGAGCAGGGTGTTCAATTAATTCTCAAGTTTCTTGAGCTTGTTGAGACATTGGATTTCTCTAGACTGATCTTCGAATTTAGCTTTAGACATGTTCTCTGGAAGAGAGAACGACCAGAGTAAGGTTTGTCCTTCTCAAATCTGTTGTGTTCTTCTCAAAGAAGACATTTTGGTAAAGTTGCTCTCTTTTTTTGTTTTCTTTTGTGAGAAGAAAAGTTGCTCTCTTTCCTTAAAAAGTTGAGGTTTTCACAATTGGTAGAATATGTTTTTTTAATATGATTTGGAGATAATGTTTGTTTTAATTTTTTACCACTCCATATAAACTTTTTAATACAATAATAAGTGGTAAGAAAATAAATTCATTGTTGATTTTTTTTCCTTTTAAATAATGGGTGAATAATTATTATTTCTCATTTTCAAGATGACGAGTGATGTAATGAAAAAAGTCCATTTTTGTGCTATATATAGGAATTGCCTATTTGGAAAACACATCACAATCTAAAAACTAAAACCAACCTAGTAAAGATCAATAACCAAAAAAAAAAATGGTTCAATGGAAAAAGATATTATTTTTTTCTTCTACATAGATGTTTTAAGTGGGTCGATTTTTTAATTTTATTTTTGGTCAAATTTTATTTGATGGCAAAAAGAAATTAATTATGCGATTTCATTAAGAAACTCCATCGCAGCCAGCACTATTCTTTTATAAAGACACTCAGCCCTAAGATCAAAGAAACTGTACAATTTTCGTGTATTTTACATCTAATGAAATAAAAAGAAGAAGCCATCAACATAAATTCAATCAACATACAGCACAAGTCCATAATTGTTCACAGAAAAAAAACACTTTCTTAAAAAAAATGTTCTTATTCTAGTGTGGATTATTTGGAGAACTTTATTTCCTTTCTTACCACTGACAGATTAAGTTTTACTCTATATTATTACTGCAAGTACACAACAAATCAATAGAGTATAAATGATCTATCGAATTCAAACGTCTATCAGTTGCACAACAAATTTCCATATTGAAATTAAGCTAAGTAAGATAATGGTAAATGTAATGCAAATAAACTAAAATACAACAGCAGGTGATTGTTTTAAAGGAGTTAAATTCAATGAGATAAAAGTTAGACCTTGGAAAATTCGCAGATTGAATCCGAATTGCATAGTAAAATATCATGATATTAATGAAAAACCATTCTAGAACTCAAATCACAGTTGTAAACCAATCAACTTTCGTCGCAGAGATTATCTATGTCTAAACTCATAATCTCAAATAGTCAAATTTCTTTGCAACTTCAACAATTTAAACAAGCATTAATAATCAGGTTTGATAAGTTCACAAAATCTCTAAACCAAATTTCTTTGCAGATAGATATTTTGCTCATCTAAGATATTTCACGAAATCAATAACACTTTCGTGTCTACCAATTAACCTAAGATTAGATTCTAGATCGCGAAGCTAGAATAAGCAATAAACACAATCCTGATGAAGAACTCTAATGATTATCCTAAACAATTGCAATTCTTTTTCAACCTTTGAAAACCCCTAAACCTAATAAGGAATCTACTCAGGACATGGTGATTGAAACAAACATCATGAATAAAATAGATTGCATAAAAGAAATAAGAATATAGGTAAAGGAGCTCAAAATCTTCTTTGAAGGAGTCTGATTTGTCTCTCCAAAGCTTTGCTACAAATCTCTCTCTAAGTCTCAATAGAATAAAGTATGAAAAGTATCAGCCTAATGATGGTTTTAAAAACGTCTAAAACACAATTTGGGGCAGTTGTGCGAATATGAAGAACTTCTGGGCCGAAACTGTAATTTTTCAGAAGTGTGAATTTTTATCTTTTAGTGGTGTCGACCGACACATATTGCTTGTGTCGCCCAACGCAAGAGCTGTGAACGACATGAATCCTGATTTAGCTCCAAATAACTTCAAATAAACTCCAAATGCACCCAAAAGTACCTAAACCTGTAAAGACTCTAAAAGACACCAAAAATACCTACAAGATTCTATATACAAAACTTATACCATGGCAAAAAACTCACAAAAGCCATAATATATCAACCATCTTATTCTTCGTGGTCCTTGTCCATCATTTTATTTTTTAAGAAAATTTGTTAATGGGCCCTTGGACTTTGTGAGCTTTTATTTAAAGAACACATCTTTAAAGTTTCAGATATAAATATATAAGGAGTTTGTAAACATTTTTGGAGTTTTATCAAAAAATAATTTTATTACTAATAAATGTATAAAAAGCTTAACAATAATGTATTGATACTAATGAGCATGTGGATTTTGTCATGTTTAGTAATTTGACTTAGAGGATTCTTGGATGATAGTTAGATAACTATTTTGACAATTTGAGTAATAAAAACTAAGAACACTAAGAGTTTTTAATTGTTGTTGACTTGATTTGTTATGACTCATGACGATCTGAGTATATGACTATATGTTAAGTTTTGAAATAATACATATGAATGTATGATTGAAATTTAAGATTCAGATTATTATAATTAAAACTAATTTGTCGTAATTGAGTTATATATTAAGTGCAATAATTAGATATGCGTTGACAAAATATGTGGAATAATTATATAAAAAATATACTTCTTAAAGAACTACATGTTCATAGTTCTTACTATAAACACTAATTAAGGAATGCAAATTAAATTGTAAAACCATGATCGGTAGGCATGTGTAGGGGTGGGCAAACGGGAAATTGGGACGGGATTTTTCAGAAATGGGAATGGGACGGGAATATGGGAATCAAAATATGTCCCATATGTGTCTCATTTAAATTTTGGGACGGGACGGGAACGGGACGAGACGGGACGGGAATGAGACGGGAATTCCCAAAAATAATAAAACATGATAAATTAATAATAAAAAAATTCAACTCAAAATTTAATCATAAAATTCAAATCTCAAAATTAATAATCCTAAAAATAATGCTTAATACTTTTGAATCTTTTGAATTATGAAACCATATTTACAAATTATCGTATCTAAGCTATATAATATATATCTAATTATGTATAATACTATTATTAATATATGTAAGTGATATATAATTTGTCCCAAATGGGATTTTGGGAATTCCCATTCTTGTCCCGTCCCATTCCCAAATGGGAATCAGCTACATATCCCATATGGGAATATGTACGGGAATTTGGGATTGGGAATGGGACGGGACGAGATGGGACAGGACGGGACGGGAATTGTGCCCACCCCTAGGCATGTGGATGAATATTGCTTATTAGTTAGTACTTCCTCCGTTTTAAATTAATTGTCGTTTTATAGTTAATGTTGATACATGGATCAATCAATGGTTAATTACTAACAAATTAATAATTAAATCAACTTAGTTATTTACAACAAAAAATGAAATCAGATTAGAAAGGGAGGTTGTTGAGAGATGAACTTCTCTAGCTTGATATTTTAAAATTTTCTCTAAATTCTTTAGTTTTAGTTCGTGGTAAATACATAATATTTCAAATATCATTATTTTGTTATCTACAATATGTATGCGTCCCAATGCAAACTTTATTGAATAAAAACTCGACAATGACAACCATACCTCGACAAAAAAAATCAGCATATGAGCATTGTTGGACCTGGATTTCCCTCCAGAAATCCGGCCCATAAGGCCCATCACCTAAGTCCTAAGATCAAGATAAGTCCACTCAGGCCCAGTAAAATGACCTCGAGCCCGCCAAGTATCCTTGTCCAAAATCCAGCTGTTTACTGTCCGAGCTACTTGTGAAGACGAAGTCGAGCTCTAGCTCGACGGAGTCAAGTCCGCAAGCTGAGTTTGAACGAGTCAAACGAGAATCTCGCTTTGACTGTTCAGATCCGGAAATAGCGGGATCGGTAGTTGCACGTGGACGAGATACGCGGAGGAGGTTGCGATCTACTTCGGAGCTATAAAAGGAGGACGATTCTTGATCACAAGGCATAAGTTTAATCCTTCTCATTTCCGAGAGAGACGAATTCCTTTAATCAAAAATCACTACACAAGTTCTTCTCATCATCTTTTCACAGCAGAAACAGAGTGAAGTTCTTCTTCTTCGTCTTGAGATATTCTCATATCTTTTCTCTTCGATCTTATCCTTGATCTTCGAGATAACCTTAGAAAGCCTTGATCTTTCTAGCCGGAAATCACTTCCGGCAGAAGTTCGACGTAATCTCTTACCTTCGGATCACTCCGATTACCTGAGATTTATCGTCATCTTCACACCCCTTTAGCTCTTTTCGTGGTCATTTCTCTTCAGAAAACGACTCGAAATAGAGAACAACTTACAATCGAACTACGTTCTGGCTTGATCCCTAAAACAGGGTACGTAGGCAGCTCGTTACACGAGCGCAGCCACCACCTAATTTCCATCTCTTTTGCTTAGTCGAATCCTAGTGTTTTACATGGTCTTTCAGGCCGGTTTTGTAACCACTTTATTCGATTAGCCTAAGTCCGATTTCGTCAAATATTTGTCTACGAATCATTCGACTTACATCAGAATCTAACCTCTGATTCCACAGGCAATTTCTCCCTACAAAATACACATAAATTTTGAGTGTGGTTTTCCGAACCCACATTTTGGCGCTAGAAGGAGGGGAAACAATAGCTTTCTCTTACACAAGGGTCGAACCTAGACCAGTTGAGAACGAAATGGACTCAGTCCTATCAAATTCTCAGGGAGCTCGCTCCCGATCTCAGATCCCATCGGATCAAATCACTTCGGATGTCAGCAGTGCCAAAACTGCAGACACATCGAAAAACCCGATCACCTCGCCAACTGGCAGCAGCCAAACTGCTAGTAGATCGAGCGTCCTGATCGATCCGGTTATCACCTCCGCGGCAGCGAACTCGAATGTTCTAGCCCGCGTGAAACCATCGGTGATCAACCTCGTCACTCCTGTGATAGCCGAGAACTCGATTCTACCGAATCAGATCTCGCACGCAATTGAGAAACCTCATTTGCGGATTCGGGTCAAATCTAAAGATTTCCCGATTACCTCGACACCGATCAGTCGGAAAACTCCGACTCAAACTGTGTCAATGTCGTTTGCCTTGGCTCGACCGAATCCGGACGACCAAGCCCGAATCAAGCGAATGCTCACCGACCTGATTAAAAGTCAATACGACCAAAAATCATGATGGAAAAACATGAACGAAGTCTTGCTGAGCTAAAGACGATCATAAGTCCTCCTCCGGGAACTCAGCTTGACTCTTCACCAATCTACGAACCTAACAGCTCGTTGAAACGGGATGAGGCACCACCGCGTGCTCCTGTCATCCAGACTCTCATCCCACCGATGACCTCGTTAAAGAGCTCGTCGAAACGGGATGAGGCACCACTGCGTGCTCTTGTCATCCAGACTCTCATCCCACCGATGACCTTGTTAAACAGCTCGTCGAAACGGGATGAGGCGCCGGACCAGCTAAAAATTGGTTCGCAACGCTGGATGAAAATTCAATCGATACTTTCGACCAGCTCCTTTCGGTATTCATAAACCAATATTCGATCTTCATCGAACCAGAAGTTTCTGAAGCCGATCTCTGGACGCTTTCTCAAGCTCCAAACGAATCACATCGATCTTACGTCAACAGATTCAAAGCAATCATCGCTAAGATCGAAAACCCTAACGAGGCAGTAGCTCTACTGGCCTTCCGAAACAACCTGTGGTACAAATCGAAATTCAGAGAAGAACTAATCGTTCGACCTCCTGTATCACTCGATGATGCACTTCGCTGCGCGTTAACCTTTGCTACTTTCGAAGAGGAGATTACTCTCCTCCTAGAAAAATATCGCAAAGGAAAACTACCACAACATTCTATCTCCGTTGCGAGCTCAGTTCTGAAATCGAACTCGAGCTCCGAAGTCGATAAATTCTACAAAATACACAAAAAGCACGACCATTCCACCGAAGAATGTCGATCTTATGTTAAAAAGCAGAAAAGAAAGGCCAGGTTAGCTATACGCAACAAGACCTCATCCAACGATAACGACAAAGCATCCCAAAAACGGGAACGCAAGGTCGGAATCAACCACCAAGAGTCACCTCTTTCTAAAAAGAAACGATCTGACTCGACCCAACACCTAGAGAGCTCAGCTCACGCAGCAGATCAATGACCTTCGCGGTCACCCACCCACCCGCACCAAAAACGATAGCTAGCTCTAGCTTACGCAGACCTCACAATCTCGTGGAAGAGTGGAGCGTCATCTCAGACAGCTAACCAAAACCTCAACCCGAGTCCATAAACTTTGTGAACTCATGCCTACACATGATTCACAAGTTTTCGGGGGGAGTGGAGTCCCCCACCCCCAAATGAATTGCATTCATTCGTGGAGGCTCTAACAAATGCTTAGACTCAAACAACTCGATCAAAGCATACAAAAAGGTCAAATCTTCAGGACGAACTCTTCCGCCAGACGGATCCGACCCAAAGCTCGTGATGTTTAACTTGGACTATAGCTTAATAACAGCTATTCCGAATTAATACACGTCATGACAAACACAAAGAGCCCGGTGTTTGGTAGTCCGGAACTAGCTGGGTAGATCCCTACCTCATCACTGGTGTAGCTCGCAACAGCGTCTACAAGCTCACCAATCCAAAAAGGAATACATGGACTGAGTCATTTAAACGCAATGTACCTGATTACTTCGTTAAAACAATCTCATCCGAGGTATCTCCACCCCTTGAACTACGTTTAGGCTTGATCCCTATTCAGGGTACGTAGGCAGCTCCACCCAAGAGCGCAGCCACCATCATCCAGATCTTTGGATCGCGAGAAGTCTATCTACGCCCAGTGGGACCAACATTGACCCCGCCAAGCATATTTGTCCATGCAGATACGTTACCCCAGCTACTTGTATAGACGAGGTCGAGTAATACCTCGACGGAATCAAGTCTTCAAGCCGAGCTGTACGTGTTAGGCGGTAATATTACTTAGACCGACGGAAACCGATAATGTCCGGACCGTACAAATTAGGTGGTAATATCGCTCAGACCGATGAGTTCCGGAATTATCTGGATCTCACGAGTCGGGTGACGATATCGCTCGGACCAACTAAATCATGAAATATCTGGTCTGACGTGTCTGACGATAATGTTGCTTATACCGATGAGCCCTGGAAACAGTTGGGGAGGAGGACTGACCCCGACCCCGCCAAGCATATCTGTCCAAGCAGATACGCTACCCCAACTACTTGTATAGACGAGGTCGAGTAATACCTCGACGGAATCAAGTCTTCAAGCCGAGCTGTACGTGTTAGGCGGTAATATCACTTAGACCGACGGAAACCGGTAAGATCCGGACCGTACAAATTAGGTGGTAATATCGCTCAGACCGATGAGTTCCGGAATTATCTGGATCTCACGAGTCAGGTGACGATATCGCTCGGACCAACTAGACCATGTAATATCTGGTCTGACGTGTCTGACGGTAATGTTGCTTATACCGATGAGCCCTGGAAACAGTTGGGGAGGAGGACGAGAACGACCTCAGAGGCTATGAAAAAAGCACGACTCCAATTTAAAGATCATCTAGAACCTATTCTCGATCTAGAACCTGAACTACGTTAGGCTTAATCCTTATTCAGGGTACGTAGGCAGCTCGAAGTACGAGCGCAGCCACCATCAACTATCAAGATCCTAAGACTAAGAAAAGTCCGTCCAGGCTCAGTAAGGCTGACCTTGACTAAATCAAGTACACTTATCTAAGTACATACTAAATCCGGGCTACTTTTAAAGATGAGGTCGAGTAATACCTCGACGGAATCAAGTCTTCAAGACCGGGCTGTACGTGTTTGGCGATGATACTACTGAGATCGATGAGCTCCGGTAATGTCCGGGCTGTACGAGTCAGGCGGTAATATCGCTTAGACCAACGTGACCATGAAATAGCTGGTCTGTTTGAGTCGGGTGACGATATTGCAGACCGATAAGACCATGAAATAGCAGGACTTTGCGTGTGATGTAATAACGTTGCTTATACCGATGAGCCCCGGAAACAGCCAGAATGGCAGTTTGAACACGGACGAGATATGCGAAGGAGGTCGAGATCGACTTCAGAAGCTAGGAAGAGAGATCAATTCTAATCCTAGAGATCACCTAGAACTTACCATCGGTCTAGGACCAAAAACAAACCTTGGGCCCAGCTACCCAAACCGGCTAAACTTTCGAATTACTCCTAAGGACATCGAATACTTAGCAAAACGCCAGTCGAATCCGACTGAAGATCTGAAAGGTGATCAGCTCGACTCCGAGCTGTCCTCGAAGATTAAGCCCAAGTGCTGATCGAGTAGATCAATCTACGAAATCACACAACTGGCATCAGTCGAATCCGATTGATAATCTTAAAGGAAATCAGCTCGACCCCGAGCAGTCTTTCTTTAAACAATCCAAACCAGCTAAAATTTTGAATTACTCCAAGGACATCGAATACTTAGCAAAACGCAGTCGAATCCGACTGAAGATCCGAAAGGTCATCAGCTCGACTCCGAGCTGTCCTCGAAGATTAAGCCCAAGTGCTGATCGAGTAGATCAATCTACGAAATCACACAACTGGCATCAGTCGAATCCGATTGATAATCTTAAAGGAAATCAGCTGACCCCGAGCAGTCTTTCTTTAAACAATCCAACCGTCTAAGCATTCGAATTACTCCTAAGGACATCGAATACTTAGCAAAACGCCAGTCGAATCCGACTGAAGATCTGAAAGGTGATCAGCTCGATTCCGAGCTGTCCTCGAAGATTAAGTCCAAGTGCTGATCTCGTAGACAATCTACGAATCACACAACTGGCAAAACTAGTCGAGCCCGACTAAACATCTGAAAGGTGATCAGCTCGATTCCGAGCAGTCCTCGAAGATCAAGTCCAAATGCTTACCATGTAGATCAATATACTAATCCGCGCAATTGGCAAAACCCAGTCAAACCCGACTGAAAATTCAATAGGAGATTAGCTCACCTACGAGCAGTCTTTAACCATAAAGCTCCAGAGCTGATCATGTAGATCAATCTACAAAATCACACAACTGGATCCAATCAAATCCGATTGATAATCTTAAAGGAAATCAGCTCGGCCCCGAGCAGTCTTTCTTCAATCAAGCCCAACTGCTGATCATGTTGATTAATCTACAAAATCACGCAATTGGCAAACACCGGTGAATCCGACTAAAAGTCTGATAGGAAATCACCTCGACTTAAAGAAATCTTTAAAGATGAAGCTCGAGTGCTGATTGTGTAGAACCACCTACTGAATTCAGACGATCATCTAAAATCAGTCGTTTCCAACCGACAAAGGTTAGCTCAACCCGACGCAACCTTCCAAGTTGAAGCTCAACACGTTAAAAGCTCGAGCTGGAATTCAAAAAGAAACTAGCTCAACTTTATACGATTCTCAAAGAGATCAACTGAGCTTCATCCGGTCCGACCAGTTAGCTGACACGCTAGGTCAAATCTCCAATCAAACCAAAACGACTAATGTTCGAACAATCGAGCTAACAGTCAATTGATCTGGAAAACAAAGATAAACTCTAAGACATCAAACGTCTAAGAAAAATTATCAAACACCAAGCTCATTCCGAGCAAACAAGTTTGAACATAAAAGGATAAAAGCCTTCCAGGCACCAAATCCAAAGGCAAAGCATAAAACCTTGCTGAGCTAACTTGTTCGAAACTTAAACGAGAATAGAGCTCATCCTTAGCAAGCCGCTTTGACGAGCTACTCTATCTCTCTCATATCCTTAGCTCATCTCTGTTTCATCTTATCAAGCTCATCTTGTCAAGATGCTTCATGTAACCTTTGTTCACAACGAGCAGAGAGCTTCATGATCTTGATAAAGAAATCGCAAATATTAAGTCCGAAGATATCAAATCATCGGCAAAAACTTAGAAAAGGTAAAACCATACCTTCTCATCCGCCGCCATCGCTGCCGCATACAGCTCCCTCTCGAGCGTCATATCCAAAACTGGAGATTGATCTGCAGCAGGCCCGCATTGGCGCAACATGAATGTTCAAGGATTATCCAAAACTGGCACATCCTTCGAACAATCTATCATTACAAGGGATGACGGACTCGCCGTCGAGTTAACTCGCTTTTTCAAGGAGCTCGACAAATTCGGAGTACGATTATCATCTCTTGCTCATTTCGAGCTCCATCCTCATTGTTCGCTATTCGACCTCAACGAGATAGTTCGTCTCAAATGAGTCACTCGGGTATCATCCCCGATAGCAGCATGAAGAACCTGACCTACTACTTCATCACGAAGAGTATATTCAACCGCAACGTGGACAATCTCCACAACTCCATTAGCTCTAGATTGGATTGCTTGCTCACAACGAGTGGCAGCCGACTTTGCAGATCGTTCACAAAACGATAGCTCGCGAGAAATCTTCTCTCTTCCAAGAGGTGGATACTCGAAGTCGGGCTCTAATCTGTAACAGATGGAACGCGGCGAAAAACAGTAACAAACAAAATTTTGTTGCTAAAAATGGATGAAAACCTACATAGGTGTTAAATCCGAAGCAAAACATATGACTTGCCCAAGTCACTACAGCGAAAAACTTTCTCTATCGCAGCTCGAGCTCGATTCGAAGTTCGCTCGGGACATATACCATCTGTCAAGCTCGATTCTAAATAGATTCTTGCTTGATCTTATATGATCCTAAGAAATCAACTAAGTCTCACTTAGTCTGATTTGAATGGCAGTCAAGCACTCTGCCAGATTCTCGAGCTAAAATTCGAGAACATCTCCAAGATCGAGCTAGATTCTCAACAGATTCTAACCTGACCTTAAGAATATCTTCAAAGATATTGACTAAGTCTTTGTTCAGCTTAGCTCAACGATAAGCTCGACCATTTGGTTGAAATAACATTCGAACCAAAGACTAAGTTTTATTTAGCTCGACCTAAATAAAACAAATACTTAGTCGAAATCATGCCAAGTATGACTCGAAATTTCAAAAAGAAATCAGTTTAACTTGAAGCAACTTTCAGAAGAGTTGGAAAAGTCTTTTCTGCTAGATTTCTCGGTCAGCCGAAAATCTTATGCGAGAATTCAATCAAATAAACCGACTAAAATTCATTTGGTCGTATCCTTTTTCGATTTCGAGTCGGAAAAACAGTCCGACTTAAAGCGACCAAGTTCGATTAAAGAATTTAATCAACAATTGGTCGAACTCGAAAAATAATCGATTAACTCAAAAAGAGCTCGCGCAATGTTTGAGTTAGTTAAACCAAAAGCCTTCTCGAGAAACAATCTAAAAGAGTTGATAATCGCAAATCTTCTCCTAAGGTTTTCATTACTCTCGAAAAGCTCGACTCTTAAGATCATAATAGCTCTTCGATCTCGATCTTGATTGTCGATCTAAAGAATAAGTTATTACCTTGTCTTTCAAGGTGAAACTATCATTCAACGGCAAGATCTCAAAGATCTTTCGCCTTCCCGTTTGCGACCGTCGATCTCTAATGACTATTCAAAGTCATGATTTAGTTCGACGGGACTGCGGGACAATTTAAAACAACCTACCGCTCATTAAGTTCGATTATACTCACTTAATGAGCTGGGGGGCTATTGTTGGACCTGGATTTCCCTCCAGAAATCCGGCCCATAAGGCCCATCACCTAAGTCCTAAGTCAAGATAAGTCCACTCAGGCCCAGTAAAATGACCTCGAGCCCACCAAGTATCCTTGTCCAAAATCCAGCTGTTTACTGTCCGAGCTACTTGTGAAGACGAAGTCGAGCTCTAGCTCGACGGAGTCAAGTCCGCAAGCTGAGTTTGAACGAGTCAAACGAGAATCTCGCTTCGACTGTTCAGATCCGGAAATAGCGGGATCGGTAGTTGCACGTGGACGAGATACGCGGAGGAGGTTGCGATCTACTTCGGAGCTATAAAAGGAGGACGATTCTTGATCACAAGGCATAAGTTTAATCCTTCTCATTTCCGAGAGAGACGAATTCCTTTGATCAAAAATCACTGCACAAGTTCTTCTCATCATCTTTTCACAGCAGAAACAGAGTGAAGTTCTTCTTCTTCGTCTTGAGATATTCTCATATCTTTTCTCTTCGATCTTATCCTTGATCTTTGAGATAATCCCAGAAAGCCCTGATCTTTCTAGCCGGAAATCACTTCCGGCAGAAGTTCGACGTAATCTCTTACCTTCGGATCACTCCGATAACCTGAGATTTATCGTCATCTTCACACCCTTTAGCTCTTTTCGTGGTCATTTCTCTTCAGAAAACGACTCGAAATAGAGAACAACTTACAATCGAACTACGTTCTGGCTTGATCCCTAAAACAGGGTACGTAGGCAGCTCGTTACACGAGCGCAGCCACCACCTAATTTCCATCTCTTTTGCTTAGTCGAATCCTAGTGTTTTACATGGTCTTTCAGGCCGGTTTTGTAACCACTTTATTCGATTAGCCTAAGTCCGATTTCGTCAAATATTTGTCTACGAATCATTCGACTTACATCAGAATCTAACCTCTGATTCCACAGGCAATTTCTCCCTACAAAATACACATAAATTTTGAGTGTGGTTTTCCGAACCCACAAGCATAAAAAATATTGAAATGAAAAGTATACAAAATTATATCCATTAATATATAAATTAATTGCTGTGACAACTAGCATCTAACGAGTGAAGAGAAACTAAACATGGTTTCAATAGATACCGCTTAGTGAGCCCATTGTTCTTCTAATGATTCATCACCCCCACACTTCCTAACGTTTCTCTTATACCGTAACCAACTACTATACTAATCATTTGTATGTGTGTTATGGGCGCAAACGTTGCTGTGTTTTTGTTCAATATATATTTATTTGATTATATATGTCGACCATCACTATAGATAAAACGTCCTTCATATATTTTCGTATTAAATTTATATTTTGGATGGCACGAAAAATTATTGGTCGGTAAACAATATGGAGTTGACTTCTCAACCCGATATTAAGAAACACGTTAATGCATCAGAAATCAATTACTGCCATGTCGTTCAAACTTTGAGGAGCCCTACAAGCATTAACGTATGTTAACAGTTTACAACTACATATGCCATAGACATTTAAAACAGCTTACGTTTCATTTTTTTACATATTTGTGTTGTTTTCACATTTTCCATGCGAATATAAAGACATTTTTTTGTCATTAGAGTCATAAAATAAATACGTAAACAGAAAAAAAAAGTCTAGATGGGAAAGTTTGATTTCTTAATTAGTAGGAGTTTTTTTATTGTTTCCCTTCGTTTTCTTTAAACGATTAGTTGATTGAGGAACCAAATCCGTACTT